CATTTTTTCATATGCCTGTTGGCCATCTGCATTTCCTCTTTGGAGAAGTGTCTTTTTAGCTCTACTGCCCATTTTTTGATGGGGTTGCTAAACATTCCTATTTTTAATGAAGTTTGCTCATGGGTCTGATTTTTGGGAACCACTGAGTTAGGCTGTTCTATCAGTGGGTCTATTCTGTATTTAAAGAACCCAGGCTCAGTGTGCATCTATTTATGAGTTCGCTTATTTTTGTTTAGTTTTAAGATCAACATCTTTCTACAGAAATTTCCCTGTGATACTTCCTATTTCCAGTGTTTTGGGACATGAAGTGAGGAGTTCTTAAAAGCCCCTGTGTGTGGCTAGGATACATAACCTGGGCTCTCAGCCTTACTATCTTCTGTAACTACAACATGGGTATAAATAAAGTCCTGGCACATAACACATCTTCTGAGTTCCTGGCATATGTTGATTTGGAATAATTATTGTTGATACTGTTGATAATATTGTCATCATTACTATTCCTGTGCCTATGAGCTAGCTGAAATTTAAAATTTTTTGTTATTGTTAGTACTTTTTGAGGTTGAATCAATGTGAGGGGTTGATTGGATCTGGGGGTCTGATATATGTCCCCTACCTTGTCACCCCCAGCCAGTTACTCTGCATGACATAATTTGCTGACCTAAGTAAACTAATTTGACCCAGTAATGTCTCATTTTACACAGAAGTTAAATCCAGTGTCATAACCTAAGGTAAAAAATCACAGAGAGTTAAAAGTTGCCCTTGAAAATTCCTTCAACCTCCGTTTAAAGTGCTTTTCTGCTACACCTCTCAATAAGCCCAGGCGGCCAGCTACCATCCAGTATTGAAACAAATTGCACGTTCTCCATCACAGCCGCCGAGGAAGCAGCCGTCTTGCAGAGAGGGACTGTCTCTGAGGACAGAAGCCCCACGTTGCTTGTTCAGCGCTACAGTTGCTTTCTGTCTGTGCAGGAGAGGCCCTTGGGAACCGCGGGAGGCACCTTGCACCCTCACCTGAGTTTCACTGCTACCTAGGGTCCACTCCAAAGTATACTCTCATTGAGTGGATGATGAACTGAAATATCAACAGTGTTGAAAAGATACCAGAGATTTGCTTAAAAATCAAGCCCTACAACCACAACCCAGGGTAGAGTAAGAGTGTCCTCAGCACTTGTGCTTTTCCCCTTTTTTGGGGGGGGGGAAATACCTGAATTTGCTCAAAAGGGAAAGTTAAGGAGAGAAGATGCTGGAGGAGAGACAGATTGATGATTAAAAACTAAAACCATCTGCATAATAAAAATAGACAAGGAAAACAAACTGGCAAAACACTAAGAATAATTTTAGACTTCAAAAAATATATACTGATTATCAGAGGAGAGAGAGGGAAGGCGACAGGACTGTGGTGCTGGATCTTTGGTGAAGGATGGGAGGAATGTGCACATGGGGAGGTGTGAAGTTGAACTAGTGGCAAATCAAAGACACCAATCAAAACATAAAATTGAAACCTATACAAGGGGCGGGGTGAGAAGGGTGTTTTGTGGGCAGAACTCTGTGTCTAAAACCTCTCCTGGGTACTGCTTTTCTTCTTCCTGACCTAGAAGCTTGGACATTTTTCTTAACTCTTGACACCCGGCTTTGTTCTCATTTCCCACAGATCAGCAAAAGTGACTCGATACATCACATGAGTCACTCCCGTGCGCGGCCAGAGCTGCCCCCTCTGCCCGTTTCTGCTAATGAGGAGCCGTCTGAACTCTATCAGGTGTGTTCACCTGCCTGCTGCTCAGCTGCTGATACAGGGGTGGGCAAGGCATAGTGAACCGGTGGGATTAATTGCTTTGATCTTTTCTGCCACCAGACAAGACTACAGCAGACGAGCAAGCTGTGCAGGAGCACAGAGGTGGTGAGAATCTCACCTTCTCACTCACCTGCAGTGTTATTTAAACTCTGAACTTCTGCACCTGCAATTGTAAAGTGAGAGTGATTGTTTCCACTATAATTATAGCCATGTCCACAAATAGAGGCAAATTACCTGACTCATGAATTTATTGTTGAGCAAAGGTAGCTATTGACCTTAACATCAGAAATCAGGCTCACAGTAGTCAGAGAAGTGTAATTGCTGTTCATTCAGACAGTAACTGCCCTGGGTGGAGATGGAAGGAACACAGGCTGGGCATGTGGGACTCTGTGAGAGGGGCTTGGGCTCTGCAGCCATGTCCCCCACCATGTCTCACTCTGAGTTTCTACCCTTGTAGACGGTCATGTCGCACAGCTTCTACCCCCCGTTGATGCAGCGCACATCATGGACCCTGGCTGCGCCCTTCAAAGAGCAGCAGCACTACCGAGGACCCAGCGACTCAATTGCCAACAACTACTCCTTGAGGGCCCAAGACCTGAAGCTGAAGGATCTGAAGAAGGTCTCCCTGCCGGTCACCATCAGTGTCCCTAGGGAAAGGGTTGTTCAAGACCGATCATCAGGTATATGTGATAGTGTGCCATATCTACTCAGAATTGTCCTTTGGAATGAGGTTTCTTATCCTGGGTTCCAGTCCTGTCTTCACCTCTCGCTGCAGCTAACACTAGACAACCTCATGGAGCCTCCGTCTCTGCATCTATGAAATGGAAATGATTGTAATGGTGAACATGACATGTATCAGTTACCAACTGCCTTAATTTACCTTATGCCAAACACCCAAAATTAATGGCTTAACCCTACCACCATTTGGTACCTTTCAGTCTCCATGGGTCAGGAATCTGGGCAAGGCTTAACTGGGTGTCTCTGGTTTGTAGTCTGCCACAAATTTCACAATCAAGATATCGGCCGGGGCTACAGTTATCCCAGGGCAACTAGGGAAGGGCCCAAGGTGCAGCTTCTTCTGCACTCATCCACCACCTCACACTGGCTATTGGCTACATACCTCAGTTTCTTGCCACATGATCTTTCTGAGGTAGTCCATGACATAATTTCTGGCAAAGGGAACAAGCAAAGGAAGAGAGCTGGCAAGACATAAACCAGTCTTTCTGGTTTAATTTTGGAAGTGACCATCAATTACTTTTGGTTAGAAGTGAGTCACTAGGGAAAGTCTGCGCTCAAGGGGACTATACAATAGCATGGTGCCAGGAGGTGGGGGTAACTGGGAGCCATCTTGGAAACTGCTTACCCTGGTTCTTTGTATGTATGAACATTTAATCCTACCATATACACAAAAGTATGTACACAGCACGGACACTCATATCTGCTTAAGTGTGTTTTTAAATGATTTTTATTAGATGTGTATAGAAACCTCTCAATCTGTCCTCTGTTTCTCAGATTCATTTTCATATTTTTCTTCTTTCTCTCTGCTCTATTTTGGGTGAATTCCCCAAATATACTTTCCAACTCACTAATTTGTTATTCAACACTATTTAGTCTTGAGTTGCTCATGTCTAATGAATGGTTTAAAGTTTAATATCCATTCATGCTCAGATTTTCTCATTGGTTCCATGTGTGGGTACCTCCTTTGCTGATCTTTTATTCCTTTCTCAAGGGTAGAGCACTCTCAATATCACTTGGAGGAGCTTAAGTATTTATCTTGTAGTGGAGCTGTGTTGGTGTAGCCATCTCATTACATTTTGTGAATCTATTGATTGTTGAGCTTACTGATTTTCTTTGTGTTGACTTTCTCATGTGTTCTGGGATTTTATTTTGTAAGTTCATGATTAGTTATTTCCCCCCTTCTTGCTACTTGCAACTACCCAATTTTTATTAATGTATAATTCACAGACAATAAGATAAATAGGTTTTCATGGTCCAGTTCACTGAGTTTTAACAAGGATTTATACCACCCAAATGATATACAGGGCCTCTCCATCACTAGAAAGTGCTCTGTGCTCCTTTCTATTCAGTTCTTTACTTTACCCAATAACATTTCAGGCCAGAGCAAACATTTTCTCACTATCACAATTGAGTCAATTGGTTTATCCACAAATATAAATTAATCATATTTACATTGAATATACTCTTTGGACCCTTCTTAATCCAGCATTTTTGTGTGCGTGTATATGCCTTTATCTCACCAGATCTTATATTGTTGGCTTCAGTCTCCTACCCTAAGATGAAATTTTGGGGTCTCTTGTAGATCTGGTCCCTGAGACAGTATGAATATTGAAGATGCCAGCCTTTCTCTGCCATCTCTTGCCATCATGTGAATTGAGAACACTTGTGCTTTATCTGCAAGATAGTGACAGTGCTGTTGACTGTTCAGCTGGTCTTCATGGGTGACAGTCCGCTTTAGTCCTGGCTTTATGCTGTCAACCTAACTCCGGTCTCCCACAATCATAGCATGTTTTTGGATCCTGTTACTCTCCTAGATATCAAACATCCACGTCTTCCTGCTTCTGGACCAGGAAGCTGATGTTATGACTATACTGTGTTTATTTTTGGTCCACATAGAAGAGCTTTTTAATGTTTAAAGATGATTTTTTTTTTTAAAGATTTATTTATTTATTCATACAGAGCTGGGGTACAAGTTAGAGATGTGGAGGGTGAGAGGATTCACTAGAGACAGAGTGGGGAGCAGAACAGGCAGATCGACGAAGTACACTGCTGAGGGGAGCAGCGGGCGGGTCAGGAGAGGTCTGCCACGCCATGTGGTCTCCTCCAGGGCAGGCGGGAATCGAACTCATGCAGAAGTGGTTTTAGCTTCTTAGTGCTGTGCTTTAACGCGCTGCGCCACCAGGGAGGGCCTGTTTAAAGATGATTTTATCTGTTATTGTTACATTGAGATTAAGGCATCAAAGTATGAAATCAAAATATATCTTGACTGGCATTTGCTTTGATTTCTTCAGAGTGTCAATTTAATAAAGAGTATAACTTTAACACTTCTTTATTACTGTTTTAATTTCCTTAGGCTAAATACTGTAGCAAACAGTTATGTAAAGTTTAATAATATAATTTTTATATCAGTTATTGAATTTACAATTACCTTGTGTTTACTGAAAATGATACTGGTTTTTATATATGCAGTACAAATGATACTGCTTTTTCCATGTGTGATAATCATATATTCCTTTTGAAGTAAATATGTTGTTTAAAATCCTGAGTCTATTTGAAGAAAAATATTAAGCAACAATACACCCAATGTTTAGAAAATATAGCATATAGGATTGAAGAGTGAGTTGAGTAGACAATTACTAATACTTGCCAGACATATGGAAAAATGGAAGAGAATCTCATCTCCATTTCACAGCTGGGGAAGGTGATACCAAGCTGATACCAAGAGTAACGAGGCGGCCCACGGGACTGGGGCCCACATATCCTGCCTCATCCCACCACAGCAAGCCCGCTTCCCCTCTTGTGCTGCTGGACTGCCCTGCAGTCATGTCTCATGGGCAGATGGTGAACATCTCTCTGATGTTTTTCTTCTCCACTCTTCTAGCAAGTAAATGCTCATTAGAGCCCAGCAAGAAGAAACTGAAGTTCTCCTGCAAAGTCAAAGAGGATTCCATTGGGTAAGATGTCACTGTGCATCAGGGGACTGCAGGACACTGGGTTATACTAAAGAAGGCTGCATACTCATTAGAGGCACATTCCACTTCTTGGCTTTAAAGTTTTCCCAGACACCCAGTAATTCATGATTTTTTCTCATCGATTCCCTCAATCCAAATTTTTGTTTAGAATTTACAAGTTAACTGACTGATGAAAGCCAATGCTAACATACCAGTAGGCATTCCCTGGCTAGAGGCCATCACTCGGTGCATACACCATTAGGGTTCACAGAGGAGAGGGCCTCATTAAGTTGGGGAAAGCAGCCTTGATACCTCTGTACTCTGCAGAGAGCCAAGCGCTGAGCTGTGTCTACTTTCTAGGTCCAAGTCTGGTAGCAGTTCCGCCTTCCAAATTGGGAAGAAGACACTGGGGATAACTTTGCCTATTCCGGAAAGCAGGCCTATGAGTCCAGAAGAACAGATTGCTGTGATGCTACAGCAGGAGATGGACACAGAAAGTAAAGAAACCAAACCATCTGAATCAGACTTGGAGGTTTGTTCTTGTTGCTTCCTTTGGCTCCACTTGCTAATTTGAAATTTCAGAGATTCTAAACAGGGGAAGCCCAGCAGGTAGACCTGGGGAATGCTTTAAAAGCACCAAAGTCCAGACTCCATGTGTGCATGTGTGTGTGTGCATTTTCTGTTCTAGTAAGCCTTAGAAATTGGTGCCTCTGGATCCTCTTTGAATATACATTGCAAAACAGTGAACTATAGGCTAGGCTGACCAGATTTTGAAAAACCAGATAAATTTGAATTTCAGATAAATAATGAATATATTTTCAATATAAGTATATCCCCAATGCACTCCTTTTTCATATTGATTTACTGCTCTTTAGACACTGTATATGTTCAGGGGACTCCTGTTGCTCGGGGGATTCCTATTGTGCCCTTATTCCTAAGTGCTCTGCAGAGGACCACTGTTGTTGAGGAGGCTGAATTGCTCAAGTCCATTTTAATGGCTTGCTTTCCTCTTTTAAAGTTCACCAAAGATTTGTCTCTGTTCCTGGCCTCAGTACTCATTCCACTCTTCCTATCTACATGGAATTTGAAGAATCCTTCCCTCATACTGCTGAAATTCTCTTTGGCTTTCCCCCCCAGAATTCCGGGGACAACTTACTGGCCATGTCATTGCAGTGAACAAAGGGACAGGCCCAGAAGGTGTGATTATAGAAAATGAAGGGTGGGGATGGTACAATGTGAACACTTGGGCAGCCAACAGGTGTGAGCAGGTAGGCACAATTAGCCAGTCACACTCATGTTCTTGTCGTTGGTTTATTTATGGAAGAGATACTGTTACTATTTGGCCAATGGAATCCCAAAAGAAATGATTGCTGCTGAGGACAAGGAAGTGATGAATCGGATTTTCAAATTGGTTTCTAACACACTGCTGACAAATCCTAGCCTGGAACCTCTGGTGATGGTCCTGGTGAAGGAGAAGGAGAGTGACTATTACAGCAGTCTCATGAAAAGCATTGGTGAGGCCGCACAAAGGGGCAGGGGCCCCAGTGGGGAGGGAACCTTCTTCCTCTATCTGCCCACCCTGGTTCCTTAGACGCAGGGCCTCACCTGGGACCTTGTGAATGGGGTGTGTTCCCAAGTGTGAGTGACTCCTAAGCATCAAAGCTCAGAGCAGTGTGTGAAGGTACCTGCTTCCTGACAGCATTTACACTCTCGGTTATACAGTTGATTACATCCTCATGGACCCAATGGAGAGAAAAAGACTCTTCATCGAGAACATCCCCCGAGAGTTCCCTCAAAGGGTGATCCGGGCCCCAGTGCCCTGGCACAATGTCTACAAGAATGCCAAGAAGTGGAACGAAGAGCATCTGCACACGGTGAACCCCATGATGCTCAGCCTGAAGGAACTGTGGTTTGCAGAGTAAGCTGCCCCCCTTCTCATTTTCTCCATTGCTTCTGCACATGACATCTTCTGTGCATGCTGTCCTTGAAGTAAAATGACAATACTCTTGTACCCAAAGTACACGTGAACCACACAGACAACTCCCCCAAGGGCTAAGTGTCACTCCCATGACATCTCACACCTGGTGCCTGTCTCTAAGCATTGACACTTACTGGGTAAGAGCATAAACGTGGACCTGACCTGCTTAGGCCCAAATTTTAGTGCTACTGCTTCATGGATACCAAGGTTGTGTGACATCCCCCTCGGTGCCTGGCTTTCCTTGTCTCTAAGTTGGAGGTCATAAGTGTGCCTACCTGGTAAGATTGATAGGAGGAATAACCTAATACCTGCAAAAAACTTAGAAGTATGCTTGACCTGGGTACCCACCGGGCATTAGTTAGCCATTGCCTCCATTCTGACATGGAATTATATTTGTAAGTTTACTGGTTTCTCTCTCCTTAACTGATGACATATATGGGGTCTTGGGCCCTACTCCCTTCCATAACTCAGTGCCAGCATGGGGATGGCAAGCACTTATGTCCATTGATGACCAAATGGCTGTAGGAACCCAAAAGAGGCAGGTGTCACTTACTGTTTTCCTCTATCATTTTCTAAATAGAGATGTAATTTCTAGATCATAAAATTCATCCCTTTAAAGTATACAAGGCAGTATTTTTTAGTATATTCACAAATTTGTGCAACTCTACCCACTCGCTTACCCGAGAATATTTTCATCATCCCAAAAAGAAGCCCTATACTTGTTAGCAGTCACTCCCGCCTCTTTCCAATCAGCCACTGGCAACCACTGACCTGCTTTTGGTCTTTATAGATTTGCCTGTTCTGGACATTTTGTTGAAATGGAATCATACACTGTTTGTCTTTTTGTGTCTGGTTTCTTTTGCTTAGCATAGCACTTTCAAAGTTCATTTACACTAAAGCATGTGTCAGTATTTTATTCCTTTGAAGGAATACTATACCACCATGTGACTGGACCACCCTTTGATTAGCCATTATCAGTTGCACTGAGCAGAAAAACTGTTGTGTTTGATGAGCTCCAAATGTGGGTGTGCATATCCTGGTATAAGAGCGAAGCTGCCAGCATTCACGGAAAGATCAGGCTAATGAAATGATGAGCTGGGGTCAGAGTTCCTCATCACAAGATGTAGGCACAATTGTTTACATAGTTTGTTTACCTATCAGTAGTTCAAATACTTTGGTGAGTAAGGATGTCTAGCTTTGAGTGTTTTTCTCACATTCAAATGAGCAGATGTTAATCAGAGTTCAAAGTTCCAGCCATAAGATGGGGATTTAAGGTACAGCATGGTGCAACACTATTGTTTATAGACCTATAAGTTGCTGAGATAGTAAATCATAATGTTATCAACACATGCATACAAACTCAAACATACACACATGGTAATTATGTGGAGATGTTAACTAACCTTATTGTAGTAATCATTTCCCAATATATACGTGTGTCAAACAGCACATTGTACACCTTAAACTTCCCAATATTATGAACAATATTCAAAAGAAGTAAAGGAGAAAAATAAATTGTAATTTGGGGAGAAAATCCAAGGGTTTGGGTAAATTTAGTGTGCTTAATTTCTCAGTGTGCTTAAAAGTAGTATGTCTACTGAGTGTCTTATCAACTGCAAGGGACAGGCACATTTTAAACCTTCTTATTTAAACATTAAAGCTAATGTGTACTAAAAAAAAAAAAGAAGCATGAGATAAAAATAAATAGTGGGACTCAAAATTTCAACATTTTGGCTTCTAAATCATTAGATATTTGTTCATTCATTACTCACTCATTTAACAATCATGGCCAGTTTCTATTACATACTAAGCATTATTTTAGGGCAGTGGACATAGCAGTGAGCTCAGCCATCCAGAGAAAGACAGACAATAGTGTAGTGGGTACTAAATTATATGGTATTATATGCTATGTTAGAGGGATGGAAGCTCTGGAAGAACAATTAACCATAGTAGTGGGGTTGGGGAGTATGGCAGCTGGGATGAGTCGGCAAGCCCCCAAAAATCTTTTGTTTGAATCTGGAAAATCTCCCACCCACCCCAGCCCCCAGCCCCTGCCTGACCTGGTTGAATGCAGCCTCACCCTAGGGTGCAGACTTGTCAGGCAAAATACCTACTCACTGGCATCTTGGGCAGGGCAAGGCCTAAATAGCCACATTCACCCCCTCTGGGAGGTTTCGCTGTGAAAATGACATCTGAGGTGAAGGGGGTAAACCCTGAGATATTGGGCAATGAGACGTGCAGATAGCCAGATCGTTGGCACAAAGGATGCAACAGCTAACGTTCCTAGGATGCGCAGTGAACGTTCCTGGAGCAGAGTGGAAGAGGAGGGCAGAGAGTCAGGGAACTCTGCATGGCGCCTGCAGCCCACCAGTGAGGATCCCGGATCTTACTCCAAAATGGGAAATCCCGGGAGGGAGACAAGCAGAGAAGGGACGTGATCTGACTCATTTTGAAAGGATTCTCTGGGTTGAGGGACACCTTTCTTTTTACTGGCTGGCCTTCCTGTACCTTTATGGTGGCAGGAGTTACAGACTGAGGTGCAGGGGGCTGAGGGAGGTCTATGAAGTGTTTTTGGTTCAGACCAATACTGCCCTCCAAGCCATCCTGAGTAGCTCCCTCAGAAGCCACTTTGAGGACTGGGTGGAACCCACAGCATGAATGTGGTACCTCGTTTGCCCTGTCTTCCTTTTCGTGTCTGCTGTTTTAATTTGATTTGTCCATTTGGTATCCCAATTCTGGGCCAGCAAGATACCAGTGGTGCCAAATGCCCTCCCCACAGGTGGGTCACCCTGAGTGGGACACACAGGAAGATTCAGCAGACACCTATGAGTTGACTCTTTTATCTCCTGTTTGAAGAGTTCTTACGGACTAACAGTTCCTCCTCAGATTCCTAGATTTTTCAGATATAATTACTTTTAATCAGCTTAAATCTCCTTCTCATTGAAAAGTGAAACATACGCCCCTTTGAACTGCCCTGCCGAGTGTGTTATTAAGCACCTTCCCAGTTTACGAAGTTCCTCCGTCTCTTTTGGCAGATTTAGAAACCTCAGATTCGTTCGAACAGCAGAACTACTGGCAGGAAAATTGCCTCTGCTGCCTCATGAATATCAGGAAGTGATCCAGAATCACTGCATGGAATTGCATCAAATTCTCCTCAACAAGTCAGTACCTGGTCTTAAACAGGGCTGCGTCACCGTGTCATATAGAGTGAGAACTTTCTGAACTGAAACTGGTTTTCAGCCTGGGGCTTGTACAGTTTGCTCACGTTCCACTGGCATCCTTCTCTGTTCTCTTCCTTGTACATTCCTAGCCCCTAACAGCCTTTCTGCTGCTCACATTCACTGTGCTTTGACCCTCACTCTCAGTCTCTGCCTCTTTGAAGCCCCCTCATAATGTGGAGGGTGAGACTCCTGTGCCCTCCATCTGAAATCCTTTAGGCCTTGCTTTTGTGGACAGTGCATTTGACTTGTAGAAAGATGGCTCAGATAAACAGTGGCAGGGCTCCAAGGTTAGGGGTTTCTTTCACTTAAGCGATCCCCTTTCCTTTGCAAATGTATGCAGGACTATATCCAGAGCTAAGGAAATTCCCTATGTAAAATGTTGATGAGAATATCTACCACTGGATTTTCATTTTTAGAGAAAATGTATGTGCAATAGCTGGCACCTAGTAGTTGCTCGGTAAATATAATTATTGTCTGTACAACTTGACTGATAATTGAGACTTCTCTGACTGTGAGCTTTCTAGAAGTTCAAAAGAGACACGATGGGATGAAAAGACTGGGATTTAAAAAATTTGGGGAAGTATGAAAAAGGAACAATGAAGCATTTATTTCTTCTTTGAGTTTTCTAATTTCTATGCTCAGACATACTGGAGCATACTGGAGTTTCTCCTCTCAAGCTGTGTTCCATTTCTCCTTTTAATCTCTTCCCCTAAAAGTCTCAACCAAAGGCCAGTCATCCTTCAGGAAGAGAAGTTGGACAGAACACTTCACTTCACCCCAACCTCTGATTGTAATGGAGAAATTATAGACTCGTTAAGCAGGACATGGCACCAGTATCCTCTGTCCATTTCGGTATTGCTAATGGAAGAATAGTCTCTCTATTTAATCTCATCAATTTCTCCCTAGGAAATGGGTGTTGGCAGGTGGCCAGGGATAAGTACCCACTTGCAAAGTTGCTTAGAAGCAAGTGCCTTGTCACCAAGAGTGGGGAGGTCGCTGAGGGGACTTCTCAGGGTTTGGCAGTTTCTCAGCTGAATGCCTTCATATCATTACAGATGGATCCCCACCTGTGCCCAGCTCTTTGTGTCTCAGAAGGAGCAGTGGGTCCATTTTGCACCCAAGAGTGACTATGACTCTTCCCATAACATTGAGGAATATTTTGCTTCTGTTGCATCCTTCATGTCGCTCCAGCTCAGGGAGTTGGTTGTTAAATCTCTTGAGGACCTCCTTTCTTTTTTCATGATACACAAGGTATGTAGGAAGGCCAGTAATAGACTCCTGAGGAGAATCCACTTAGATGGGGTGAGGATTCCATAGATGGGCCAAAAAGTAGAATTCTTGATTTGCACACATGTCAGATGTTTACCAGTTTACAAAAATGATCTCTTTAAAAACACAGCAGACTTGCTTAAGATAATCGCCTACTAGTAAATGGTAAAAATCTACTAGAAAGAATTGTGAAGAAAAGTGGAGGAAAGATCAAACAAAATAGAACAGATACCTTCTCCAGGAGGGGCAGCGACTACCTGTTCATCCTCTCTGTTACAAGAAGAGGTTAAGGAGATTTGCTGTCAGTCTTTGGCTTAATGCTTAGGAAATGGTGTGTGTCTTCATTGCAGATGTTGACTTTTGTTCTTTGATCTTTGAAAGGGGCATCCCTAATAAAAAAAGAAAAGACTGTTGACTTAGTCAGCAACTTCCTTCATGAAACTGTTTCAGTGAAGTGAAATGAAAATTGGAAATTCTAAGTTCTTGTTTTCAAAGCATTATGGCCTCCCCTAAGTGGCAGTAGCCTAGGGCTCAAGGAGGATTCTGTAGATGTTATATGCCATGTGCATGCTTGATCTTAAAAAGAGCCATAAAAAGTAATGTTTGTCTGGTTACAAAAGGTTAAATCCTTCCCATTTTCCTAAATGAAGTAAAGATCAACAATTGAGCTTTTGTACAAAGAGTTAAGAAACCAGCGCTATTGAACTTGGATTGTAGTGGTTAGTGCACTACAAACAGCCAATCCAGTGGGGTTGCTGTAACCATATACTTTGCTGATGAAACTGAAGCATAGGAACAAATCTTACTCTAAAATTCCACCCAAAGGGTAAAGTACAATTTTTCAAATATCTGAAAGAAGGGGAAATTTATGGCATTTGATACATGCTAGATAATCAACACGTTTATTAACCATCCTAGAAATCGCTAGATCTAGAAATCGCTAGAATTAATTACTTGGATAAGAGCTCTACAGCCGCCCTATGCTAATTTCATTAAGCCCTGTGGTTTATGAAAGGTCTCCTATATTACCAGATGTGTGGAAAATTAAAAATATCTCCAAATCAATATTTCTGTTGTAGAAAGGTTGACATTATATGTGTGTATGATAGACTATGTTCTTTAGCAATTCCATCTGAGGTATATAACTAACTATTTAAACTTTTGAACCCAGTCAAGACATGTTTGTTGAGTACTTACTATGTGCTTAATGGTGTGTTGGATATTTTGGACAAGAAAGATGGTTCAAATACAGATCCTATTTTCAAGTTTAGAACAGAGAAGACAAGGTGTGCAGTAAATCTCCTCAAGAGAAAAAGCTACCATTCAGGGCTAGAAATATAGAAATCCAGAAGTGGAAGAGGTGAAGTATTTTGGGGAACAGAGCTACCTCCCAGAAGAGGGGATCTGGGGCTTAATTTTGAAGCATGGGAAAGATTTAGAAATCAGGATGCAGGAATTTCCAAGCAAGAAACTTTGGGAAAGGGATAGGGTACGCACAGAGTAAGCTAAGCCCCGCCTACCCTTTACTTTTAACACAAAAGCACATAGTACCCTGCATCTCCTTTTCTGGTCCTCGTGTAGTACTGTAAATGGGTAGAAGTCGCTCCCTGGAGTTTGGAAGTTCCAGTTTTGTGACGGTTGCCATATCTTATCTCCTAAAGGATGGGAACGATTTCAAGGAGCCCTACCAAGAGATGGAGTTCTTCATGCCTCAGCTAATCAAGATCAAACTTGAAGTCCAGGAACCCATTATTGTCTTTAATCCATCTTTTGATGACTGCTGGCACTTAATACACAATTCTTTCTTGGAAATTATTAAGAACTCTAAGGGAATCCCCAAGGTATAATATTTACTTAATCTCTCCTTTGTAATTTTTACTCACTTATTGAATGAACTGCATCTAAAATGACTGTTGTAGAAGGCACAGCCAGTAAGATACTCAGTTAGGAAAGCTCCACTGTGGCAGCTTTATCTTGAGGATACCCTCCTAGCCCAGATTTTGGGCCATAAAGAAATGCATAAGCATCCCAGAACTGCAGTCCTAACACAGACCCTGGAGTTACACTGTCACAGAGTCCCTGTGAGGCCATGCTCTAGGAGTGGCTGAGCCCAAGCCATATCCACCTTGGGTTAATGATTCACGCTGGATTAAGTGCCATGAACTTGCCAAAAAGCATCATAAAATTATAACTAATTTAGTTCTTGATATTCCGTGCTTGTTTGTTTAACCACTCTACACATCTAAGGAAGAGATTGAAGCTTCCTTTCCTGGTCCAAGCTCTTTCCTGGTTGAAGTGGCTAATGAGATTCCAGAAACTTAATAGCACACTTAGCACTTACTGTGCAGGTCACCCACATGAAGGTGACTCTTTTGTACCCCCTTTGCTTATTTCCCTCAAGTGTCTGGTATGGATGAGCCAGTGTGCAGTCCCATTTTGAGAAGAGGCAGTGGGGAGCTTCTATCTCCCTCTGATGCCCACCCATGTGGCCACACCCAAGCTGTGTCATGCTTAGATGTTCCTAAGCATTTATACCACAGCACCATTCCTGAGAGAGCCTAAGGGCTCAAGAATTTATAGAGTTGGGATTTGTATTGAAGCACAGGAAGCCAAAGTTCCAGTCCACCAGAGAACTTTACATTTGGAGTCTAACATTTTAAAACATAAGAACAAATTAGTGGTTGCCAGAGAAGTAGCATGGGTGAGAAGGTGGGTAGGGAGCAAATTAAATGGTCAATTGTATGGTAAAGGATATAATTGGACTTTTAGTGGTGAATTTAATGCTATAATACAGATACTGATTTATAATGGTGACATCTGGAACTTATATAATGTTATAATGCAGTATTGCTTCAGTTAAAAAAACAAAAAAGAGAGAGGGGTTAGAAGGGTTGAACACAGCTAAGCCAAACTAACAAGAAAAATGGATTCATGAAGGGGGAAGAAATAGTGGGCAGCTCTCCTGCCACGGATATCCCTAGGAAGGAAATGCAACAGAAGAGCCTGTAATTTGCAAGGATAAGTGTGGGGCTTGGCGACAGATAAAGTACAGACACGGCGCTTCACGCAGCTGAGCAGCAGTGCTTGCAGGCAGCTGGGCTGGGAGAGCCCGGGCTCCTGTGGCTGCTGCAGCAAACAGCCCAGCAAGAGCTGGTGGTAGATTCATGGGCTGTGACATGAAGAAGGCGTGGTCACAGATCACAGTGTGTACCAGATTTGAGAGCTAGGCCCAAACGAATGCCAGTGACCATTTCAAGTGAGGAGAAAAAGCAATCCAGCTCTTCACGTAGCAATGCTCACAGCACTGCTCACACCCCTGCCCCCTCTCACTGTTTTATTCTGAAGGGAATAGCGGGGCCAGGCCCACATACTCAGGGAAGACAGGGTGGAAATGCAGGTGGGGTCTCTGGGACCGTTCGTTGCCCCAGATGGGACATACATCTCGTGGATCTGGGGCACTGCCCCTAAGTGGCTTCTACTCTCTAGGTGGAATCTGCCCTGTTCCCAGAATTGAAAGGATATGACCTGACTCTCAGAACCATTAGCCCTGAAGAAAATCTGGTTAATGATTTGGTGAATCAAGCTTTCGAGGTATTTCTGAAAAATCAAGTTGGCCCCCACAAGTAAGTTGGCTTCCCTATAACTTGGCCTTTGGGACATAGTTTTAGAGTTCCTAGCTATCATAAGATAAAGGATCCCCATCCCAAGCACCTGAAACAATATATAATAAGAATAGCTAGTACTTGCCTACATAAGTATTACTATTAATCCCCATTTTACAGACGAGAAGAATGTTGGTTGCCCACTATTACTCTCAAATAATTACGAGAACCAGAACTCAAATTCAATTACAGATCCATCTCCATTATTTGAAAGTCATGGGGTCGAGTGGGTTGTAGCATTTAGAAGTTTGGGGATTTTAGAAAAGTAACACCATGCATATGTCATATAAAATGCAGTGACATCGGCAAGTCCTAGGGCCGTGCCTCTTATTAGACATTTTTATATTCCACAATGAAATCAATGAATATTCACATAAATAACCTCAAACATCCACTTAGACCAGCTTTTGCTATCAAGTGAATTTTAAAGCAACTTTCTGTTTTCAGATTTTTTTTTTGCACTTGAGATCAAAGAAGGATTGAGAACATAGGCTCTTCATGCTCTTTAGTCATCACACTTTGAAGAATCTTCAAGCAGTCACTAGTTTAGGGTGGTCACGTGATGTAGTTTTAAAACAGAGATCTTTAAGTTGTTATTAACAATTATAGGGGGAGAACAGGTGTGGTCACTCTAATCTGGTATTTCTTGACTGGGTGGCTGTGTTGACATTTTGGGCCAGAATGGTCTGTCTGGTCTGTCCTTTGCATGGTTGGATGTTTTGACCCATCACTAATTTCTGTTTATTAGGTGCCAGTAGGATCATTTTTTCAGTTGTGACAATCAAAAGTGTTCCCAAGGGCCTCCCTGGACCACCAAGGAAAATTAACCTCTTAACCAAGGGGTTAAGTCTCAGCACTGTGAAGCTATTAGCAGCCATTGAAGAATGAGTTTGATCTCCAGCCCGGGAACTGACCCACAGGGTGCAGCAGACCTTTCCTGTCTCCCCGCTGCTCCCCTAAGCAATGGATTTCAGTAGATCTGCCTGTTCTGTTCCCTACTCTGCCTCTGGTGAATCCTCTCACTGGATACACCTCTGGCCTATACCTCAGCTCTTTTATGCATAAAATAAAATCTTTTAAAAATTAAAAGAAAAAGTGTTCCCAGACATGGCCAAGTATCCCCCAGGGGCAAAATCACCCCCAGTCGAGAACTACTGCTAAACTAGTCTGAAAATCATGGACTCGGAGTTAGAAACCCTTATGAATTTGACCTGGGGACATCTACTTGAAAACTGTCATGTTTATCGAGTCTTATACACACAATTTATCTCTCTGGATTGACAGTCTCCCCTTGAGTGTATCCCTAGCTGTCCACCCCCCTCCCCCAAGTTAATTCTACTTGTTCTGTATGATCTTTATTTTAAGTCAGGGCATCCCAGACATCCTGCAGTTTGGGGATAATCTTTACGCCATTTTTGTGTGATCTCATAAAACATAGGAGGAAACTTAATTTTTTTTGTAATCAATTTTAGGTTCATTAATTTCAAATTTTCATCTTAAAATTTAGATACAAAATTTTAGTGCTGAAAAGAGGCATAGGAACTCATGTTTGTTGCATATCCACTATAGGTAAGGCATGCTATTAACTGCCTCATCTATGCACGCTTGCTGTCAGACTTTACATCGTTTTCACTTAAAATGAAAGACACTGATCTATGAAAAAGTGGAATACCTGGTTGAACTCCACACACCCCCAACATTGGGGTTTGAAGCCAGGGTTCTGAATTCCTAGTTCACTGAAGTCCTAGTTCCCTGTACCTTCTGTCACATCATCTTTCTCTTTCCTAGTTTGGGCTAATTTTATGATATTATTTCCTTATTTGCTACTCTGACTAATCTGACTTGATGACCTGTATTTGTATGTTTGATTTTATGCTCTTCAACATGGAAGATACTTAGATGTATATAAAAAGTATGATGACTTACTAGATAACACAGCAGAGCAAAACATCTCTGTTTTCCTGAAAGAGAATCATGAAATCGAGGATTTTGTGACGGTAAGAGATGCCACTTTACACTTCACATTTTGGTGACTTGTGCTACAGATACTCATAGTCAATGTTGTCAATGTCACTAGAATATGCTTTACCAGATGGGCCGGGGGTGAGGCTGGGGATGAACATATAGAGGCTAAACACGAATGAAGCCACTACCTGTGCTCTTTTCTACAGCGGATCAGCAGTATAAAAAAAAGAAGAACTGAAATTGCATCTATGCATATCACCGTGCCTTTGGCCATGTTCTGCCTTGATGCCATGGTCCTAAATTATGACCTTTGTGAACGAGCCCAAAATCTTAAAGACCGACTAATTCAATTCCAAGTGGATGTAAATCGAGACACCAATACCAGGTATCACTGTTGTGGGCAGAGAAATAGGAATGTATTTGGCACTCAGGGGAGCATGGAAGACTGGTCAGTTGCACTTTCCAGTGATCTCTGGATTGAACTCCTGTTGTTTCTGCCTCCAAGTAAGGATGACAGGTTCAGACCAGAAGGTCAATGGAAGGGATAAAACACAGGACCTGCTGTGAGAAGGTGGGGAGCTTGCTGGAGTATCCAGTCTGCCTCTTCAGCCTTTGCTTTCTTACAGGCAACGTCCTGTTGCTTCCTGGGTTTGGCTATCTAAGGTCAAAGGCTCTCTTGGGGGTCATCTGGCACACACTCAAAGAGACAGGGTGCTTTCAGGACTCCTTACGGTCACCCCCACACAGACTTCTACTGTATTGTCCAGAGATTCCTTCCATCTTGAACCCAACATTGTGCTTGCATTTTGCTGATGACCACCAGGGTATTAGTCAAGACATTTTTGGTTGTAAGGGCTAGAAGCCCAGATAACTTGTTTTCAGCACAAATGGGACCTTGGGGCTATCATGTTGAAAATCTTAGGAGCTTATGGTTTCAGGCTTCCACGCTGCAGTTAAGATGCCACCTCTCTGGATTTCCTGTTAGCTTCATTCGTCCACAGCTCTCTCCAGTTGGGGGCGCCCAGAACATCCAAGTTTATCCTCCCCGGTTCCCACCCAAATAGGAGAAAGTTTTCTCTTTTTCCAACTGCCTCACCAGACTCCTGGCCTGTGTGACCTTGAGCTGACCTGGGTTGTTTGTACAACTGAAGCAATGTTAAAATGTTGTCAATTATTGGCATTCGCATAAATGGAGCACATTCGAATTATCCCTATGGTAACATCCTTTTTCACCATCTTGTATTTGAGGAGCAGTGGACCTAGGGAGTGAAGCTTAAACTCTCTTTGCCACCAGAAATTACTGCTGGTACTTTTAAGAGTGGTGAATTCAAATTAAGTTTATTTTAACAGAAAATTGGTGGTGTCCTTGATTCAGTTTAGTCTGGATTTTATCCATAATAGGCTGTTATGATGTGTTAAGAGAATGAATTTTGGAGTCAACTAAAGGAGGGTCGAATCTTAGCTTTGACACTTACATATCATGTTGCTTTGGAGAAATTCTCAGCTTCACATCCTTCCATTATAAAATGTAGGTAGTAATAATTCTCCTACCTCTTGACATTTTGTGAAGATTAAATTAACATATGCAAAGCGACTAGAATAGAGCAGAGCACATTGTCAAAACTTAAGACTTCTTAGATAGTATCACCATTGCACAGTTCTTATTCCTGACCTGTGGTGTGCATGTGAATACAACCCATGAAGGACTTAAAAATAAAATTGCAAATCATCGTCCTAATCTCCAAACAGGAATCATATCCATTTAGCATAATGGGTCTTATATGAAAGTTATTTTTGTTGATGGTAGTGATGTGCCGGTGGTGATAAGTGCTGTTTCTTTTCCTTCAGCATTTGTAATCAGTACAGCATCATTGCAGACAAAGTCAGTGAGATTCCTGCCAATACGGAGGAGCTGGTATTCCTCATTGAATTCTTAAAGAAATCTAGTGATGTCACAGTGTTCAAACTCAGGAGGCAACTAAAAAATGCAGTTGAACGGCTGGAGTTCCTGATGGACTATGCAGATTTGCCCCGTAAGTCTAAAGCCATATGCACACTACGAATGTTCTCATATATTTATATTTTGAGGGAAAAGGAGTCAGGGAGGAGAGTCAGTAATTCTGTTGCTAAACATCTCTGTTGGGAAGACTGCTTTCAACTGCCCCCATGTTAAGGCACTAATTCCATTCTCTAGCCACAGAAATTTGATTCAAAGGAAATCTTGTTAGATAAAAAGAAGAAACATTAGCCCTCCCTCATGGCACTACGGGTTAAAGTGCAGCACTATGAAGCTATCATCAGTCACTGCACTGCAGCATGAGTTCGATCCCCAGCCAGGGAGCTGACCCACGTGCCACAGTAGACCTCTCCTGACCGCCCACTGCTTCCCCTCAGCAGTGTATTTCAGTAGATCTGCCTGTTCTGCTCCCCGCTCTGTCTCTGGTAAATCCTCTCACCCCATCCCCACCCTGCATCTCTGGCCTGTACTTAGAGGTTCTTGTATGCATAAATAAATAAATCTTAAAAAAAAAACAAACATCTAGATATTTGACTACTACTTAGATTCTTGTATTGGCATCATGTGTCTGTGGAAAAGTCACTTCCACATGCAGAATTCTTTTATAAATTTCACTCCTCTATGCTCTTAATACAGTCTGCCTTTGGAGAGTCTGTAGCACTGTTCTTCATGTTCCAGCATCCTAAAAGGAAAGAAATGACTTGGGACCCTTCATGGCTTATTGGGTCAAGTCAGAATTTTATAAGGAGCAGATTCTAGGAAAAGCTGACATGCTCTTCACAAGCCAAGTTGCAGAGCCTTTTCTTATCTGTGAATTACCTTGTTACCATCTGTGGGAAGGAGGGTGATGGGGCAGAAAAGTGGTGCATGTTTCGAGCTATCCCTCTGCCACATGGACACACTGGACTCTCAGTTTGGTCTCTGCCTCTCAAAGATACAGAGAGCACTAAGATCATTTTAACTGATCAGGGCCATACGATGGAATAAGTATCTGCCATTAATGTTATTACCACCATTTACTGAAAAGGGAAACTGAGACTCAGGTAAGTGAAATCGTTTAAAAACAAACTAGAACTTCAACCCAGGTTTCTGTTTTGTGACACCTGCATGGGAAGGTTATAAACCAGTGGTCAGAAAATGGGCTTTGGAGCTGGTCAGACCTGGAATTGAATTCTGCACTGCAGCTCGAGCAGCGTGGCCTTGACTAGTTGGCTTAAGTCCTTTGTTTTCCCAGTTGCTAAAACAAAGAAGATAGGACTGCCCATCTTCTCGTCTGCTGGTGGTGCAGGCTGGATAAATGCTGGCTTTCATTCATTCAAAATGAGTCCATTCCTTCAGTGCCACGCCCACACCCTCTTCTGCCAACCGCTAGTTCTGCTGTATTGATTCCATATGTGCTGACCCACGCTGAACAGTATTCTGAACAGGTTGTATGTGTTCTTGCAGCCGAGGATATCAAACTGAACAGCACACTATTCCTCTGGCCAGAACAGATTGAAGATATCTTTGAGAACTGCCGAAACCTCCTCATGAACAAGAGGGATCAGGCGGAAATGGACCTGATTAAAAGGTGCAGGGGAGCCTGAGGCTGTTTTAGAAATGAGTCTTGGATTCATAACACTGTGCTGTTTTCTGGTTCTATCCCCGCAACCATGAGTGGGCGAGAGCACAAGACAGTTGGTAGAGAAGGAGTTTCCTTTTGTTTTCCACTGGAGAATGTGCTTTTAAAGCCTGTTTCTTTATAGTAACTCCTGCCAGTGCTTTCCCTTCCTGCCTGAAACAATTGGAATTTGGCAGTGTAGAGGGAAAAAGACAAAAATAGTGGCATGTAACATAGCCTCATGATAACAATGGCAAAGCTGTCAGCCTTCCACGGGAGACCACACATCTGTGAGATACCAAGACAGGGATAAGAAAGTCAGCGTAGGAGCCTGGGAAAGTGCCCGTTTTGCAGCTTGTCTTGTTCCCTGCTAATGTAGCTATAATCACTTACTCATTATTTGTGAATTCTGTCAATATTTATTAGGGATTTTTACTGCCATGCTCTAGTTTATACATGTAGGGGTGCTCAGCCGCTAAATATATACTTCAGTACAGGAACAGAGAAAATATAGAAGTACTGGAAAATCAGATCGTGACAATGAAGTAGGCCAAGGGCCAGTCCATGGTAAAGGCACACACACTTGCACGTGTGTGCCACTCACACCTGTGCATGCACATGCCAGACACACAGATGTGGGTGTGTGTGCCACACGTGTGTGCATATTGTCACACATACACACATGTATGCATGGGCCAGGCATACACACACAGACATGCATGTGAGTGCCACACCCCTCCACTTCTAAACTGTGAGCTGTAGACTTGTTCATACCATCCCCTCCACACACAGATCTCCCACTGCCCAGTTTTAGGTCCAATAATCCCCACAGATACTCATGAGGAAAGGGTTGATAAAAGCAAGGATTTCTATACAAAACAGGAGTTTGGATTGAAGGGTAAATCCATTTAGTTGCTACCTTCAAAATATGGCCTCGGTCTGCTGCATAGAAACAGAAGAAACAAGAAAGTGTGTGCATGCATTTCCCCCAGTACAATCTTCTCCATATACATGTGCATATGTATGCAATGTGTGCATATAAGTGTATCTACTGTCTACATGTTGATGTTATGGATATGAAGTGTTTTGGGAGCTATAATGTGCTAAGCAATTGCTAGAAGTTTAAAACAATAATAGTAATTTTTAAAGATAATCACTGAGATTATACTATAGTCTGGGGTGAATAAACTCAAAACTGCTTTTATCAGAGGTTTTGGAGCTGCTTCAAAAACAAATTTTAATGATGTGAAGAGGCCCAGGGACACTTAATTGTGTGGATAGTGGGAAAATCAGTTTCTCCACCATTTTGTTCCACTCCATGGCAGACCCTGAATATGCTTGAGGGGCATGTAGGAATGTGAGCTTCTCTGCCCCTAGAGAGTGCAATGAATAAGCTTTGCCACCCAGGGGGAAGAAGACAAGATGCCTTAGGGAGAAAGCCCAAATGTTCCTGGAGTCAGAGAGCACAGTGCCTTGCCTAGAGCAGGTACTCACTATGTTGATGAATGAATGGTTAGCCTTCCACAGCAACAATATTCTCTACAGTCTACCAGAGTCTAAAGTCCCAGCTTATTACAAAAACAAAACAAAAGCTGAGAAGAGGGAGACTGTCTCTCATAGCAATGCTGTTCTGCATCTCTGAATCCTTGAGGCCTTGTCGAAGGAGAGAGGGGGTGGCAGTGCCTGTCTTCCCTTCCCTGTGGTGTTCTTGTCTCCATTCCTCTTCTTTGAGAACACAGAGAACAAAAGGGGTAGAGGAAATGGAAGATGAAGTGAATAAATACAGCAGATGCTCTATGAAGGAAATGACGTGAGAGAGAGCATTGCAATGGGTACATTATGTGGGTGAATATGTCACTATAGCACCTCTTAGTCATTCTGTGAATGTTTGTTTACTAGGTGCCAGACACTCTCTGAAGTGCTAGAAATACAAAAAGGAATTATGGACATAAAAGGTGCAGTGATAGAGTTTGCAATCTATGTGGAATATATATGTATATACACATACAAGATAGATACATAAATAGGTAGGTAGGTAGGTAGATAAGTATGTAAGTAGATAGCTAGCTAGCTAGCTATATAGATAGATCTTATATTTGCAGTATCAGAAGATCAAATTCTCCCCCAAGTTGAATATGGATGAATAACTCTGATACTTTGAAATGCACAAAGTAGAAAGTCCAAATGTGACTGGATTATCTTTACTTTCAGGTGCTCAGAATTTGAGTCAAAACTTGAGGGCTTCAGCAAGGAACTGGAAGGCTTTAGGAAGCGTGAAGTGATGACTACAGAAGAAATGAAGAATAATGTTGAAAAGCTTAATGAGCTTTCCAAGAACCTAGATCAAGCGTTGGTGGAATTTGAGGTTGGGGGTCTTGGCTGTTATTTGTAACTCTCTACTTCTTTCTGTTGATTCTGATCCTGGGGTTTGCATTTCCCTGATAATTTTTTTTATTGTTTGATGGACCCGTTCTTTCATTACACTTTCAGCTCCTTTTATCTGTACTCCTGCATCATGCCAGCATTTCTGTTAGTCAGTGAGTACACAACAGAGAAATTGTAGAATAAGTATTTACGTATATTACATGCATTGGGTCATCAACAGTGCAAAGGGATTCAAATGTGATAGACATTATTTGAACTTATTAAAATTTGGGGGGCAGTTACTATTATTATTACCCTTATATGTGCCTATTTAAAATGAACTAAGAGAATTAAGGCTTGAAGAACTAAATAAACAAACAAACAAAAAACTTGCCCTGAAGTTCAGCTGGTAAGTTCTTTAAAGTTCTTACCTTTGAGACTTCCCAGCATAAGAAGGCAGCATCATATAAATAGCTAAGCAAAGATAATGGAGGAAGTAGCAAATTATCGTAGCGGCTCACTCAGCTAGATTTCAGCTGCCGCGACCCTGGAAGCTAGCAGACTCCTTGCTGAAGTCCATGCCTTATTTTCCCCTCTCAGTGAATAGGCTCTTCCTCAACTTGGTTTTCAGGACACTGAGTAATATGCCATGGTGGCTTCTAGAGTTCAGGAGAACTATCCACCCAATGAACAACATCCCCTTTTGCTCTGCAGCTGATCAATAAGGAGGAAGAACTGCTGGAAAAAGAGAAGAGCACCTTCCCCCTCCTGCAAACCATCATGACCAACAAAATGCCTTATGAGCAGCTATGGGTGACGGCCTACGAATTTAGCACCAAGTCAGAGGAATGGATGAACGGTGAGCCATGGCCTCACTCTGTTGGGCCATGAGGGGAGGGAGCAGGTCCACCCTAACCTTATCTGAAATAAGGTCTGGGTTTCAGATTGTGCTGGACTTTGCATCAGATCCTGATGCTTCCATCAGATTCTGATAGGATAATGATGGAAAGTGGGCATCAAAGAGCCAGTCTTATTGCCCTGGTAAAATTGAATAGACAAACACCCAAAGCCATGGAGGGCTATAGGTAGTGACTAGGAGAGATGGGTGGTAAGAAATTAAGATGTCATTTCCACTATTCTGCTGCTTGAAGAAAGACCAGAGCACTATGGCTATCTGTAAATTACCCCATTTTATTCTCTTTCTGGAGGCTAGAGGAATATTTTGAGATGGTAGAGCCATACGACTTATTGATTGATCTGAGAGAGGGCCAGAGGTAGGGAAGGATACGGAAGACCCTATGGTGACTTCTAGGTTATTGGTACAGGCAATTTGGAGGCTATGCCTATCACTAAACAAGGGAAATGGCAAATTTGGGGGGACACTTGTATATATCAAGCATGAGGTATCTGCAGAAATGGAAATGGAAATATTAATTAGCAGTTGAGTATATCAGTCTGGAGTTGGTGGGTTTGGAGAGCTATCAAACTTTCTTAAAGAATTTCAGTTTGAGGCCCTCCCTGGTGGCGCAGCAGGTTAAAGCACAACACTAAGAAGCTAAAGCCACTTCAGCATGAGTTCGATCCCGCCTGCCCCGGAGGTGACCCACATGGCGCGGCAGACCTCTCCTGACCCGCCCGCTGCTCCCCTCAGCAGTGTACTTCCTCAATCTGCCTGTTCTGCTCCCCACTCTGTCCCTGGTGAATCTTCTCACCCTCCGCATCTCTGGCCTATACCCCAGTTCTGCATAAATAAATAAATAAATCTTAAAAAAAATTTTTCAGTTTGAATACTATTTATGCTGATGCTCTTAATATTTTCAGGTACTTGATTTTGTCTACACTGTCAGAATATATTTTAGCTTATTTATCACTTTCATACCCCTGTTTGTGTTCACATATGTGTGTTGATGTAGCCATTATTGCTCCTGTATCAGGGTGATACTCTCAAGGCTTTGAAAATTCAGTAACATGCCCATAGGTTTTACTGGCTTTCAAGTCTAGCTCCACCTTCAAGGCCTGTGCTTTCCCAATAGCTATATCTTACGCATACTTTGAAATTCAGGGAATCAAAAACACACATGACTGACATCTGTGGTGTGGCAGATGATAGGTGGCCTGATCCTTACCTCATGCCCCATGTTTTCTATTTCAGGACCCCTCTCTTTACTAAATGCTGAGGAAATTGTAGAAGAAGTCGGTAATATGTGGAGGACGATATATAAGTTGACCAAGACTCTAGTTGATGTACCTGCCCCCAGGCGCTTAGCAGAGAATGTGAAAATGAAGATTGAAAAGTTCAAGCAGCACATCCCCGTCCTCATCATTTCCTGCAACCCAGGAATGAAAGAACGGCACTGGCAACAGGTCCCTGCCTGCCCCTGAACCAGACCTAAGCAAAAGGTGTAAAGAAGGGGAGGGGGAGGTCACCTGAGTAGACTTCCGGACTTGAGCTACCCTAAGCAGCCACCCATTCTTGGTGCTCAGGGAGCCTCTCCCTGTGGACCTGGCCTGGCAAGAACTCTGAGCCACTAGGGTGAGAGAGGTTAAATGGTAGCCTCTGGTGTTGCTAGAGCTGTCCATGAGATGCCATTGTTGAAGTGTCCACATTAAAGACATTTTAACTCCAGGGGGCTCAGGAAGTCTCCCCTCCACCCACTGCTTTGCCCATGGTGGCATATTTTCAAGAAAAATCACAATCATTGCAAGACACTCATAATTGTCACTTACAGACCACTAAGGTAGACAGGTGGGTTTTTAAAAAAAAAATGTTCCTTAGAATTAAAATAATAATAATAGCTGAACAGTATTGAGGACCAAGTTTGTACTGACAGCTGTGCTGTGCCACGTACTTTCTGTGGATTCTCCTTTCATTCTCCCAGTACTTCTCTTTGAAGCAGGCACCCTTAAGATCTTCAGTTCAAAGATAAGAAAACTGAGGCTTAGAGTAAGTAACTCTTCATGTGGCTACTTGAGCTCTGGAGCAGAGAGTTGAAATCTAGGCTGTTTGGCTCACCTTGCTGGTGAAAAGGAATCAAGAAATGCCAGGTCTGAGAGAGGCAGTGGACAGTAGAGGGCAGTAAGCCATTGGTAAGAGTGCGGTGCAGCCTTTGAAACTGTCTCCTGAGTAATGAGTCCCTGAAGTGGAAGCCCAGTGGGCTGAACAGTAAAGGCCAGCTCAGAAAGAAAAAAGCCACCAGAGCCTGTTCCTGCCTGTATAGGTCGCACCACGAACTACCTTGGGTCAACCCTGGGCCTGGTACCCTCTGTCCTAATGCCCAACTCAGGAGATCCAGTTGCACAGATTTTGTTCTGGCAGAGAGCTCTGAAAGTGATACCTTCAGTAGCTCTCAAGGCTACAAAAAGGATCTTCTGGGTCATGGGGCAGCTGTGTTGTGGTTTCTCATCACTTCCTAGAACTTAAGCAGAAAGGGCTGGTTCCTGTGTTGGGGCACAGACTTCACTGATATCCGCAAAGGGCTGCGAATGTGGTTCAAAGCAAGATGAAACAGTGAGATTTGACCTGAAGGAGAGTCCTCACTGTATGTGGAAGGAGGGTCCTCACTGTATGTGGGAGCGGCCTTCTGGGAGAGAACTGCCCAGCAGGAGCAGTGAAGCCATCCATGTGCTGTTTTCAAAACTATAGACAGGTGAAATAAATGTGATGAATTTACTTTGTTTATCCAAACATATCCAAACCATTACCCTTTCAGTAGCTAGTCAATGCAGCAATATTAATGTGGTCTCCATCCCGAGTCACCGAAGTACAGTGTGCCGTGTCTACGCTTAGGGGTCATCACAATTTGGACTAGTCACCTGTACTTTTCAGTAGTTACAGGGGGTCACTGGTTACATAAAGCACAGTGCAACTGTAGGCTGCTAGGATTAAAAATCCAGATGCTTTTTGAATTTCTGTAATGAACAAAGCAATTTACGAATTAAACCCTCAAATCTCTGAGTCTTTCTTAGGGGCTAAGTACTATGCCAAGTGCTTTACAAAGTGATGTCATTTAATCCCACAAATGGTGTGTTGTCCTAAGCAAGTTCTCTAAGATATGAGAGGTGAATGAGAGTCCAGGACCACCAGGAACAGTTGTGCAGACTGTGCACTGCCCAACTCTAGGGAATGCTGTCTTTGTGCACTGCAATCTGAACGGCCCTTTCTCAAGTCACACTGTGTCTAGTCTGCACAAGTGTGATAGAAACATGTGAAAGGTATTAAAGTATAATGGGTAAGAAATTTGAAGTCAGAATTGGATCCAAATCCCAATTCTGCTATTTATTAACTGGAAACTTGGGCAATAACTTCATTTCTCTGTTTTAGTTTCCTTATATGTATAATAGGAAAAATAATACGTGGGTACCTTCCCAATCATGTTGGGAGAATGAAAGAAGTGTATTAAACTATTAAAACTGGGTCTGCTACATGGCCAGCCCTCAGCAAAGGCTACTTTGATTATTTCCAGTACCTTAGCGACCCTCTGGGCATCCTTAAAACCCAGATCAGCAGCCATTTTAATTAGTTAGCTCGCTCATGCTTTCATTACAACATACCCAGTCTGAATAAGAAGACATGGGGCTAACTGAGAACCTGAAACATGTCTCATGCCCCTTTCTGCCCTGACATTTTAATTCTTGATGGAGCTGGACAGAGAGAAAATTGGGCAGTAGGTAAGGTTTTCACAGACTCATTCCCCTCCACACCCTAGTCCCCTCTTGAGTATACACAACCCTCACAGAACTCTGTCCCCAAGAAAACTATTCAAAAGCTGCAGAGACTTCATTGAAGACCTTTCTCTGGCATGTTTTCTCTCAAAGAGAAGCATGGGATAGTATTTACCCTAAAGGATTCAGCACTACCATTGCTAATATTTCCAACAAGTTAGCATACTGAGGTAGAAAGGAAGGGATGGGGAGCCTTCCTACATCTTAGGCGTCTCAGATCACAGAATTGGGGGTCTGCTTGCCCCATGTACTCATGATTATTCAACAAACACTGCCAGTTCTGTCATGGATGGGTCTTTGCTATAGCCCCAGGAGCCCCCAAACAAACCAGCTCAGCCCCTTAGGTGTGATCCATTTCCCCCCTCTCCAAGTGCTAGTGGGAGAGCAACCCCCATAAATCAGACAGAATGCAGTGTGGGTCTCAGGCTGCTTCCAGAACACTTAGATCAGTACCCCCCAATTTTCTAGCCACCAGCTGAATGCAGCTCTTTCAGTTAATTACATTTAGATGCAGTTTAAAAATGAGCTCCTCACAGTGGAATCACTTTGGGGCAGGGCACTGTAGAATGTTCCCGTCACTGTAGAAAACCCACCTTGGACATTTGTTTTCCACCCTTTGCAGATTAGTGAGATTGTCGGCTATGAAATAAAACCCACTGAAACGACCTGTCTTTCAAATATGCTGGACTATGGATTTGGCAAATTCGTCGACAAGTAAGGTTCTTTCCTTCCTTTCTTTCTTGTGGTAGAAATGTTAGGTGTTGTGTTTTTTTCTGTTCATTTCCTCTATATTCTACATATGATTAAAATGATCTAGCATTCTCTTGTGATATTTCACTTAGCCTCATCCCCTCTGGTTCTGCCCATGTTTTCATAATTAGCAAGAGTTCATCTTTTTATGCCTGCATGGTAGACTATTTTTGGTCAAAGTATCTGTAAGTTCTGATGTTTTTCTCCTCCCTCTGGTTTAGGGTAACTTAAGGTATTTTGTTGTTATTTTTAATTGTACTTATTATGATAATATTTATTTACAACACTTTTTATGTTTTAGGTGTATATGTGTCCCATTCTACAAATGTGTGTTATTACACCAGGCCTACTACCAAGCCCAATAATCCTCCCCCTCAATCCAGTGAACCCCTTAATAACTCCACTCTGACTGACGAGCCTGGGGAATCCCTTATCTACATCTGCAGAGCTGATGGCATCATGACTAGAAAACTGACTCAGCTGTTTTATTTCAAAGGAATTTTTTAAGTTCCTTTTATTTTTTAAATGAAAATACTATTTTGCCCCTAGAATTTTTATTTGATTTTTTTTGAAGTAACATTGCACTACGTAAGTTTCATTATAAGTCAACGTGTGTGCGTGCTATATTAAGTTCCCCATGAACCAGATCCCACAGCCTCACTCTCAGTGACTTTGGGCAAAACCGCTTAACCTTTCTGGGCTTCAGTTTCCTCTTCTTTGAACAAGCAAACAACAAGAAACAAGAGTAGCTTTCTGAGCTCAAAAACTCTGTGAGGCGTGAGCAAACGAGAGATCTCTTTTCCTGCGCTTTCTTCCCTTCTCTGGAATTTGTGCTCTCTCAATTACTGTTTTTAAAACCAGGAGTCCTCAGGACTCTGTTCCTTCCACATTTTCACAGGGCAATTGATGAGAGATGTCATATTGTCTGGCCAGACACCTTATTAGCAACAAGGTTCAGGCCTTGTTAACATGTGTTTTTCAGAACAGCTGTATGAGCATCACATGGGGCCTTTTTAGAAATGCACATTCTCAGCCTCCACCCCAATATGCTGAATCAGAAATTCTGGGGCTGTTTCCAAGAGGACACCAGTTGTTGGCTACACTGAGCATTTTCTATACCTTGGCCAGTCAACTTATCCATTACAGCAACCTAATGTTTTAGCTAATGTTATTGTTCGAATGTTACAGAAGATGAAAGAAATGGACTGATAAGATGAAATGACTAACCTGAAGTCAGTCAGTGACCGAAACAAACAAAACCTGAGTCCAGGTCGCTGACTCCAGAGCATTAACCATCACCGACAGAGCAAGCACACAGCAACTTGCCACTCTCTATGCCAGTGTGGTGATGCTGTGTCCGAGATATTTACATCTGTGTGCCTCAGTTTCCTTATCTGTAAAATGGGATGAGTAATGCATAGTTGCTGGGTGATTATAATTGCTCTGGGAATTATGAGCCGAGGCGTGGAAACCTGATTGATTTAATATCTAGGTACCCCTATCAGTGAGTGCGAGGTTCCCTGTGTCCCACCAGCCCATAGTGCAGCTCATGTACCACACTAGCGTGAGGTCGACACTTAATATACTTTATGGACCCTCAACGGGATTGATCTCTCCCTTGTGCAGTTGTCTGCATAATTATAAGACACATCTGTGAGCAAATTACCAACCCCAGATGTGAGCTCAGGGGACCTGAAGGGTAGATTTCTAAGACTCCTATGTCATACTCACTTGGGCTGTCACCTGCCTCCTGTTAATTATTCCCTATGTGCATACTTGCTTTGGTCATCACCCAGGAAGGCCACACTTAGGACAATGGCCCTGCTGTTGAGGTCTTGCTTGGCAATCCGTATGTATCACTTGCCTACCTGCTATAGCTAATGAGAATTCTCAGCTCTATGTGGCTAGTCCTATTTGACTGACCACACACACTTCCATTGCCCCTTTGACAAAGAGAGAGACAAGACACATCATGGAGGTGGAAGAAACACCAGGTTAGGAGTGACAGGAACTGGTCTCGACTTGATTCCAGTGCTGCCCAGCTAGCTGTGCATGTGCCTTGGACACGTCACTTGTTTCCTCTGCACTTCAGTTTCCTGACCTTTAAGTAAAGACCAGATGGGCTCACCTGTAGCCTAGAATATCATGAAAGGTGGGCGCAAGGCAGAAAGAACAGAAAGAGTAACCCCTTCTCCTTCCAAGGGCTTGGCTTCTTAATTCTTAGGCCACCCAAATCTCCATCAGGAATAGGGGGGAAATTTATCTTCCTCCTCTCTCTGCTTCCCCTTTGCTATGGAATAGAAATGAGATAGACATATAGATGGGAAGGCCAGTATATTAAGAAAATAGCAGGTAGTTTTCAAAAGGGCAAATAGGGGAAGTGGGGCAAAAGTCATTACACGAATTAAGAGAAATTCTAAGATCTGAATAAGCTATCAGAATATGGACAGATGAAAAAACAAAGAGATTCTTGTTCTAAATATCTTGAAACAATGGTTTTCAGTGAGGGATGAACCCCTCCCCACCCCCGGGGACATTCGGCAACATATGGAAGTTGTTTTTGATGCCACAGCTGGTAAAGGGGACAGGTGTTGTCTGCTACTGGCATCTGGAAGGCAGACTTAGCTAAACACCCCACAATGCACAGGACTGTGCCCATCAGTCACCACCCTGTATTTATTTGCTAGATCTGCTAGAACAAATACCAAAGATTAGATGGTTTAAACAACAGTAATTCATTTATTACAATTCTACAGTTTTAAAGTCCAAGATCAATTAGTTGGCATGGTTGGGGTCTTCTGAGACCTCTCTTCTTGGCTTGCAGAAGTGGGAGAGGACAGGGGGAGCTTCTTTGTCTTCACAGGGTCTTCCTTCTGTGTGTCTGTGTCCTAACTCTCTCTTTTTATAAGGGCCCAGCCATGTTGGACCAGGACCCAACCTAATGACCTAATTTTCACTTAGCCACCTCTTTCAGGGCCTCCCTTCCTCCGAGTTGGGGGCCTCACATTTTGAGGAACACAATTCAGCCCATAAAATCACAGGTGCCAAGTGTAAGAAAGTCTGTGAAACAATGGAAATTGTAAGAGTTAATATATCTGAGAATACAAGAGTAAACCTTTTGGTAAAATTAAGTTTTTTTCATTTCTCCTTTGGCATGGTTTTTCTCCCCCCCCCCCCCCCCCCCCCCCCGCTTCCTCCTGTTAATATTGCTGTTACTGTGTTCTTTCTTTAGACTGGAGCCCATTGGCGCAGCTGCCAGCAAGGAACATTCTCTGGAGAAAAACTTGGAGAAAATGAAGTTAGACTGGGTTAACATGTCATTCAACTTCGTGAAGTACAGGGACACTGTGAGTCATCATCCTGGAGTGCAGCCCCCAGAGAGCCACCCAATTATAATTACCTAGTAGGTTATAGAGGAGAGCCATTCCAGTTTGCGACTGAACTCATGGAGGAAGGATCCTTGACATTTTTCTAAATTTATCTTTATTGAGACATTGACATAGAACACTGTGTGAATCATGTGTGAGGTGTACCATGTGTTCACCTGACACGTTTATATAGTCCAATATGAGCACCACTCTGGTGTCAGTGAACAACTCTGTCACATCACAGAATTATCATTTCTTTTTCATGGTGGGTGCAATTAAGACCTAGTTTCAGCAACTCTGAGCTTTTTTAATGCAATCTCCATGCCTATAACCACTATACTGTGCATTGGATAGTTTCCACCCTGGCCTTTCTGTAACGTCCTCCTTCCTCCCAATCACTGCAGGAGGGATGTATTATTGAATGAGAAAGGCCTTTTGATTCAGAACAGCAAGCTTCCTCAGTGCAAAAGAGCTGAGCAAGCCTCCTGAATTGGCATCTCCCAAGGAGGGCTCCCCAGGTGCCTCAGAAGCAAACCTGGGGTAGACAAAGCTCTTCTCAAATGTTCATAATTGCAGGACATACGTAGGGAGCTTGTGAAAGTACAGGTTCTGATTCACAGGTCTGGGCTGGGGCTGGAGGTTCTGCACTTTTAACAAGTTCCCAGGTGGTCTGAGAGCTATCACCTATGGCTCTTATATGAATAGCAAGGGGGCAGGCTTCTTTCTTCCCTGGCAGTGTGTCCACTCACAGAGTCTGGGTAAACCTGATGAGCTTGCTCCTAAGATGGGCTGTGGGTGGGGGTGGGAAGGGCTGCTCCTTGGGTGAGTTAGCAAATTAGGGAGCTATTAAAAAAACTCAACTGGGTAAATTTTAAGATCTCATAGCCTTCATTCAATGATTCATGAATTAGACAGCCTCTCATTCACAAAAGGAGCTCTGAAGAGCTGTACAAAATGAGACTTTTACAGGCAAAAGGGAGCAGGAGAAGGAAGTTGTATTAATAACAAGTGGACTGGTTGTAACAAAGTCACCTTCCTTTAGGGGATGGCAGGCAGGTGACCTCACTGGTGCTGACCAGGTGATTCAGATGACTGGTTTAAGAATCCATTGCTGGGAGAGCTGAAACTGTTAAGTAAGGTATTAAGTCTTGGGTTGGTAATGTAGGGCTTAGCTTAGCTAAACCAGTCAGATTAGCACTTGATCCCACTGGAGAGAGCCAGAGAGGCAAGGAGATGGAGAAGCAGGATCATAGGGAAGCAGGCAGAAGTTAGGTAAGTGACTCCACTTTATGCTCCTAGTCTAAAATGCATATGGTACAGGCCATCAGCCATTAAAGCAGTGCTTCTTAATCCTGGTTGTTCGGTACAACAGGGAAGTTTTCAGAAAAATCTCACTTCATCCTCCCTGGGTTGTCTACCTGCAGAATGCCTGGACATCCATATGTTAAGCATCGTGGTTTTTCTAATGAGCAGTGTGTGCTGAGAACTAACCCTGAAAGTCTCCACACCTCTCTCCTCTCCCAGGCGACAAGTCACCATTTTGTGATTTCTTTCTTTTAGTCACTATGCCTTGGTTCCCATTGGATAAGCCATTGGGAGTGAGGAGAACTGGGATCTTCTCCTAGCAAGTTCAAGTCACCATGGATCCCAGCAACTGGGTGCTACCTCATTTGATTGGATTAGCTACTGCCAGAGATGTTGGGCTAAGGAGTTAAGCTGGGAGACCTGGTAGTAGCTCGGTTATGACTGGTAGAACTGTAGAGTTTTCAACCCATGTGGCTATAGACAACATTCCACAGCAAAATGGGAATCAAGGGACTACTTGACTAATAGCTGGACATAACCTCCAGTGCAGCGTTAACATTAAATGGGGGAATAAATCCAAGCTGTGGTTTTACTACTCACAGGTAGGCTTGACGGAAGTGGAAACAAAACAGGAAGGACTCTAAGGCAGACTCTAAGTTTTCTTGTTACCACAGCCCAGGGCCAAGTTTACCATCCACAAGGACTGACCTTTAAGGCCCAGTAACCTAGACTGTTAGTAAAATTAGACCCAGTTAGTGTTTAGGCAGAACTTCCCAAACTTTCTTGTTATGATAGCTTTTATATACCTATTTTTTTAATGAAGTAAAAATTCAGACAACTTAATAAGATGTTCTATCAATTTAGCAATTGTTTGACAAAATTAATACATACTAGTTGAAAGAATTACATTTATATCATATTCTAAAATAACTATAATCTACTGCTATGAGTTTGTTCAGTGCTCTGGAACGCCTCAACCCAATTTGGGAACCATGGATCTAGGCCTTGCCAGTCAGATTAGCACTTGGTTCCACCGGAGAAAGCCAGGAAGGCAAGGAGACAGAGAAGCAGGAACATAGGGAAGCAGGCAGAAGTCATTTGCCATCAGCAGATACTAGTTGCATTTCTGGGATTAGATAGTTTTTATTTCTGCAAAGAAATTTGGAAAATAAATATTTTTAAGAATATTTTCAAGGAAGAAGCTAGAAATTCTGTCCCTTACAAACATAGTTCCTTTCCTATTGGGATGGAGCTCTGAGCTGAAAGCTTCTGGCAATCAGCATGAAAAGCGGGGATTTCATGACTCTGATAGAGTGGGTCATCTTTATTTACAGGATACAAGCATCTTGTGTGCAGTTGATGACATTCAACTGCTCCTCGATGATCATGTGATAAAGACCCAGACCATGTGCGGCTCCCCATTCATCAAGCCAATAGAAGCAGAATGTCGGGTAAGAGGAAATGAGGTTCAGTTATCGACATCCCATTAACTCTGGGTTTCTGGGAGGAGGAAAAGGATTTTAAAGTTCAATTAACTAAGAGAATCACTTTCTCCTGTTTGGAAAAAAATACGAACCATAAGGCTGAAAGCAATAACCACCCAAGTAATATATGACCTGTTAAGCTCGTGTAACCATCTGCAAAAGAGAAGAGGAGATTATTTGAGTGAAACAAATGAAAGTGGGTTTGGAAAATATCTTGTGGGTGCTAGTAATCTAATGAAAATGGCATGAGGGTGGGAATTTGGCCTTCTTTGTTCATTGTTTATAGAAGTGACATAGGGCAAAGTCACAGGTTCTGGATCTGCCTGGGTTTTCAAATTCTGCCTCTGCCTCTTATTACTTGTGTGACCTTGGGTAAGGTACTTAAACTTGTTGTTTTAGTTTCTGTACCTACACACAAAATTTGTAATATCTTCCTCATAAATGTTGGGTTAATTTCACACATGTAAAGTGCTCAATCATTATTTGTTACAGAGTAGGTATGGTAACTATTATTATTGTTGTTATCTACTAGAATGTGAACTCCATAGGGACAAGGATGCTCTATTTTATTCATTATGGTATCTGCATTGCCTAGAACAGTGACTGAGATTAATCTATCCACCGTCTAGGCAGTGGGTCTGAGAATTAGAGTAGCAGATTAATAATTCAGATTGAAATGCTAAATTTGCAGAAGTGGGAAGAAAAACTAGTTCGTGTACAAGACATTTTGGATGCCTGGCTGAAATGTCAAGCCACCTGGCTGTACCTGGAACCAATCTTCAGTTCAGAGGACATCATTGCCCAGATGCCAGAAGAGGGCAGGAAATTTGCCATTGTCGATAATTATTGGAAATCACTTATGTCCCAAGCTGTAAGTTTTTACCTGGTGGCACATCTCACCATCAGGGATGTCCCATTGTGCATTGTAAATTTGGCCCTTGAAACTTTTAAGTAAACTAGATTTTTCCGAGTTCAATATTTTTGCTCTTTTCCCCCTAAATACAAAAGTTATTGTTATTAAAATTCCAAACAGAAATATGTAATATGGAAAGTGGAGGCTTCTCAGTATTCCATCTCCCTGGAGATAATAGCAGTGTGTATAAGTTAGTTTAATGAGGTTATAGGATGCTACAGTAAAACTTCTTTAGGTTTGGAATTCTTCCAAAAAGGATTCAAATAATTATCTACATTCATTTACTCAGGGATTTTAAAAATATACCTTCAATACCTACAACCAATATTACAACACAGACATTGTATAATAAGTCAGAAAGTACTTGAAGATGACTAAGATCTGATTTCTGACATTATAGAACTCATTGTTCTATGAGGAGACAATTCAGAAAAAACATGAACTATAGTAGAGATGGGATGGGTGCAAACAGTTTTTAGAATACAGAAGAGTGATTTAGTTGCCTGGAAACATCCGGGAAGACCTCTAAAGAGGGTGACTTTGAAAAAATCATTGGCAACCAGAAGATCATTTCTTTTTCCTTTTTGAAGTCAAGTGTGCTCAAACTGGAATACATTTGTAAAGAATTTGTCTCAAGGGAATTTGTCTGCCCTGGTTGTTTATAGAAGTGAGATAAGTGGGGATTTATATACCCAGCCATTGGAACCAGTTTTTGTAATATCTTGCTTCCTCCCAACTCTAATATTAGAGTCTTTGTTGCAAGTAATAGAAACCCACTAAAGGTAGTTCAATCTAAAGACCAAAAGGAGGTCTCCTAGAACCCAAGGACAGAAAGTGCAGCTAGATTCACAAAGGATAGATCTAGAACTCAGACGACTCTCAGGAACGCACAAAGTGCTCTTTCCACACCTCCTTTGATCTTTCTCTGCAGGTTGGTTGGCAATGCCACTTGGTCACATGATGAGAAGTGGTCCTCACAGAGCAGCAAAGTCACTTCATTCAAAGGGCCAGACCAGACTACTTTAAAATGTGGTAGTCTAAATTTCAAAATCCCAGAAGTTCAATGTAATTGACTTGGTTGGTTTGGGGTACCTAACTTTAGCTCAGTCAACCATGATTAGAGGAACAGGATCATATTATATAGTTACTCACTTTGTGGGACTAGGGCAGGGATTAGAAGGTTGTGAGTCAGAGAAAGTCATGAGTTGATGTATTCTTTTACAATGACCAGTCTTAGAATCTTGGAGTTCAATAATGATTTTTTTAAAGATTTATTTTATTTTATTTATGCGTACAGAACTGACATATAGGCCAGAGGTGCAGGGGCAGTGAGAGGATTCACCAGAGACAGAGGGGAGCAGAACAGGCAGATTAGTGAAATACACTGCTGAAGGGAGCAGTGGGCATAGGAGAGGTCTGCCATGTATGTGGATCACCACCGGGGTTGGGGATCGAACTCATGCTGAAGTGGCTTTAACTTCTTAGTGCTGTGCTTTAACCTACTGTGCCACTAGGGAGGGCCCTGGATAATGATTCTTATCATGAAATTTAGGTGAAGGATCCAAGAGTACTGATGGCAGCAGACCAGCCACGGATGAGTGAGAAACTTCAAGAAGCCAACCTTCTGTTGGAAGACATCCAGAAGGGGCTGAATGATTACTTGGAGAAGAAGAGACTGTTTTTCCCCAGGTACTCAGTATTGTTATTTTGTTTGGAGTCACCTTCTTGACCCATAAGTAAATGGAATGCGTATTTCATACTGAGAGCTGGCTTCCACCAATCTATTCCATATTCTTTCCTGGCTCTCCATTCCCAGGAGACAGGTCTCGAGGGCAAGGCATGGTCATTATTTAAAGTGATGTTGAATGGAACCAGATCTGCAGTTGAGCTAATCAGCATGGTCAAATACCCTATTCAAGGTGTATAGTAGTCACGACTAAGAACCTATACTTTGTAATGAAATAGACCTTGATTCAAGGAAATCTATCCAAGTTTCCATTCTGCACTATAAAATAGAAATATAATAGTGGTTCTGACCACACATTCAGATTATTGTTTAGGAAATGTCAGCTTATTTGTTTTACCATTAAATTTTGTGGTTTCTGGCAGTTATAAATATTTGACTCCTTTTCCCCACAGGAACCAGTATTTTCCACATAAAAGTCAAGAGAGTTTTAGTGGGCCAGTCCATAAAGAAGGGTCCTCACTTCTGATTACCTGTTCACTATGAATGATCACTGCATGTCATTTCAGTGATTCGGGTGAAGGTGTGATTCTAATTTGCCTTTAAGAAAAGTAAATTTTAGTTTTCTCCTTATATGAAGACAAAGTTAGTTCTAGACTTTTACTTTAAAAAAATGGTGGAGAGGGCTGTTTGGAATTTAGAAATATTGTTGGTATCTATTTAATGTAGCATCATCCAATGGAACTTTCTTTCATGGTAGGATTGCTCTATATCTGTGCTGTCTAATATAGTAACTGCATACTTCTATACTTTTTTATATGGTTAGCGTGACTGAGAAAAAAAATTTAATGTTAGTTTTTAAATTTAAATAGTCACATGAGGCTAATGGCTTCTTGAATAGCACCAATAGTGAGAGGAATCTCAGTTTAGATGCACAAACTCGGGAAGAGGAAATCCCTGAGATTTGGTCTAATACCATAGCCTCTATTGTTCCTCATAAAAACACACATAAAAACCAACACAGTAGCATTTGTCATATTCCAGGATACTGCTGTAAGTGCTTTATTTGTATTAAATTATTTAAACCTCATAATTATACCATGAGGTTGGAAACATTATTATTATTATCACCATTTTACAACTGAGGAAACAATAATTGGTCAAAAAACAAGACTGGGTAAACAGACAAGCTAGAATCGAAATTCAGGCTGTCAGGAGTTGATATTATTTAACCTCTGAGCCTCATTTTCTCACTCACTCACTCACACAGACACACACACACAGATATCTCAATATTTCTTTATGCATCTTTATGGAATAAAATTAAGCACTGTCAGCGAACACTTTGAAAATGCCATTGTTACTCACATATTTTAAATTTTAATTTGAAAATACAAATTACTAAATAATATTTTTAATTGTAAATTATTCAAGTATATTAATTATTACTCTGGTGGCCATTGAGCCTTATTAACTTCATACATGAGGGAGATAGAGGCTATGTGAATACACAGAGGTAACCTATTTGAATTTTACTTGGGAATAGGAGAAAATGACCTCCTTACTAGATGTTGATTAGTCAGCAAATAATTACTGAGCTAGTCCTACCTGCTGAACACTGCAACTACAGTGTGTTCATTTATATAATAAGTTACTCCCAAATTAAGAAACTTAAGTAGTAGCTATTTTTCTGAGTAGTTGGCAAATTGGGCAGGGCTCAGCTGGGTGGTGGTTCTGGTCCTAGCAGGTCTGCTCATGCCATAGCAATCGGCTGGTGGTCAATGACCTCATGTACCTTTCTGCTGTTTGGCTTCCTGTTAGCTGGGGCAATGAGGAGCGGTGAGCCACATGTCTTTCATCATCTAGAAAACTAGCCTGGGTTTATCTAGCTTGTGGTGGTCACCGGGTTCTCAGGAGCAGCAGAAATGGAAGCTTCAAAGCCTGTCAATGCCCAAGCTTGGAACCTTCAACCACTCTCCAGCCAAATTAAACTCACATATGCTAGCTGTCACCTTTTTTCCTTCTCTGAAACAAAACCATACCCTCTTTCTGTGTTCCAGATGAAAAGTAGTGAAGGGGAGGGGACCTTGGAGAAATCACTAGAACAGAGTTGATATTGACCAGGTTGTCATCTACCTGCTGGGAAGTGTCACCTTGTTAGAGGAAGCCCTCAGAAGAGAATCCAATTGTCCTATTTCTTTGCTCTGAAATAGGTTCTTCTTCTTGTCCAATGATGAGCTACTGGAGATCTTGTCAGAGACAAAGGACCCCCTCCGAGTGCAGCCACACCTGAAGAAGTGCTTTGAAGGAATTGCCAGGCTGGAGTTCACAGATCTTTTGGAGATTGTGGGCATGATCAGCTCAGAGAAGGAAACCGTTCCATTCAATCAGAAAATCTACCCAGCTCAAGCCAAAGTAACTACCTAGCCCATTTATATATATATATTTTTTCTCCATAGCACAGCAAAATAGAGAGGCAGAGAGTACATTGACTAAGGATTAAGCTTTTGGACTCTGGGTTGACTGCCAGGGTGGAACACCTGGGTGCACAACTTAGAGTGAATTTCTTTTTCTGTTTCATTGCTCATTGTCTCTTTTTCTAAAATGAATATTATATTGCTATCCACATGTCAGGCTAAATTTATGGAAGGATCTAGACCAAACTTGTGGAAGCAGTGGCAGGAATCAGATGCAAACCATTGGTGCTGTTCAGATCCCCATGAGTCAAGCCTTGATTAAAATGATCCAGTCAGAAAGACGCTTGCTGGAGCAGACATTTATAAAAGTCAGTAGAACATCATGGAGTCAGTGCCATTAAACTCAGATTTTTACACGTGTCCTCATGTAATGAGTAAAATGTACATTAATCCCGCCCCTGTGGATATGATAGCAGCCAAGGTGGAAACAGACAAGCACGCTTGGTCTCCCTGTGTTGACGGTTTGCCACCCACACACATACCTGTGGCAACTACTCGGAGTTATGTCACCACATCAGACACCAACTAGCTCACAGACTCATGAAGTCAATAGCTAGTTACCTGAAGTTCTAAAAGTGAAGAATTTGCTGCACATTTAGATTACCTGTTGACCTTTAAAAAAAACTCAGCTCCCCACATTGCATTCCATACCAATGAAATAGGAATGTCTGGGAGTTGGGATTAGATGACTATTTTTTTAAAGGATTCCAGATGATTCTAATGCACAACAAAGTTTGGGAACCACAGGAATAATGGAAGAATCAAGTCAGTTCATTAGAAATGAGCGACTTTTTTTTTTTTTGTACTAATTTTTATGAGGCCTAAAGGACATCTATTAGTTTCAGGTGTACTACAATGATGTGATACTTGTGTATATTGTGAGATGATTTCAATAAATCTAGCCACCACCTGTCACTAAATATGGTTATAATTTTTTTCTTTTGATAAGAACTTTTAACATGTATTTTTAAAGCAATGTTCACAAATGTAAGACAGTATTAATTATCATCTCTATGCTGTACATTACATCCCATGATTTATTTATTTTATAACTTATTTTGTATCTTTTGACCTCCCTTCATCCATCTTGCCCTATAGCCCCTTGCTCTGACAGCCAACTATCTATTCTCTATATCCAATGTTTGGTTATTTTTTGTTTTGGTTTGTTTTTAAGTTCCACATGCAAGTGTGATCATACAGAATTTGTCTTTGACTCAGTTCACTTAGCATAATGCCCTCAAGGTCCATCCACGGTGTGGCCAATGGCAAACTTTATGACTATTGAATTATAGTCCACTGTGGGAATCTTACAGCCTACGTGCCCTTCAGTTGCCTCCGTCTCATGGCTATTGTACATAATGCTGCAGTGAATACAACTTATTTTATTAACGAAAATATGTCATTTGTCATCTAAGAAGTTATCTGTTTCAGAAAGTGATATGAAAGAAATGCATATTAAAAAACAACCCTCCCTGGTGGTGCAGCAGGTTAAAGCCCAGCACTAAGAAGCTAAAGCCACTTCAGCACCAGTTCAACCCCCATCCCAGGGGTAACCCACATGACACAGCAGACTTCTCCTGACCCGCCTGATGTTCCCCTCAGCAGTGTACTTTGTCGGTCCGCCTGTTCTGCTCCCCACTCTGTTTCTGGTGAATCCTCTCACCGTCCTGGCACCTCTGGCCTGTACCCCAGTTCTGTATGCATAAATGAATAAATCTTTAAAAAAAACTAAGAAACAAAAACAACCCATTGTTCCCTTACAAGACAGGCATATACTTCCTAGAATACAGAAAATAAGTATAAAGCAGTACAAGATCTTGCCTTAAAGGAGTGTCAGTCTGGCCTTTATCTTCTTTCCAACTCTGTCCAGTTTGAAAGTGGGTCCTCTCCTCAGCCAAGGGCCTGGTTAGCTGTTGCTGACTCTCTGTCTACTTCTTGCAGGGCATGGTGGAAAAGTGGTTGCAGCAGGTGGAGCAGATGATGCTTGCCAGCCTGCGGGAAGTTATTCGACTGGGGATTGAAGCATATGTCAAGGTAAATGAGACCTGGGTACATATGTCAGGATATTGGCACAGCTGCAAGAACTTTGGGGAGGCTAAATGGATCTGTAACCCATCCCAGGTGCTGCTGGGTAGCACCTGTCCCCTCTGTGCCTCTCTCCTGTTCCTGTAAATACTGAGGTGACCTACATCTTTCTGGTGAAATGCTTGCAGCCAGAAGCAGGTGACACAAGAAGATAGCCAGAACATTGGTTCTATGGGTCAGTGTTAATAGTTGAAGACATGGGTCTCTTCAGAACCTCTTCCAATTAAGCATTCCTCCCTTTAGAGTTTTCACTTACATTACACACACCCTAAGTGGCATAACTCATTCAACTCCCAAAAGTTTACCTGAAACAGGCGTGATAGAAGCCTAAGAGAAAAAAATAAACATGTGACAAATTACTCTCAGCCAGCCCCTGGCAAAGTTAGTGATAACCGACTGGATCTTTAGCCTTCTCTTTCCTTCTTTTTACTTTCCTAACACACCTTCCAGCAAAAAGAAAAATATGCAATGAACATCTTTCCACCAAAGTGCCAAGACATCCTCAGCTATCCATCAATGGTGTTCTCATTGCATAGGAATGACCATTTCTTTGTCCATAAATAAAAAATTAAAAACAAACCGACAACCTACATGGAATTAAGTGAGGCAGTTAGTTGCATCTATAGCAAGCATCAGCAAACTTCCTGAAAAGTTCCAGATAGCAAATTTTTTCAGCTCTGTTGGCCACACACTGCTGTCCCAACTATTTGCCTTTGTCCTCGTGTGGAAACACATGGTTGATATTTACATGATGCTGATGGCTGAGTTATAACCTTATTTGTAAAGACACACATGGTCCTATTTGGCCATATTCCTGATCTTTGGTTAAGAATAAGGTGTGTGTGTGGGCCCTGGGTGTGAGGGAGCGTGGCTGAGAAAAAGCTGCAGCGCCGCTCCGGCACAGTGTGTGGCCATCAAGAACAGTAGCTGCAAATGATCTCTAAACACCACCTTGATTATAACTGTATAAAATCCCTGGATATGGAAGCATTAATAAAAACTCAGAGGAGTGATGGAATTGTTGGTGATGTCTCTTCTTTTTCATAAAATTCAGGGGGGAGGATGTATGTCAGTAATTCCGGAGAGGTGAAGCTGCGTAGCCGGGAGGATGGGAGGATTTTGGATGTGGTGTGGGGCACCAAAGGAAAGAACGTTTGTAGGTCAGTTTACACTCCAGATGAACTGTATTTCCCAGGTCCCGCGTAACCAGTGGGTCTTGCAGTGGCCTGGCCAGGTAGTGATCTGTGTCTCCTCCATCTTCTGGACCCAGGAGGTATCACAAGCCCTGGTTGAGAAGACTTTACCAGTAAGTAGGCTGGCTGAGAAGCTCACAGAGGAGATTCAAGCTTGATTCAAGATTAGGATTGAATGACGTATAATGAAAGTAACCATGTTTTCTAAGCAAACAAAAATAATCAGGCCCATGGTGTCACAGAAGCCAGAATGCTCATGGGGAGTATGGGATGGAGAATGTGGTATTGGGGTGAGGGAGAAGGAGGCATGAGGGATAACATTCAGGAGTCTGGCTTGGGTCACTAGGGCATAGATGGATGGTGCCCTCCTTGAGAAGGAATTACCAGAGGGGAATTCAATTTAAGTCATTGTCCCCTCTTCTGTCCCTGCCAGGATTTTCTGCAAAAGAGCAATAATCAGATCACACAAATTGTGCAGCTGGTTCGAGGGAAGCTGAGCAGTGGTGCTCGACTCACCCTTGGGGCCCTCACAGTCATCGATGTCCACGGTGAGCAAGGAGACTGCCCCATGTTACGGACCCTGCAACAATGGCCTCCCCGCCTTAGCCTTGGAGGGAGTGATTCGAGGTGTCCTTTCCCATGAGGGAGAATAAGGAGGGATCTAGGAGAGCAGCCAGTGCTCAAGGCATCTGTTTCTCCATCCTCGCAGCCCCACCCTTATTTCCAGGACCCTCCGAGCATTCTTACTGCAACTTTGGTGGCCACAAGCATGTGTGAAATTTACCAGCTGGAAGCAATTCCCCATAGGCTGGCACCACTAGAATTTTGAATGGTCACCAAGTGCCAAGCTTTGTGCTAAGTTCTTGCCCTATATATCTTATTTTATATGCATTTCACAGATTAAGAGCCTGAGAGCAACTTGCTGAGTGGCACTCAGCTAGTTAGAAGCAGAGGCTCTTTTGATTCCAAACCAAGAGGCTGAAAATGGACATTGACACAGAGAGGGAAGATAATGCCTTCCAGCTCTTCCTTAAACACACACAAAAAGGAGGAGGAGTAAGAACTGGGGTCTTTATATAAAACAACCACCCCCACACCCTCACTCCATCATCACTAAGGTAACGAGGGCTGGCCCAGGCTGGTTGCCTAGAAACAGTGTTTCTCCAGCTCACACACCCAGCTTCGTACTGGCATTTCATGGCATCTTATTCTCCTTAAAGTTGCTGCTCATTTCAGTCTGATTTCATTTGACTAAATGTGCATAAAATCATGAAGAGATCGTGTGGGTGCATATCCTGCTTGTAAAGATGTGAGTACAGGTGCAGTTACTGGCCAGAGCACCCCAGATTGGTCATGTTCACATGTGCACACATACACACACACTCACGCATGAATGCAGATACACACATACTACATGGTAAAGACAACCCCATTCAGTCTCTTCCTCTTGGGTCTCCCATGCAGGCCTCTACTCCTGATAGGCCCTCCAAGTGTTCTCTTAAGAAACTGGAGGGGAATTAAAGATGGAAGAACTGTTAGTATAATCATCTTCAAGGACTCTCCTCTGTAGGATTTAGGATTTTACTACAATAAAGATTTCTCTCACAGAACAGCAGTAGACTTACAGAAGAGCCCCCTCTTGCAAAGTTATGTTTCTGAGATCTTAACTTCGAGTGCTGTACTAATTCTGAGATTTCAATAGCTTTCAGCGTGAGTCACCTGAAAGAAAATGATTCTTAGAAACTTGTGTTCACTCTTCAAGACTCCCATTGGTGTGAAAAAAAATGATATGAGGGCCTTATATAAAATAAAGAAGAAAACTTAGAAATGTCTTTTCTAGTTGGTTTCTCATGTTCCCAGATAAAAAGAATACATCTAACCATCAATTCATGGAACCCTTTCTCTTTCATCAGGCCAAATCAAGTACATTCCCTGGAGGCCTGGAACAGAGCCAAAGAATCACACTGGGGCTATGGCAGCATTTGGGCTAACCAATATTACAAAACTCTCTGGGCCAGGTCCTAAGAAAGTTGGGAATGATACCAGTAACTAATAATTCTGTGATGCTTTAATAGTTGAAGCATAATTCTATCTATCTATGTGTATATATTTAGACACGTGGATACTTATCTATGTCTACATATGTGTTTATATGTTACGGAAGGATAGAGATGATTAGTAACTTACTTGAAGTTACATAGCTAGTTAGTGGCAGAACCAAAGTTGGACCCAGGCAGTCTCATTTCAGAGCATGCATTTTTAACACTTTTACTCTACTTTCTGAGGGCTGGCAATGCAGCAGATTCTCCTCCTGGATCCTTGGGCAAAGCAAAGACCAGCTTCTGATAGATACTGTTGCCTGCGGGCTGTGAGTGGCATAGAGTAGCTGAGCCTAAAAATTGTTTGGAGAGCAAGGAGGGGCCCTGATAAAGTCCTCTCCTGGGGAGTCTGGGAGACAGGGTGACACTGACAGCTCTGACTGTGTGTGTCTCTGTCTTTGTCCCAATAGCACGTGACGTGGTAGCCAAGTTATCTAAGGACAATGTCTGTGATCTGAGTGATTTCCAGTGGATCTCCCAGCTGCGCTACTACTGGCAGGAAAATGATGTGCATGTGCAGATGATCACTACTGAAGCCTTGTATGGCTACGAGTACTTGGGAAACTCCCCCCGGCTGGTGATTACACCCCTCACTGACCGCTGCTACAGGTAAACTCTGGGGTTCCCCAAGACCTAAAAGTGTAACGGAGAACTCCAGCAGGAAAACCTTCTGGGGAAGAAATGTGGTGCATCTCGAGACAACCTTTCAGAGTCTCAGAGTTCAGAATTTTGCCCTGAGTTACAACAGTCCCACAGATGAGTGTGGAAACTAGAACTTAAGCCAGAAATCCCTGATCCCCCCCACCCCCCACTGAAGAGTCCTAATGCACATTAATGTAGGCAAACCAACAAGAATAGAAAGCCATCCACTGGCAGGAGTCAAGATAGTGGCTCCTAGGCCAAGAAATAGAGCAGGGCCCAGGCAGAGTGTCTCTAAGCTCTGCCAGCCAGCGAGATGAAGAGCTAGGCATATTCTGTGCTCAGCAAAGTGCTGTGCCACTTTCCTCAGAATTGAGAAGGTCAGAAAGCTCAGCTTCATGAACTCGGCAATTCTGTGATACTTTGATTTCTTTCATTTTGTGTATTCTTTAGAGTAGAACTTCTGATCAGAGAAATAACACTTGAGTATTTTCTCTGTTCAGGACCCTCAATCCAGTTTTTCTGTGATCTGGGACATTTGCTCTCCATTCACTTATTCTACTCATTATTAACAACCATCTCTTGAACTTTCCTGGACATCACGCATGGCCTTTAGAAACCTTCACTCTCCTGGAGTAAGGGAAGAGAAGCAGACTCAGATGATTACATGATACTATGTAGCCAAAATTATAGACGCTCATGGCAGGAAGTGTAGAACCACAGCTTAACACATTGTACACTTCCAACATTACCCCTGCCCCATCACATGTCAGGCACCATAGTACTGTGTGGGGTTGTCGAACAGAACAAAATGCAAACCAGAATACTAAATACTCAGTTCATAATGTAGTGAGAGAAATGTATTTTCACCATTCCATTAGCATTGGAGATCTTTGGAACGTGGAATGTATGAGGACTTTTTTACTTGATTCACTAACGTGCGCATGTCTTAATTTTTTCATGTAATCATTCATTCAAATAAATGTTTATGGGTACATCAGGCACTGTGCCATACTCTGAGGTTACATTGCTGAGTAAAGCAGGATTTTTTATAATGTTGATGTATTGGTCATATAATCAGGGAAAAATTTAAACTATTTGTCTAAACAAAATAATTCAAGTCAGTTTTTTTTTTTTTTCTCCTGTGTCTTAGTGCTTGGGCACTGAGTTCTTTTCTTCCTCTTAGGACACTGATGGGAGCTTTGAAACTGAACCTTGGGGGTGCTCCAGAAGGTCCGGCTGGGACAGGCAAGACAGAAACCACCAAAGATCTGGCCAAAGCTTTAGCCAAGCAGGTAGGGGAAATACTTTCCAACCCCACCCACTCTTCCTGCCCTCTCTGGACTCCTGTCCAGGGCAGGTGGCATGAAGTACAAGATGGTTTATTGAAACAGGCAGAGTCCTCTCCTCCAGTGGGATAGGAGGAGCGGATCCCCCCCACCCCATTTAATGTTTTTGGGAAATTCAGATATGAGAGAATCCATCCTGAATGGTGCCCACACCTCCCTCTCTCTAGTGTGTGGTCTTCAACTGCTCAGATGGCCTGGATTACAAAGCCATGGGGAAGTTCTTCAAGGGGCTGGCCCAGGCTGGGGCATGGGCCTGTTTCGATGAGTTCAACAGAATTGAGGTAACCCTGCTACTAGCTTATAGAACAGACACAGGGACCTTTTCTTTCTCTGTTGTGACCTGTGACACAGAATAGGTACTGAGTGAACTAAATGAAAACAGCTCCAGGATGTGGGGGAAGCAAAAATGCATGCTCACAGGTGTGCATCCTTACCACAGTCACTCATTTGAAAATATGAGTGCTATATATAAGATACTCTGGGTGTGTTTGTGATGTAAAGATGAGTAAGAAGTACTCTAGACTGATTCAGATTAGTAAAGGGAAATAAAAGTTAAGTGAAACTAATAAAACATGTAGAAGTCTATAGCGCATACGAGGGATCACAAAGGGGAGCGTGATCTGTTTGGGTGGGAAATGGAAATGTATACATGCAATTTGAACCAGTCAACACTGTTGGATACCTACTGTGCATCAAGCATTGTGCTAAGTGCGAAATAAAGATAAAATACTCTAGAAGCTACTGACACATAGGTATGCACACACAAAGTTTCTCTTCACCAAAATCCTAAATCACACACTGATAATTTTGGACATTAAGCTCTAGTCCTCAGGTGATTGGATTCTTTTTTGCCAAGTAAGGGGGACTCTAGCAGAGTGGGGTGGGTGGCAGGCTTTCTCATGTCAGCCAGGCATTCTCATCCCAGGTAGAAGTGCTGTCCGTTGTAGCTCAGCAGATTCTCAGCATCCAACAAGCCATTATCCGGAAGTTAAAGACATTCATCTTTGAAGGCACCGAGCTCTCTCTGAACCCAACCTGCGCTGTCTTCATCACCATGAACCCTGGATATGCTGGCAGGGCTGAACTGCCAGATAACCTCAAGGTAAACATCAGTGCATATAAATGCCAAGTGTACTGAATGGTGTGGAAACTTCACAGAAGCCTAATGGAAACAGGTGAAGTTTGTGAGAAGTAATATTGGAAAGTGGGTGGTCGTAAGACAGTGCCTGCCTTCTGTGTCCCCTGTCTATGCCCAGCCAAGTGCACAGTGAGACCAATAAGGTCTCATGGGGGGTGGGAGGCATACTAACCAATGGCAGAAAGGAGACAATGCACACTAGAACAAGGACCACTGTTTCCATTGTCTACAGTCATCCAACAGGTCCTGTAAATGAAAGAAGCCAACCCACATTCACCGACTTTAGAATATGCTACTCCCTCTGTGAGAAACAGGTTCTGGGTGGTGCTCCTGGAATCTTATTTAGAGACACCCATCAGGGAGATCCTTAAGAGTGGCTCCTCCCCTGTAGGTCAACATAGGACAGTGAGTACCAAAGTAGAATTTGCTCCCACATTTCTCATTTTTTTACTGTCTGGTTATCATAACCCCCCATGCCCTCTTCCACAACCATGTTCCCAGCCAACAAACATGTTTGATCAGCACAAGCCAGTTTATGAGACAGTATGGCATACTAGGAAGCATGAGAGCCTGCAGTCAGGAACGCTGGGTTCTAGTCCCAGCTCTGCCTTTTATCTGCATGACGTGATAACAATAGCTGGTGTGGATTGAGTGCTCACTAGTCCACACACTTTTCTAAGCACTTCATTTACATGATTTCATTTATTCTCATGATAACTATGAAGAAGATCCAGTTGTTAGTCCATTTTGAGGTGAAAGATTTGAGATCTTGAGGAGTAACATAACTTGTCTACAGCTAGTAGGTAGCAGAACAAGGACTTCAAATCAAGGTCTTGCCTGACTTTAAGATTCCTCTGATACATACCAGTTCTACATTTCTGAATGACTCTGAGGCTCATACTGAATAGAGTGGTGCTCTGACATATCCTCACTTGGCATAGGAAGATGAGCTGTTGTTAGGATACTAGCACCTAGGACCTTCCTCACAGCCATTGGAGGACCCAGTGTGACAACGGGACCTGCAGGGAGGTTAGTGGATCTGTCCAGAGAGATGATCCACCTGGCGTTAACTTGCCCTCCAGCCCGTCTCCCCTTGACTGTCTCTGGGTCGTCTGAATGGTCATGCTGCTTTTGTTTGCCTCTGACTATGTGTCCCCTTCCCCGTCCACTGCCTGTGCTCGGCTTCTGCATGGCTTTTCCTTTCAGGCTCTATTTCGGACAGTGGCTATGATGGTGCCAGATTATGCCCTTATTGGAGAAATCTCCCTCTATTCTATGGGGTTTCTGGACTCCAGAAGGTATGTTACAATGGTTTTTCAGTGGGTTCTAAAGGCCTTTTGTATGGTGAACTCAAGGTGGGTTCTCATTAGAAGAAGAGAAAGAGACTTGAGAAGGGGGTTTCTACTCTTTGGCCATTCGAGGCTGGGATTTGACTCACATTCTCCAGAAAGAGCCTCCTTTTTCTTTACATGCATCTGAACTTCCATTAAAGAAAGCAGCCACTCCTCTCTCTACCCCTCACACTCTCACATACATACAGAAAACTAAATTGAGTCAGTCAAGTTTATAAGACATGTAATTTCTCCATATTGAAGAGGAAAATTTAATATAATTAGAAGTAGCATGGTTATCAATAAAACATCTATTGACGCCAACTGTCAGGGTTGGCTCCTTCAAGTTTTGCCCAGTTTCCAAGACACATATAAGCATGGAGCTCAGTCTCTGTCATGCACATCAGATGGTGTGTGTCCATTGTAAGTGGCTTTCCTGGCGTATAGCAAAGCTTCTGTTTTTGACATTGTCTAGCCATAATCAATTAATTTTGGTTACTGAAGATACTGCCTCAAGGAAAACTGTGATCTGGGTGTCCTCGTTACTTCAAGGGACTACAGATATTCTCAAAAGAATGTGTTACTCTTCCTGGCCATCAAGCTGCCCCAGTCATATGAGATTTATTGAATTTCTTTTCCATAGAAGGCCTAGGTTATATTAATTTGCCTACTTATTTCATTTATTTATTCAGTAGGCAAGTCTATATTGAACCACCTATGCCCAGCACTGTATTAGGTGCTGGTAAGTAGCATGACAAAGTCTTGTAAAGAGGACCCTTGCAAGGGGGAGGTGCATAGTGTATTAGGGAAGCCCCAACCCCCTGAAAATAAAAAATGAGTGCTTGTAATTGAGGGCCACATGCTTACGCCTCATAACTGAGGATCCGGGGCGCAGGAGGATGAGCTGGAGGATCCCGGGTGCAGGCTTTTATGGCCAAGCCCTGGAGGGGGTGTACTTCCCACAGGCCCACCTTCCCCAAGGAGGCTGGAGAGAATACGGTGACCCTGGGGAGAATACGAGATGACAGTGCACGTGAGAGTACAGGGCTATGAGCTGAGTAAAGTACATTTTGAATTGGTTTCTTAAATTAAAAACATAAAATATGGACACTGGTAAAGTCATAATGCTACAGAAATAAAAAAAAGAGTCCCTTAGTCCCATTCTCCAAGGAGTAGCATTGTTACTAGTTTGGTGTGTGCTTCCTAAATGGTGTGTGTGTGTGTGTGTGTGTGTGTGTGTTCATGCATTCGGATATACACAGAAAGCTATATACACATAGTTTCTTGTACAAATGTTAAAGATATTTGTGTGTGTTGGCTTTTTCATCTTACCTTTGAGAGAGAGCTGATGTGCTTTCTCAGCTCATTCCAGTAACTCTCCTGCCCGCCTGTGACTGTGCAGGTGTTTTGTCTTCACCAACCTTCTCCCTTTGCAGAGCAGCAAAGACTGCAGCCTGTGGCTGTGCAGGCCTCTCTTTTAACAAACCTGTCCCAGCACTGTCCACTTGACTTCCCTTCCCTTTCTTTGGTGATCCTGCCCTTTTGGATATAAAAAATTACATAAATACAAGACCTCGCAATAGGGCTTCTCCATCAAGTCATGGGCCAGCCTGGTTCCTGAGAGGGTGGCACACAGGGAACTTGGGGATGTCGGCTGAGCAGGACATGCTTCTCTCCGGAGGTCTGTAGCTTTGTCTCTGCCCCTCAGTCTTGCCCAGAAGATTGTGGCAACCTACCGCCTGTGCTCCGAGCAGCTCTCCTCCCAGCACCACTACGACTATGGCATGCGTGCAGTCAAGTCTGTGCTCACTGCCGCGGGCAACCTGAAGCTCAAGTATCCAGAGGAGCAAGAGAGCGTCCTGCTGCTCCGGGCTTTACTTGATGTCAACCTGGCCAAGTTCTTGGCTCAAGATGTTCCTCTGTTTCAGGTAGGCGGTGGCTCGGGACGTTGGCCAAACCCTGGTCTCGATTTTAGAAAATGCAATGATTCTTTGGCATCTTCTCTATTACCAGTTCCAATCCCTAACACATCCTCTAGCTCCAGCCAGCCTCCCTGTTTCTAGAAACCCTCCCCAAAATGTTGAATAATAACAGGGATGGCAGCACTCCCAGAAGCTCCTGATTTTAATAAAAATGGCTTCAGTGATAGTATAATGTTTGCTGTTGTGTTTGGGTGGTTTTAATCAAATTTAATTTGTTTTCTCTCGTCATCATTTTAATGCCCATCTCCCATACCAAGCTATGAGCTCCATGAAGATAGAAATCATGACTATCTTGTTCATTCCTAGTACAATGAGGAATAGATCGAAGAGACCCATTACATACATTTAAAGTTGGGAAAGGAAATCATGTAGGCGTGTGTAATTGTGGGTGAGTTTTTGGTTAAGAAAGATGAGGTTTGCAATTTTTCAAATGTCTGTTATCCATTAAAGGTCAAGTTTCTGATAATTCATCCTTTCTTGCCACTCTCAAATTCTTATTAACAGGGAATTATATCTGATTTGTTTCCTGGAGTGGTACTTCCAAAGCCAGACTATGACGTTTTTATCGAAGTGCTGAATGAGAACATCAAAAAAATGAAACTCCAACCTGTACCTTGGTTTATTGGGAAAATTATCCAGGTTAGTTCCTTCTACTGTTAGGGAAATCTCCCCATTTTATTGTTGGTAGGAGATGGGATTAGAAAGAATTAAGGCAGGTTGGAACTAAACTGATAGAAATCAGAGGTTTCAGAGTAGTGATGGTGGTAAAAAGACCACTTAACAATCTAGTGTCCCTTCAGTTTTGTTTTCAGAGTCAAAGTTTGAATTTTTATATTTTTTCTATAACCATCTTCTTGGTTTTTTAAATTGGAAGATGAAACAGAATCTTTTGCACCATTGGGTCTTGAACTGGCTAGAACTTTCTTGCTTCTCAATGACGGAAACCCAATTCAAACTGCCTTTGTCAACAAAAGGGAATTTATTTACATTTGAAAAGTCCAGAAATATGTCAGCCTCTAATCTAACAGACTCCAGGGTTTTATTCTTGTCATCAGGAATCAGCCTCTCTTAATTCCTGGACTCTGCCTTGAAGCTTCATTCCAGAGAGGCATGCCCACACAGCATCCTTACACTTAGCTGTGTCTAGGGTCCAAGTTTTGAAGAAAAAAGAGCATCATGACTCTCCAAGTTGCTTTAGCAAAAGTCTTAGTTAGCTTTGAATAGCCCTGACAAAGTCACGGGCATCCCTAAACCAATTAGAGAGCCAAAAAGTGAACCATAAACACCCATGCTCCACCAGAAGTGGAGATGGGGTCGGAGCCACACAAAGGTATGAGCTGAACCACCAGGAGGTAGTTCCTCAGGAATAATCAGGGTGCAGTTATCAACTGACGGGAGAGCATCTGGGGCAGGCAAACCACAATTCCTTACGTGAGTGGATGAAGTTAATCCTACCTCAGTGGATGAAGTCATTTGCTAGGTCACTTAATGGTTAGCGTTTAGACAGATGCAGAACAGTCATTCTGATTGCTTAAATAGTCTGAGACACGCATGCATTTATTCATACAAAACGTATTTAAACAAAAAGGACTGTGGTTCACCAGAGGTAGCAGTGATTCTGGGAATTCCCTTTTAACCCCCCCCCCCCATTACTCACTGACTAATTTTCAGTACTAGATTTGCAAAAATGTAACTTCTCATATGTCTCTTCCCAGATCTACGAGATGATGCTGGTAAGACACGGCTACATGATTGTCGGAGACCCCATGGGAGGCAAGACCTGTGCTTATAAAGTGTTGGCCGCAGCTCTGGGTGATTTATATGCAGGTAAAGCTCACACTGCTGGCTTTCAGGGATGACAGGACTCCCCACTCACTAGCTGGCTCCATGGAGATAATGCCAGGCTGTTAGTTTTGCCATCCCTGGACTGTGACGTCAGAGCCAGAAATAGAACACGGCACACAGATGTCTGCAGGCAGGGAATGAGAGGGAGCTCCTAACAGGGACGTTATCTACTTGTCATCAAAGCTGGAGGAAATTTATCAAATGCCACACAATGGCTTTTCCAGGTTTCCCAATGACAGAGAAACCTTTGCTAATGACCCCAAGAAAATTATTCTAAAACAACTCAGTGTGTGATCGCTGATCTTTTCTTTTTTTCTCCTTTCACCTCTTCCTCCCTTCCTTTTGTTGCCTTCCCCTCCCTCCTTTCCTCCCCTTTTCCTTCCATTCGTATAGAGGTTAGATAAGACTTTAGACTTTTGAATCAGCCCCAAACCTTGGGCAAATATCTGAACCTCTGTTGGTCTCTGTTTTCCCAGCTGAAAAGTGGGAGTATTGTGAGAATGAAATGGATTGTGCAGTGGATTGTGCAGATACACACCCTGGTGGCAGCCCCTCAACATGAGGGACCAAACTGATTAGCAGAGAAACAGCTTCAAGCTTAGGTTTGATTTTTTTTTTTTAATAAAATGCAAGCCTGTGAAAATCAGTGCCTTGCTGACTTATGTTTACACAGTCCCGGCCAGGGCTTCATTTAACTTTTTTTTTTTCTAATAATTTTGCAGATTGCATTACTGTTGAAATTTTTTGTCAATTTATGTAAAGTTTAGTTTATTTTTATCACGAAGTGCTTTTACTCATATGTTCTTTTTTTTTCCCCTATTGGATGTTTGAGATTGTTCTTTAGGGGACTAACTTGGCCTCAACCCCTAACGTAAGCATTTCAAACTTAAACACTAATTTTGGCATTTCAGTATAGTTCAGGAAGCTAAATGAAGAGAAAGGAGGCTACTCCATTGTCTGCAGAAATGGTTCTTTATTTACCTCATGGCTTAGGCACTGCCAAGTTTTCCTTCCTTGCACAGGTTGTGTTAAAGGGTGGTTATTTTCTGCTATTAAATGCACATGATGTGACATTCATCGGCTTGTATCTTCCAGTTGGATCCCGGGTATTCCAATAGACTACATTTCTCAGGGGACAAATGACACCTTTACTGAACAGCTAAAGAAGAGATTCCAGGGCCAAATCGGCACTTTAGAAAGAGAAAAGTAGTCAACATTTTCCAGAATCTTTTACCTGTCAGCTGTTTCCTCATTGTAAGCCACAGTTCTTGGGGCAGCTGAGAGCCAGGTACACACAGGGACCTGATAACGTGGAGTTGTTCTCCTTCACTGCTTGCCCGGCACATTTGCCCGCTGAGCCACAGAAGAAAATGTGATGAGTTACTAATGAATATAATAACTAAACACCTTAAGGTATTACCTATTCAGGTAGCCCCCCCTTTTTTTTTCTTTTGCAATTGCAGTAGCATTGACTTACAACACTATCTAAGTTAGGTGGCTGGGTTCACATCTCCTCAGACACACATCACCACACCACACCCACCACTAAAGCACCAATAATCCTTTACCACAGACTACTGGGCCACTTCCCCTCTTTGTTCCTACTCTATCCTCTTTCCCCCTTTAGTAACCTCAGTTCTGCAAGTCAGATTTATAAGGTTTGTTTTGGTTTCAATTCTTGTCCAAACAAAAAAAAAAAAAAGATTTTGTTTCCCTATTTCACATGATTCAAATCTTCTGGTGTTTGTCTTTGTCCTTCTGACTCACTTACCTGACTTAGCATGATCCTGCTAGTTCATCTGTGCTAGTTCTATAGCTGAGTAGTATTCCATTGTGTATAGACACCACCTCTTCTTAGTCTACTGCTCTGTCATTGAGCATGTTGGTTGTTTCCATAACTTACCTACTGTAAATCATGCTGCAGTGAACATAGGAGTACAGATATCCCCATCCAGTTAGTGATTTTCTATTTTTTCAATGAGTATCCCAATCTTTATAAGGACTGAGAATAAATTGTATTAAGTTTCTTCTTGAGGGCCCTCTCTAATGGTGCAGCAGGTTAAAGCACAGCACTAAGAAGCTAAAGCCACTTCAGCATGAGCTGGATCCCGGCCCCTGCCACATGGCCGGCAGACCTCTCCTGACCCTCCCACTGCTCCCCTCAATAGTGTACTTCATTGATCTGCTTGTTCTGCTCCCCACTCTGTCTTGGGTGAAGCCTTTCACTGCCCCTGCACCGCTGGCCTATATCCCAGTTTTGTATGCATAAACAAATAAATCTTTAAAAAAAAAAGATTCTTCTTGAATAGCGTATTCATAAAGATCAGTTATTCTTTTATGGCATTATCTCTCATCTGATGTTCTGGCCTCACCATTGTCTATGTAACTCATGTTGCCCAGCCAACCAGATGGAGGAGTTTGCTGTAGAGTATAAAATCATTAACCCCAAGGCTATCACCATGGGGCAGCTGTATGGATGCTTCGATCCTGTCAGTCACGAATGGACAGATGGTGTCCTTGCCAATACTTTCCGAGAGCAAGCATCTTCCATGTCTGATGAGCGCAAGTGGATTATATTTGACGGGCCCGTGGATGCTGTTTGGATTGAAAACATGAACACTGTGCTGGATGACAATAAAAAGGTATGTCTTACATGACTTCTACACAAATGAGGTATAAATTTCTTTATTGAAGTGAGTGATTCAAGTATACATACTTTTATTATGCTAAGAATAAATGACCCACAAACCCATTCAGTTTGTGAATTATGTTTCTGCTTGAACTTGTAGTAGATAGGCTTTGTGTGTTTAGATGCATTGCACTGTAGTTAACAACCTCTTTGTTGTCATCAGGCTATACCACTGGCTCTCAATGGACCCATGTTATCTTGGACAAGTAAAGCAATTTACTTGAATGTCAGTTCCCTCATTTGTGAAAGGTAGCAGTAAGGAAGGGGTGTGGGTAATTGAATGAGATAGTTTATACAGGTACCTGATATATGGGCAGTGCTTTGATTATCCATTGCTCTAGAACAAAATCACCTTAACATTTAGTGGCTTGAAGCAACCACTTATTTTGCTCATGATCTTGTAAGTGAGGAATCTGGGAAGAGCTCAGCTGGACTCATCTCACCCTGGTGATATCAGCTGAGGCAACAAGGAGGGGGATCCACAGTCAAGATGGCTTCTTTACATCATTCTGCAGGCTCATTCCTCCTTCGTGTCTCTCTGTCTCTGCAGAGAGCATCTCATCCTCCAGCCCTGTCCACATGAATCAGGATTCTCACTTGGTGGTCTTGGGGTAGTGGCTCTATTTTAGTGATGGCTGATTTCTAAGCAGGAAGTAGAGGTTTCCAGGAATGTAAGGATTATACTTGAAATCGGCCTGTAATCTTTCTTCAAATTCAATTGGTCGGAGAGTTGCAGGACCTGCCCAGATTCTAGAAGACGGAGAAACAGACACTACCTGTTGATGGAAGTGGGCAAGGTCACCTTGAAAAAGTGCCTTTGGGATGGGCAATGTCATTGTAACTGTCTTTGGAAAATCTTTTCTGCCACTGGGAGTGCAGTGGCTGAAAAGCTTGGACTCGGGACCAACAGCTGGGCTCAAATCCTGACTGTGCCACTTGCTGTTAAGTAACTCAGACAAGCTACTTGGTGCTTCTGCCACAGTTTCATCCTAAAGTGGGGATAATAGTATCACCTCCCAGTGTTGCAAGGGAGGTTAGATAAGTTAATATTTGCAAACTGATAACAATAGTGCCTGACACATAGCAAGTGCTAGATAACTGTTAAAGTAAAATCTATCACCATTTCAAGGAAATGATTACCAAATCAAAATATATTTTCCTACTGTGTTCAAATTTCACAAGACTCAGAGTGAGTCATACTCAACCACGGAAGGCCTAATTATCCAAATTATACACATACACTAATTATAGCATATGCATAATTTTCATTATATAACATATAAAAATAGAAGTGTTTTATTACTTGATATGGTCTATGTTATATAATTTAATTGTAAAAATGTATTGGTTGGTCATAAGATTCAAAGTATAAAGAGTCATAATCAGTGAATTCCTGATACCTCTTCTTGGTACTGGGACTAAAACAAAACAATATGGATTTGTTTTACTTGTCTTGGTATCAGAGATGTCACTGGTGGTGGTGTCAGCCCTATCCCAGCTGTGTCCTTGCTGGAGTTGCATGGCCTATTTCCAGGTGTGTTTGAGGTGGACTAGGTAGCAGTCAGGGAACATTTTAACCATACTTATGAGGCTGCAGAGAGCAACAGCATTTCCTCTCTTCCCTGAGAGACAAGGGTCTCTGGCCGTCTGATGACTTAAACATCTCATTTGAAACCATTTGGCAATTGGGAAGCATCACTGCTGACTTAATGAATGCTCCAAGGCTCCCTGTGTATTAGCACCACTTTTTGCAGGGATATTTGCTGACCACGAAGACTTCTCATGGTCTTTCTGTTCTCGAAGGATTTTATGGAGCTGTCCCTGCACTCTGACCCTGAGCTAGTCTATGAGGGATGCTATGAGGCATCTTTCGTGGGTGACTTGAGGAAATAAACATGGAGAGTTTATTGCTGAACATGGAGAGTTAAATACATAGAAGAAACTATGATGCTCCCATGGTTGACTGTGTCTCACTTTCCCATCCTTCACCTAAGGATACAGTTTAGCAATTATCTAACTCCCCATTAAATATTGCAGCTCTCTTCACCCACCCTGCCTGAGCTTTCTCCAACACCCTCTTCTTTATTTTTCTCCAGAGCACTTTCACCATTTTATATACAATTTATTGTCTATTTGCCTGATCTCTCCCCTTCCCCAAAGAATATAAACCCCTAGAGAACAGGGCTTTTTTCTGTGTTAGTCTATGCACATAGAACAGGACCTGGCACACAGGAGTTCACAACTAATATTTGTTGAATGATTTCAAAACCATCTGTCTCTGCTGAGGGTTTTTCATTCACAGATGGAATTTAACCCCATTGCCTGTCCTGCAACCCTCTGCTTTGCACTTCAGCTGTGTCTAATGAGTGGCGAGATTATCCAGATGAGTCCTAAGATGAGTCTGATCTTTGAGCCAGCCGACCTGGAGCAGGCCTCCCCAGCCACCGTGAGCAGGTGAGTCAGCTTATGTTGGCATTCCTGGGGGTTGGCTCATTGGCTCCCCCCCACACACACACACACACTGAGCAGGGGAAAGTGTGAAAGCTCCAGAAATGTGCTTAAGCCCAAAATGATCACACACTGTATTTGTTGCCACTTGTCATCAAATTAGTCCTCAGTCCACATTACTGATAGGATTCTAAAACCGGCAAGCACTTTAGGAAAGAGTTTGACATTATCTCCTAAAACTTAACCTTCTGATACCTTGTGACCCAGCAATTCTAATCCTAAGTACATACCCAACAAAACTTTTTCCCATATATAATAGGAGACAGACTGTTCAGCACAGGTCAAAGTAACAAGCACTTGGAAGCAGCTCAGTACCTATTAATGGGGATAAATATAAGTGCACTAAGTCACAAATCATCATGTCTCTAGAGCTCTTAGAATAAGTGAACTGTACTGTCAAGTGACCGTATGGATACATCTTAAAACATTGAAAGAGAAAAGCTTAGCAACGTTATGTATAAAAGTAAGCCTACCATATGATGTTCACATAGGACCCTCTATTAAATTGTTAAGAACATCTAAAATAGATATATGTACATTTTAGAAACACATAGACATGCTATAAACCTCTTTAAGAAGGAAAGAATTTAAAGGACAGTAACCATGCTGTTACCTCAGGTGGGGAAGACAGGGGTGCAGGACAAGGGAAGCCATCTGGTTCGGTGAAGGTCACTGTCAAGATCCTAACATCTGTCTGGGTAGTAGGTTCACTGGTGACATTACTGGAAACAACTAAGAAAGGCCATATGTGAGCTAATGGTGAGTGTATCAGGGGTGATAGTTAATCCAGTCCCTTGCACCTGATATCTATCTACAAAAGACTAAAATCAGCCCACAGTCCCAAAGGCAGTGTGGAGATCTTTCCATGACAAGTAAGACCAACTGGGTTCCTGTCCTGGCCGTTGCAATTGCTGGCTATGTGATGTCTTCCAAGCAGCTTAAACTACAGGCTCCTCATGTCTAAAATGTAGAACATAAGGGGTGTTTAGGATTGAAGGCTCTTGGGCTCCAGCATAGGGCTTACCATGCAATAGACACTGACTGCATGGCAGCTGGCACTCGCAGTAAACTAAAGGGCGCCCTAGAGCTTGGGCAGACGGGACAGAATGGAAAAGCGCATATGCTACATAAACTGTGGTGGGTCAGTCCTTGGCGATGATAGTATGGTTTCCATCGCTCGCGGGTTTTCTGTCTGCTGCCTGTTGTGCTAATTCTTTCTTGGCATTTTCTTGTTTAACCATTACAACAGTCTTATGAAGTACATTTTTTTTATATTCCTCAATTTATAGACAAGAACACATAGGTTCAGAGTCATTAAAGATACTTTGCAAAGTCATTCACCTGGTAGGGTCTGAGGCTAGGATTTGAGGTTTCCAAGACCTCACTCCTATCACTGGTGTCCATCCTGTCCTGACAGAACTGTGTACCTTCCCTTTGGCCTTGAGCTGGTGAAGGTTTGTGCCCATTGCCCAAGCTCTAGGCCTTTACGTTGTCGTGAATACTTGGATTTTCTTCGCCCCTATGTGCTTGGGTGCTTAGCTGTGGACCAGGCTGATCTGTTTATGTGTCCAGGTGTGGGATGATCTACATGGAGCCCCACCAGCTGGGCTGGAAGCCCCTGAAGGATTCCTACATGGACACCCTGCCCTCCAGTCTCACTAAGGACCATAAGGAATTGGTGAGACCTTGGGTCCCTTCCTTTTCCTTCCTTCCTGTCTCCCAACTCCTCATCGCTAAGTCCTAGGGAATTATCACCTTCATAATTCCCAGAGGCAAGATGGGCCAGGGAGTTCCCTACCTAACCCATTACCTTGTTTCCTGGCTGATTGCCATTTTCCAACTTTCTTCTCCATGTGGTTGGGATGGGATTCTGCAGTTAATTTCTCTACCACTATTTGTTCCCAGTAGTGAATTCTGGTGTGGAGAATACTTTGTATGGTGGCTGGGATGTCTCCCCTATCCCCACAGCCCCTCTAGCAGAAATATTTCTGTAAGCAACTTAGAGATGGACCAAGTTTGGAAGAGTTGCCACTCCCCAGGCTCACAGCCTTGACAGCATACCTCTCACTTGAGAGAGTGAGGACCAGTTAGAAATGCCTTTATTGCAGCTCCCAAGAGTGACCATTCCCTTCTCCCCCTCCTAAAAGGAGCGTGAATGTTCAGGTTAGGTGAGTACCTGGCCACACTCTCGAGCTAGGGGGAGCAGGAAAGGAGACACTGTGTTTGTGGTACCTCTTGTCTTTCCCTGCTTTGACAGAGCTCCCTTGGAAATTTTTCCACTGAAAAAGCCAAGAAGGGACAAAATTGGGTCCTCTTCCCACTCTGTAACACTCTGGGACAGGACAGCCCCATTCTGTCATGCCTCAACATGTGTACTGCATACATTGCTGTAGACACGTGTCACATGTGCACTCAGAGCCCACCCCTCTACACAGAGGAAGCTGCCATGTCCCCGATCTGCAGAGCCTTCAGAGACTCCCCAGTGTGCTCAGCAAATGTCTCACGTGTTGGGCTTCTGAGACTATCTGATCTGGCCCCACTTGCCTCTCTAACCACATCTGCCACCTGCTCTCTTTCTCAGCCTCAGCTTATTACCTCCACTCCTGGTGTTTTGCTGCCAGACCTAGAGAACACCAGCTTTCACCTCCTGCAGGCTTTTGCATATCTTCTTTCTCTTCCTGAAAATCTTGGCCCAGTTCACCTCATGGGTGACTCACCTTAGTCATTAAGGTTCCAACATAAAGGTGTCCTCTTCCAAGAAGCCTTCTTTGACCACCCTACTTAAGCTCTTCCTTTTATTCCCATTGTCACAGCTGAAAGTCCTGCCTGTACTTTCCATGATTTGTGTTTTGCTCATTTTCTGTTATTTATTCTGCTTTCCCTACCCTTCAGTATGTTCCATGAGAGCAGAGACCTTGTCTATCTTGTCCATTGTTTATCCCCAGCATCTACCGCCCTGTAGTTAGCTGATGCTTGATATATATTTGCTAACTGAATTAATATTCCACACGCCTATGCACATGCATATGTAAATGCATTGGTGCATTCATCCATGCATACATACCCACATACACACACACTTGTGATTGTATTTATTTAGTGATGATTGGCCTACTTGCAAAAACAAAACTGAAGGTTCTTTACAGTGGTAGTGATAAGTAAAGTATAACAAAAATGGAAAAACACAAAAATAACAGGAGAAAATCTAGGAATTTTCTTAAAAGAGCAAATGGGGGTGGGAAGTAGATACAAGAGACAAAAATTCTTATACCCAGAAACAAGTCAGTAGATACAAACATACATACCTACAAACATATGTAGAGAGGGAGTCATGGAAAATGAGTCCTGAACTTAGCTCTGCACTCCTTTGTTTATTTAATGTAAAGGTCCTGTGGAACAACCATTTGCAATTGGTTGTTTAAAATTCCTAACACTGTTTTAATAGAAACAAAATCAGATATGGTAGCTAGACCCTATAACTATTTGATGCAGCATGTAGCTGGCCCCAGTAGCTCACACCTCTCGTGGCGCTGAGCGGTGGGATGGAGGAACAGGTGTGGCCTGTGGGCCTCGCAGTCCGCAAGTCTTTGGCCACACAGTCATGAAGCAGGAACCTGGGGCAGGGATCTTAGTGCCTCAGGGTCTCTCCAGTGTACATACACTTAGAAGTACTCAGCTATAATCCTGCCATCGCTGGTCTCTCCAAGGTGGAGAGAAGACCAAGCTCCTCTTTTTAAACTCAAATTTTAGTCATGTCTTCAAACTTTATCTTCTATTCTTAGGTCAATGACATGTTTATGTGGCTTGTCCAGCCCTGCCTGGAATTTATTCGCCTTCAATGTAAATTTGTGGTGCAAACATCTCCTAGCCACCTTGCTTTCTCAATGATGAGACTGTATACTTCTCTACTTGGTAAGTGCCTCCAAACCTGGGGGCATATGTGCCTTGGCTATTTCTTCTGCTCCTACTCCTGTATTCCCCTAAGAGTCACAAAGAAAACATCATTTCGGTATAGAGTATGCAAACTATCGGAATGTGTGTAGTAGAGTATGGTTGAAAAAGTCTGTGTTTAGCTTTAGTCTAGATCTTGAATTGATTTTCTAGGTGCTTTTGTGCACCCAGGAAGGAGAAATTACCCCCTCCTTCCTCAGTCTTAGATCACCTGCATAACAGGAGTATTAATTCTTGACCCTTTTGTCAAAGTTAATTTTGGCCAAAGCTGTCTTTCTCCACTGCATTGTTCTAGCATTTTAATTTGTGATTAATAAGTATTGTGGAGAAAATAATCTGACTTATGCAAATATCCTTTTTTCCCTAAACTTTCAGCCATGCATTTTAAAATCCTTTGATGGATCTTGTCTAAAATAATTATTGTGGTGGCAATGTTAACTGCCTAATGTTAATTTTCTGTTTCTATTTTCTATTTCTACATTTACTACATTCCTTTTACATTTACTAACTAGATTTCTTCTGTAAAGAAAAATTATTCTTCCTGATATATTTTCTTATTCAATTATTTATTGATCAAAAAATGGACTCATGAGTATTTATTTTTATCCCATGATTTATAGTTCAATGATAAACTTGTTAATTGTGGTACTCAGTAAACAATTCTCTCATGTTGGGTCCCATCAGTTTGTTCCCATCCTTTTTCAAGCATTTCCTTGTTTTTGGACACCATAAGATATTCCAGGTGCAGCTTATACTTTCCCTACCTGAGCGCTGTACTTAACCAAACCACTTCTAAGGAGCTCTGTTTTGTTTGTTTGTTTTTTTATTGAAAAGTGGTATTAGAAACCAAATCCAGGGGACTTGGGGTGCTTATTGTTACTGAAGAGGAACAACAAATTCTTTTGCATGGTACTGGGAGGAGAAGGCACAGAAAGGAGAGTTACTATTCAAAGGACAAGAAATGTCAGTATCACCTAGGAGCTTATTAGAAAAGGAGAGTTTTGAACCCTCCCCAGACCTACTGAGCCAGAATGTGCACTTTTACAAATCCCTTGGTCCTCTGTGTGTACTTTGAAGTTTGAGAGTGAAAGAGACTGGGCTTTGGTGTGTGAGTCAGGCTTAGATCCAAAGCCGAGCTTTATCCAAGTGACCATCACTGGAAAGTGACATACTTGAAGGTGCAACAAGGCAACACCATCAGTGGGTGAATGGCTAAGCAAAATGTTGTATGTATGTATGTATGTATGTGTATATATATATATATATATCATGGAATAAGATTCAATCATAAAAAGGAGGAAGATCCTGACACTTGCCACACCATGGACAGAACTTGAAGACATTATGCTAAGAGAAATGAGCCAGTCACTGAGTGATTTTACCTATTGTATTTAATAGGTAGAGTTTTAGCTTTGGGAGATAAAAATGTTTTGGAACAGGATGCTCAGAAACAGAAATAATCTTAATGCCACTGAACTATATACCCTTAAAGTAGTTAAAATGAAAAAAGAATTGGCTGGATTGGTAAATTTTGCAATGCTTATCTTACCTGAGGAGGGGGAATGTAGAAAAAAAATTGCTGGCAGATGATGGTCACTCAGCTGATATGAATCCCCTCTCTTGCCTCCCCCAAACAAAGCCCCTCAGTTCACAATTTTTCTGTGTTGCACTTGATTTTTTTGCTGACATTTTCTTTTCTTGCTTTTAGATGAAATCAAAGATATCAATGAGGAAGACAGTGAAGTGGTTGAAGGCCCAACAAACCAACAGATCTTCCTCTGGTTGCAAGGTCTGTTCCTCTTTGCCTTGGTGTGGACCGTGGCCGGCACCATCAATGCAGACGGTAGAAAGAAATTTGATGTGTTTTTCCGTAACCTAATCATGGGTATGGATGATAACAATCCTCGCCCTAAAAGTGTGAAAATCACCAAAAACAACATCTTTCCCGAAAGAGGTAATTGTTTTAAAGTTTGGATCATCTCTTCATATGCATTTGCTTTTGTCTAGTTCTGCTCTACATGTCCACATTCATCATCTCCTGGTGATTATGACATTAATATTTCTTCTAACTTTGTCATTGCTATCTAATATGATATTGAAATTTGCTTCCTATTCCAATTTTGCTTCAAAATGACCATTACTGATCTATAACTAATTTTGTCCCCTGGCTTTATTATCTATCTGCTCCTCTTTTCTTGTGTTTTTTTGTCTTTATAGATAAAGTACCCTTTGTCTATCCTTGCTATTCTTTATCAGACCATGGATTCAAATTATCAGAACTTGAATCGCAGGTCCCAACTTAATAGGTGACCAGTTAAGAAGCTGAGCAAGTTTCTTAACCCTTCTCACTTAACTCAGTTATAAAATGGGACAGTAATACTACATATTCATGGTGGTGTTACAAGTATTAAATGAGTTAATAAATGTAAAAAAAAACAGAATAAAGTATGATGCAGAGAAAATGTTAACTATTAGCAATTTATATTGCTGTTGTAATCATCTCCATGCACCCCTCCTTTTTAAAAATTTTATCTTGCCTTTTCATTTTAATGTACTCCTTATGGCTTTCTTTTCCTATTTCACAAAAATAAAAATAAGATGTTTCTTTGTACCCTATCTAGGATACCAGTCTCCTGAAATTTGTTTTCAGGTCCTGCAGTAAACAAGGTTCAGAGGAGTACAGAAGATCCTCAAAACTACTGTTTTATTCAGAGTTGTTTTGTGATACCATTGATAAGGGAAAAACATCCATTTCTAGTCAGTCACTACAGTTTGCATCTTCTCCCCAAGTAGATGGGTTCCCCCAGGTATTCTGGTTGCCTTCCACATCCCAAAGAAGTGCACGTTAGTTTCAGTGGCGTATCGTGATTGTCCCAGGCAGAGAGCATGAGTGTGTGAGTACTCCCTGCCACGGAAGATCTTCTGTACAGGGCAGTGCCTGCCTTGCTCCCTGAGCTGCCGAGATGGCTCCGGCCAACCAAGATCCTGACCTGGAACAAGTGGGCTGGAAGATGGACAAATGCATGCATACAAGGAATGGTGGCATGGTAGAGACATTTCTGGGTCTTTATGTAGGAGTTGGGTGATTCTTGGTGACTAGGAACATGCCATAGGAACCTAACTTGTTTCTGGCAATTAGCCAGTGGTAACATTGATTTTGTTGCAAGTCGTTTTGCTTAATGCCTGAATTTTCAGGAACGCTGAAATGACAATGAGTGAGAACTTACTCTTCAGGTACAGTCACACTATTATTTTCCACTAGACTGTTATCAATTCACATGTTCCATATGTTTTTTACTTTGCCTGTCCTTCAAAAATGAAGCTGTTCATGCTCTTGTTAGTGAAGATGGTGCATGAATTGCCCTTGGCCCCTTCCTTAGTCCACTTTCTGATTACATCTTCCCTGTCCTGCTGCATCTTGGAGGCCAGGATGTGCACAAGTCCCACTCAGTTCCTAGGCAAGTTTTGCCCTACAACATCTCCTCTCTGCTGTGATGGTCTCACCCCTTTTCTCCACGTTCTGTTCAACTCATGCAGTGAATGAAAAGCCATAATTGTTAGTATGCAATGCAAACAGTTTCTTCATAGATGTTTTGTAGTGACTATTGTACTCAGTCACAGGATTGGTTCTGAAGAAGCTGGTTGTAAGACTGAACTGACAGAGGCCTCACCGGCAGTCACTGTGAACTTGCCTGTGGAAAGTCAAAGTAGTTGTACACCTCTCTTCCTGCTAGCTTCCAGAACTCTCACTGTTTTTGGACATGATCAAGATAAATAATGTTCATAAACATTTTATTAAAAATAAACCCAAATGCTGTCAATCTTGTGTAAGGATCAACGGATTGGCCACAATCCAGTGACCACATGTAATCAACTAATGCCATCTGTTGGAGGCAGCCTTTTCTATTGGTTTCATCTGTGAACATTTTGAAAAAGGAAATTCCTCAACAGAGAAACATCAATGGCTCTTTACTTTGGAAGGACATACCTCACTGATTATATAGGGGTCCATGACTGTTTCCTCCTCCTCACTCATTGTAGTCTGTGACCTTGTTGTCACTCTCAGGTATAAAAAGATGGCCTGGTAAGAAAGAACATGAAGAAAATGAAACAGCCTTCCTAGGTTAGTTTCTGGCAAGGCAAAGGAACAGCTTCCTAATTGTCTGTGTGGGATGTAACCTGCATCCTTGTGTCCCAGGGGAGACATAGGGATATATCCAGTGGGCTCTGGTGTCTTTCATTGGATGGTCTCTTACAGTAAGATCCCTGAATCCCACCCACCTGCCATCTAGTTACAGGGGATTCTGAAATATTCTTTTGAGTTACTCCAGTAACTCCAGTCCACTTCTTTCTCTTGTGCCTACATAATATTTTAGAAGGGAAATTACAAAGCTCCTTGTCAAAACCCATTTGAGTTAAAATACATGTTTTATGGGCCAAATATGCTTTCTCTCTCTCTGTCTTTCTCTCTTTTTTTTTTTTTTTGGTAACAACTATATTGAGGTATAATTCACGTACCATAAAAATGCCTACTTAAGGGTACAAATCTGTAGTGTACTGTACAACTCTCATCCGAATCCAGTTTTAGAACACTGGAACATTAGGGGGAAATCAGAACATTTATCACCCCCAGTAAGATCCTTAATGCTCATTTGCAATGAACCCCTGTTCCCAACCTCAGCCCCTGGCATCTACTCATCTGATCTCTATAAATTTGCCTTTGCTGGATACTGCATGTAAATTTTTGTTCTGTCTGGATTTGATATGCTTTTATATCCATGTAGAAAAGCTTAAGATACCTTCCTAGCTCTTCCATGGGCCCCAGGGTTAAGATTTTTCATGGTGAGAACACCAGGAAGGGCTTCTCTGACCCTAGAAGGCCTTATTTTCTGGGGTTTTCATGATGTAGGAGCTCTCCCCATGTCATTGGAACTACATTGGGGACCTTTATGTGTGAAGAGCAAGTAGACCTTTGGGAGATGCTCTCAAGGTTAGGTTCAAATCACCTGATGTGGTTTCCTTGTCAACCTGGGGATCCATGTGTCCAGAAACTTCTAAAATATTGCATTATTTGCCCAATCATTGTATGCCCTTTGAAAGCACATTCATTTCTCTGTTGACAAGTCTACTTTGTTCTAAGTAGAAAAAGGAAAGGAGAGCTGGGGTTGGGAGTGGCCTGAGGACACAAACATCACTTATCTTTCAAGATGTCTGTTAGTCTCACCTTGCCACTCTTGCACGTGGATGAGAGTTTTAGTTAAAATCACAGTGCATAGTGAATGGGAGTATTTAGTCTATTGAAAGCCAAAGAGAACTAGAGCTAAGTGTCTCCAGTGCCTTTCTTTGTGTCCAGACTATGCCAAATGTTTAATGGATATATCCCATTCACCCTCCACAGTGATTTTCTAAATTTGACATAAAATCAGGCCCATTTTGGGGCCCTCCCTGGTGGTGTAGCAGTTAAAGCACAGCACTAAGAAGCTAAAGCCACTTCAGCATGACTTCGATTCCCACCCTGGAGGTGACCCACATGGCATAGCAGACCTCTCCTGACCTGCCTGCTGCTCCCCTCAGCAGTGTACTTCATCATTTGGCCTGTTCTGCTCCCTGCTCTGTCTCTGGTGAGTCCTCTCACCGCCCCTGCACCTCTGCCCTGTACCCCAGTTCTGTATGCATAAATGAATAAACTTTTAAAAAAATTAGGCCCATTTTACAGACAGGCAAACAGTAAACCCAGTTAAAGTTCACACCGCTGGTAAATCCACTTTTGCTCATTTGAACCTTTTTCCTTGGCTTAAATCTTCCTGTATCGAGTCAAAAATTGGCTCTAACTAATAGAATCATCCAAGGATGGGAATAAATACTTTCTAATAAGTGTTTTCTTAGTGTCTCCTTTTTAAATATAGAAACAAATTTTATTACTCCAATTTTATTAAATAAAATGACCAAAATTATCTCTTTGTTCATACCACCCTACCAGAAGTATTTTTAAAAACTAATCTTTTTTCTCTTTGCCTTCCATGGGGCCCAGGGTTAAGATTTTCTTTGTCTTTTCCCTAATAGTATATTCCCATTTGTTGTTCTTCTGTTTTCATGTCATTGTTTCTTAAAAACATTTTTCTATGTTAAATTTAGTTTATGCAACTATCATCTTAGTGACTGCAAAATATCTCATTCATCCTATAAGACATAATTTTGACTAGCTTCCTAGTGTGGAACATGTAAATTATTTCTAATTTTTTGCTATCACAGATGGTGTGGCATACTCATGTATAGAGATTATTTTCATAGTGAATTATTTCCTTGTGATAAATTCCCAGAAGTGGAATTTCTGACTTAGGCTAGAGAACATTTTTATAGCTCTGTACGCACACTGCCAGATTGCTTTCTAAAACTGTCGTGCCAGATTGACTTCTAGGTAAAGCTGCAGAGTGACGTAGGATAACAGAAGCTCCCTCCTTTAATACCTAGTGAAATGAACAACAACAGCAGAAATTTAAGCCTACAAATTCCCCAACAACAACCAACATAATTCCATAAACATTGGCAGCTGGTGGTGACAAAAAATCTTTACATGTTACATCACCAACCCAGAACCCACATCCCACGAGTGGGTTCTTTTGATATAATGAAATGTTGTAAAATTGATTTTGGTCATGTTTGCAGAGAGCTGTGTCTGTCATCATATACATGTGCTGTATGTAGTAAATCATTGAATTGTGCACTTGAAATAGGTGAATTATATGATAAGTGAATTATATCTTAATAAAACCATTTAAATGTTGGCAGTTAAGTGATAAAATGAGAGAATTAGAGAGGGAAAGTAAAACTGAAAAAACAAAAGAATAAATTGAGAATCAAACAATACCATTGGTGATCTAATAAATAAACTAATGAAAACATGAAAAAAGTGTACAAATGACTTCTAATAAGTGGCTTGAGGAAAGGTTTCAGATTATTATACTTACTATAAAAGAAAAAGACATATGGGAAAGCTATTATAAAGAAATTATTGATACAGAAGCTAAACAAATTCCTTAAGTAGATAACCCAACGCATAGTGCAGGCAATAAATACAAAGATATAAATGCAGAAGTTTCCCCCAAATGAAGAAATATTTCTATAAGTTCTAATAGTATAGTTTGTTCCAAGAAAAAAAAAATGATAGAGAATAACGGATCAAAAGCTGAAATGGGATCAAATTATTGAACTTCCAGGATAAGAAAGATGTGAATAGGCATCTAGCTAAAGGAAATAGGTCAATAAAAAGGGAAATATCTGATGAGCCTCAGACATTTGCACAGCACATAGGATGCAAGAAAGCATAATAGAGCAAGGCTGCAAAACACTGAGGCACTTAAGAATATTACTCTCAGGGCCTCCATGGTGGTGCAGTGATTAAAGTCTAGATGCTATCAAGCTATCTATCACCAGCCATCAGCTGCTGCAGCCTGAGTTCAATCCCAGGCTAGGGAGCTGACCCACATGGAGCAGCAGACCTCTCCTGTCTACCTGCTGCTCCCCTCAGCAGTGTACTTCCACAGATCTGCCTGTTCTGCTCCCCGCTCTGTCTCTGGTGAATCCTCTCCTCTCATTCCACTCCCTAAACCCCCATACTTCTGGCCTACACCTTAGTTCTTCTATGCATAAATAAATAAAAATAAATCTTTAAAAAAAGGTATTACTCTCAGCCAAGGGTATTACTCTCACTGTTCATATATAAAAGCAGTAGACGGACATCTCAAACATGTAAGAACCAAGAGAATTGAGCACCTAAAGTCTCTTCTTTAATGGGGAAAAAAATAAGTCACTGAAGAGAGGAATCAAAAGAAAGATTTGTGTTAAAAAGGTTTGAATTTGAACATTGAATTTATTTAAATGCAAGCCTACAATTAAGAAATGGGGGAATTGTGGTTACAGAACAAAAAGTGTTACAAGCCCTGACAAGGACAAAGTTGTATCATCAGCAATAGCAAAAGGAGCCAGGGGAGGGGAGGTGGAAGGAAGAGGGAGCGTTCATCAGCTCATGGTCTACAAAGGAACCAGTGAGACTGGTCTGGAATAGGAACATGTGTATTTAGAAGCAAAATATGCCACTTCAAAGGAAAAAAGAAAAAGGGAAGGGATGAAGGGATGGAGAGGAGAAAAAGAGAAGAGGGAAAGAGAAAGAGAAGTGGGAGAGGAGAGAGAATGAATATGGTGGTTGGTGGAGGAGCAACGGATAGACCTGATTAGCAAATGTTGATAATCAGTGAAGCTGGATCTTGGGAAATTGGCAGTTCTTATACTATTGTCCTTACTTCTTATTTTTTATTTTATCACAACAAAGAAACACATAATACAAAATTGGTTTCTGTGATTTTTAGAAGTACAACTAAGTGCTTAATAGCTTAACCTCTTTCGTAATTAAAAACACTGTGTAGGAACCAATATCTTTTCTATGGAATAGTGTTTATCTGAGGTTCAACTTGATTTTAATCACCTGCCTTCTGCTAAATTTAATGACTAGCTAAGACTATAACATTGCCTGTAATGTAATAGAAAATATGAGTATGTCCTATTAGTGTGTAATAATAATATCAAATGATCCCTTTTTTCCTCTTTGCTATTTTCTTTTGTTGTTGTTTTTATTAATGACATGTCGTTATTTTACATTTCTTTGTCTTTTCACAATAAAGGATTTCTCCCTTTCTGTGTGATCACCATAGTTTTCCCACGACCAAAGCACCCCTAGTCCTCCAACATACTCTGTGGTGTTCTCCTCCCCACTGTTTTCTTCCTTTCTCTCCCCCCACCCCCACCTATACATCAGTTTTCAAGAAAAATGGTCCCATTCTTACAGAATCCTTCCTTTCATCTGCCTGTCCCTTCTGTCTCTAATGCACTTGCCTGCCTAGACAGAGCTGGAAGGATTGCCATCCAAAGTTATTTCTGAATGTGTGATTTGAAGGGATCGATTGCCTTCTTTTTTTTTGTTCTTTCAATTCTTTCTGTTTATATAATTTAATGTAATTATTTGCATAGTTAACGCCTCTCATTTTTAATCATGGGTTGATTTTAAATAATGATCATTTATTTTAAATAATTGTCACCACTCTAAAAGGTCTGGTTCTGGTTTATACAGGTAACCATAACTTTTTGCGTTCACCACAGCTACACTGGTACCAGTAGTTACACCTTTTAGAGCCCACAGCCAAGGTAGTTAAACACCTCTCATAGAACATGTAAACCCCAGGTGTGCTAATGACCTGTCCTGTTTTTTTTTGGATTCAGGCAGCATCTATGACTTTTATTTCGTCAAGCAAAGTAGTGGGCACTGGAACATGTGGACGGATTACATTACCAAAGAAGAGGAAAAAATTGCAGCTAATGCAAAGGTAAAAAAGAGGTATCAGGGCCTCCCTGTTGGCTCAGGAGTTAAGTCTCAGCACTATCAAGCTATCACCAGCTACTATGGCCTGAGTTTGATCCCCCACCAGGGAGCTGACCCACGTGGTGCAGCAGACCTCTCCAGTCTTGCCCACTGCTCCCTTCAGCATTGTTTCAGTAGATCCTCCTGTTCTGCTCCCCACCCTGTCTCTGGTGAATCCTCTCATATCACCACCATGCCTCTGGCCCACACCCCAGAGTTCTTTTATGCATAAACAAATAAAAATAAATCTTAAAGAGAGAGAACAAGAGAGATCTATTGGCCACGGACCTTTGGTTTCCAAAGTGACACACATGCCTTCTAAAGTGAAGGAATCAATGTCAGTTCTGGATTAGCATTTGGGAGGACTTTCTCTAGAAAAAACATTCAGATATGACCTGGATTGACTTTGGAATCAGAAAGAGCCAGATCCCTTACTCAGTCTTTATTTTATCTACCTCAGTTTACTCAGCTTATAAAAACAGCAGGAAAAAACAACCAATGGTCGCAAGGATTGAAGGCTATATGCATGAATGCCTGGCCCTTATTATGTACTAGACCAGTGCTAGTGAAGGTTCTGTTGATGGTCATTATCACTATGCCAGGTACATGTATCAGCATACCTCTCAGATGTTTCAACCAAAAGGATCCCTGCCTTTCTCTAAATTCCTCAGAGAAAGATTTCTTCGAACAGAATTCTCAGGAAAGTAAGTTCTGATTGATAGGTTTTCTGGTTAGCAGTTGATTCACCTACAAACCCTGCTCATTTTTTTTCCCTATGGAAAATGTTTCTGGATTTTCATTTTTAGGCCTCTATTAGTAGTATCTAGTGGACATAATTTATCTTTCTGGAGATGACCACATTTGTTCAGGTCCCAGAAAGAATGGCAAACTGAGGTAGAGAAAGCGGTGGCTGGGCAAGTGGAAACTGATAATCAAGACAGCAGGCAGGACACGGTGCTCATGAGGCTGAGCCTGTGACACACCTTGGGCTGAAGAGGATGAAGAAACTACCAGCACTGGGTTCCTACACTTCCCTTCCCTTAAAGAGTTTAGTCCTAGAACTTTGGGAGGTGGGAAGGGGGTGCAGGGTTTGAAATGGTACTGAATTCACACCAGTAGAACAGGTCAGTGCAGAATGTACTTTCAGTTCTTCTGGGAATTTCTCCCTTGTCCAACAATTGTTCTAGTCCCTGGAAATAAAAGTCTAGGAAACCTAACTTTTAATTCTTTGAATACTTTGAGTAGCAAAATAAGCATCATATCCCTGGTTCTGCATTCAACATCACTTTGGCTCTATGGCTCTGGACAAGATAGCCAGCAACTCTTGGGTAATCTGAAACCCACATATTGGGCTCGGCGCCAAGACCCCTCATGTCTTTGTGCTACAGATCTCAGAACTCATCATCCCCACCATGGAGACAGCGCGGCAGTCCTTCTTCCTGAAAACCTACCTAGACCATGAGATTCCGCTGCTGTTTGTGGGTCCCACGGGCACTGGCAAATCAGTCATCACCAATAATTTTCTTCTCCGTCTTCCCAAAAATGTCTACCTGCCCAATTGCATCAATTTCTCTGCCAGAACTTCAGCCAATCAGACCCAGGATATCATCATGTCCAAGTTGGATCGGCGGAGGAAAGGCATTTTCGGGCCTCCCTTGGGGAAGAAAGCAGTGGTATTTGTGGGTAAGACTGGCCTGGGTCTGAACACAACCAGGTTCTTCTACACCAAGCTGCAATGAATCAGAACCTACCTTTGTAGGGCATCTTTACTGTCCTTTTATTCTCTCTGGGAAATAAATTACTCTGGCTAATCTAATTTAGTATTATTTCCCTCTTGTCTCTTCCTCCTTCCATATCTCCTTCCTTCCTTCCCTTACTCCTTTGTTTCTTTCTCCCTTATTTCCTTTGTCTTTCCTTTCTTTCCTCTGTTACTAAGTATTTGTTAACCATGTATTATAGATCAAATTATCAATAAGTGAGGCATGGCCCAGGCCTTTTTAACTGAGGGAGATTTTCAGTTTCTGAGGCCTTGCATCAGGCAAAAAGACCCTGCAGTGAGACATCTTCTAGAAAAGGATTGTGTGTTGGCCCTTCCCAAAAGTAAAAACATTCCATGATAAGCCTCTTACTCCACTTTGTGCCATGTAAACTATCAGTAAATGAGGAAATCTAATTGCTGATAAATAAATATATGTAAATAAGCACAATGGGTTTTCATAGGATTTTATGTGTTCACAAAGCACCTCATTTATTTCATTTGAGTCCCACAATCTCGTATACGGTTATCATCATCACTTGACTAGTCAGTTCATTGCAGTTCCAGAAGGCTAAATTCCTGTTCAGGGTTAAACACCTAGAATATTCAGGAGCCATCAACCAAGCCCAGCTTTCTTGGTTTCACATATGTTATATTATCTACTTTCTTAACCTCCAGTTCCTGGAGTTCTCAATTAGTAATAGTCATGCCTTCCACTTCTGGATTATTCATGTCCTGCTTTTAAATTCATGCCTGGCTCATAAATGCTGCATCTATTTATATCTTGTCAACTAACATCAGCTCTTTAAAGATTTTGGACCTGTTCAAAAATCTTTTTCTTCCTGTTCTCCTTTCCCATTTTTATGATCTATCCCAAAACAATTTAAGCTTTGCAGTCAAACAAGTCTTGACTCAAATTTCATTTTTTAGCCCTAGGCACATTGTGGCTTAAGCCCATGATGCTCAGTTCCTAACCTCTACCATAAATGTAATACTAGCGCACAAATGTCCTTATTTGAACTAGATGAATATGTATAAAACTCCTAAAATAGTACATGGCACAAAGGGAACATTTGATTTTTTTGTTATAGAGAAAAGGCTCTCCTTTTTATTGAGTGCCTTCTACATGCCAGGACTGGGCCATATGCTTTTGAGGAAAATCAGTTTTCTTGCCCTGGAGGAGCTCACAATCTACTATTTTGGATATTTTCCTCAAACACCTTAGCTCCCCTTAAAGAACAGCTGTTACCTGCTGGCGGGGGGCATGGAATGTATTGCTCAGTATTCTTTCCCCAGTAATTAAAAGGACTTCCAGCACATAGTGGGCAATCAATATATTTTGGCAAAGGGAATGTGAAACAGTTAAAAGTTTGTTCGTTGATCATAACCGATGGAGCTTTAAAATCACAATAGGGGCCCTCCCTGGTGGCGCAGCGGGTTAAAGCACAGCATTGAGAAGCTAAAGCCGCTTCCGCATGAGTTCGATCCCCGCCTGCCCCGGAGGTGACCACATGGCGCGGCAGACCTCTCCTGACCCGCCCGCTGCTCCCCTCAGCAGTGTACTTTGTCGATCTGCCTGTTCTGTTCCCCACTCTGTCTCTGGTGAACCCTCTCGCCGCCCCTGAGCCTCTGGCCTGTACCCCAGTTCTGTATGTACAAATAAATAAATCTAGAAAAAAAAATCACAATAGGTATAGATCTCAGAGAGGCAAGAGAGCTCAGACCCGGGGAAGCTTTTTCCCATGGGGTCAGAATGTCCATGGGCTGAGCCTGCCCGGGGTGGGCACAGAGTTTCCCATAGAGGGAACAGTTCTCCTGTGAGGGCAGATGACCCCATAAATTTATGTGTGGCCATGGCTTCTTTCTTCAGATGACCTCAACATGCCAGCCAAAGAAATCTATGGAGCTCAGCCCCCCATAGAGCTCCTGAGGCACTGGATTGACCATGGTTACTGGTTTGACAAGAAGGACACGACCAGGCTGGACATTGTTGATGTGTTGCTTGTGACAGCCATGGGCCCCCCTGGAGGAGGAAGGAATGATATTACCGGTATGTGAAGGACAGAGTTCATTCCTCTTCCCCTGCCCCCAAGCAGAGCCGGGCCACCACTCTGTCCTAAATGAGGATTGAGAAAAGCCAGAATGGCTTAAGTTAGCTCTTGGGGGTGGTACTTGAAGACTCCATGTTGGAAGTTGATTGAAATAGGATGTGAAGATGAAAATGGGATGTAAGGAGTCTTGATGAGACCTTCAAGGAACAGAAAGTCTCTAGTGAAAGGAGAGTTTGGTGTGGCCAGCATGTGTTCCAGGGGGAGACTAGAACAGACATTCTCAACTTGAGGTGATTGACAGATTCACCTGCTATTTGTTACAATTCTTGAGATTGCCAGAAAAGGAACAGTTAACCCAAACTGGACTAAGAAAAGTAATACTAAGCAAACAAATCAAAATAAACAGTGGTTTATTTTGCTTCAGGTTCAGTTGACCCATCCAGTACTATAGGTATCTCTAACTTTAGTCTAATAACATCTATATATGTATCAAGCTCACACAGTGATCAAAGTTCTAGATAAACTGTGTAATCATTATTTATTAAAGAAAAGCCTATGTATATCAGTTTATAAGTATAGTGGGCCTATACTTTAGGTGGATAGACAAGTATAGATAGATAGATAGATAGATAGATAGATAGATAGATAGATAGATAGATAGATAGATAGATAGATAGATAGATAGATAGATAGATAGATAATGTGTATGTGTGTTTTCTAGCACGGTTCACTCGCCATCTGAATATCCTTTCCATCAATGCCTTTGAAGATGAAATTTTAAGCAAGATTTTCACTTCCATCTCTGATTGGCACTTTGGGAAAGGATTTGATGTGGCATTTTTAAGGTAAGAGGTTCCTGTGTCTTCACAGGCCTGGGGGTCCTCAGTCCTGGTCCCTCCTTGACTGGTCTGCCTTTCCTCTCCTCCAAAGGCACGGAAAGATTATGGTACAAGCTACTAAGACAATTTATAAGGCTGCAGTGGAGAATTTCTTGCCAACTCCCTCCAAGTCACATTATGTTTTCAACCTGCGAGACTTTTCAAGGGTGATACAGGGGGTGCTGCTGTGCCCTCACACCCACCTGCAGGTCAGCCACTTCAATTTCTGTTACCAGGTTTATTCACAACATCCTTGCTTATGCGGAATAAACAATGATATAGGAATAGCTAACTTCTGTTAAGCATTTGAGCTATGCTAGATTGTGCTGAGTATTTTATCAACATTATCTTGTTTGATGCTCACATCAGCGCTAGGATACAACCACCACCACAGGCTCTGCCTCCCATTCATTCAAATAATTAACTCTGGGTTTTCAGGATATAGAAAAACTTATCCGACTTTGGATTCATGAGATTTACCGGGTTTTCTATGACCGTCTGATTGATCATGAGGACAGAGAAATCTTCTTCAACATGGCAAAAGAAACCACTTCTAATTGCTTCAAACAATCCATGGAGAAGGTAAATCAGACCCTGTAATCAGAAATGGCCATGTTGGTCTCCAATTTGGGGTTCTATTCCTAGAGGAGACTTACAGCTCTGTTTTCTGAATCTCAGTAAAACTGGCCTTAAATCGAGTGCTCTCTTGATTTGGTGCTTGGATACTTGGCCCAACTTTGCTTCACTTCCTAGGAGACACACAAATTTGGATCCATTCAAAGTGATATACTATATGTTGCTGTTGTTTATAGCTCCTTTAAAATATATCTTCATGGTCCATTTGTTTGTGAGTGGAAAAATGAACCATGAATTTTCATAGTTGTATTGAGACCTTAGAAAGCCTAAGTGAAAGGTTGTCATGGTTTCTTTCTTATTTGTACATATTTTCCTGTTTGATTTGATGTAAGAAAATTTGCTATGAGTTTATATAATAGAATCTTCTAGTTTTACTCCTGTTTTTATGAAGCTTGAATTTGTTCATAGAAAAACTGCAAGTGTTTCATCTTGCATTCATAATGTTCTAATTTCCAGTATCAGAAAGAGGAAGCATATAAAACCTGTCTTCCTATGGCAGGCATAGTATCTGTACCTTTATTTAATAAAGGGGCAAGAACGTAAAGGAAAATGGTATACCATCCTGCACTTGTCTCCTCAGGGTGTTTATAATCTGGCCACCGGTGTGTTTTAACCACTTAACAAACAACTCAACCCTCACTCTGATATTCTCTTACATGAATGACCTTTCATCATAGTCTTTACAATGATCATTATGGTCTTAGGGGGTGTTTTTTTTTTTAACTGCGCATAAACTATGACTCTGAACACTTAGCTCAAAGGAAACATGAGGATACTGCGCCTGGTCCCCAGTCTTCCATAGGAAGACAGGTTTTATATGCTTCCTCTTTCTGATACTGGAAATTAGAACATGGTGATGCTTCTGCCCTTTGTGAATGCAAAATGAAACACTTGCAGTTTTTCTATGAACAAATTCAAGCTTCATAAAAACAGGGGTAAAACTAGATGCCTCTATTATATAAACTCATAGCAAATTTTCCCTCCCTCTCCACCCCCTGCTGCCATCCTGGCTGGCCCATTGCATAATGCCTGGCTGAGTCTTATCTTTGCCACAGGTCCTCATCCACCTGTCACCCACCGGAAAGATTGTTGATGATAATATCCGTAGCCTGTTCTTTGGTGATTTCTTCAAGCCAGAAAGTGAAAAAAAAGTCTATGACGAGATCACTGACCTTAAACAGCTCACAGGAGTCATGGAATACTACCTGGAGGAGTTCAACAACATCAGCAAGGCCCCCATGTCCTTGGTCATGTTTAAGTTTGCCATTGAACACATCTCCAGAATCTGCAGGGTCCTGAAGCAGGACAAAGGTCACTTGCTCCTCGTGGGCATTGGGGGTAGTGGGCGGCAGAGTGCAAGCAAACTCTCCACATTTATAAACTCATATGAACTGTACCAGATCGAGATCACCAAAAACTACTCAGGCAATGAGTGGCGGGAAGACCTGAAGATGATCATGCTACAGGTTGGCGTGAACACCAAAAGAACCGTGTTCCTTTTCACTGATAATCAAATCAAGGATGAGTCCTTTGTGGAGGACATCAACATGCTTCTGAACACAGGAGATGTGCCCAACATCTTCCCACCAGATGAGAAGGCTGACCTTGTGGAGAAAATGCAGATGGCCGCCAGGACCGAAGGCGAGAAGATCGATGTCACCCCTCTTTCGATGTACAACTTCTTTATAGAAAGAGTGAAAAAGAACCTTCATGTTGTCCTTGGTAAGCAGCAGCAAACTTGGTTTGCCTTTCTCCTTTGGGTGTTTCAGGGTCTCCTAACTGTCCTTAGCCCAGTCTTACAATGATCCCAGGATTGTTTCAGACCTAGAGTCAGTGCTTGGAGTTTCTGTGGAAACTTCCACTCTTCTGGACAATGATTTCAAGCCTGTTCACTCTTCTGAGTTCTCCTGGAAACAGTCTCCTTCCTTTTAATACATCGCTGGTGGCCTCGTACAACAGCACCCAGAGTTCTCTCTGCTCCAATCTATTCAGAAACTACAGGGTTGTATTTAATATTTCCCTTTCTTGTTATCATGTGCTGTCATTCTTCCCTCCTAACTTTCTGTCATTTCTTCCCACTTATCTCCAGCTCTACCAGGTTCACATTAGCTGAACTGATATCATTGCAGCTAGATCTCATCTTTGCAACCTAATTATTTTATAGCACTCTTATCTGTTGCAAACTTTTCTGTCCTACTGAGCCAGGAACTTTTTCATATTTCAGAGATAGGATCATCATGTGTACACACACACATTAAACTCTTGAACTGCCTCATATTAGAAGAAAGACCAAAATGCCTGGCCTCTGGTTTTAGAAGGCTATTTGCCAGGCTGTCCCTACTTCCCTCCACTCTCCCTTCACAACACCCTTCCCCTTTCCTCTCTGTTCCTCGGCTACACTGGCCTACACTTCCACCTAAGCATCATGCCTTCCCCTGCCACATTAAGTCTAATTTTAAAAATGATCGTGTTTAGGGGACTAGGACTGAACATTTGTGGTTGCATGGAGGTAGAGTCAGAAATAAGCCGATGGCCCCACAGCAGCCTCTGTGAGTGGCTGTGTATGGAAGATCCATGGCTCATTTAGTAATATGTCTGAAAGTTAACCCAAACAGAACAAGTGGATCAAAGGGCTCAAACCGCTCTGATAAAGTGACTAAACGTTCTGGAAAGGATAGTAATGGGCATAGGAGAGCAGTCAAAGGAAATGATACTTATACAGTGAATGGGCATCACAAAGTTGCATGAATAGCCCTTTGATTCCCCTGAGTGCCCCAGGCACTTATCCTGACTATCCCCAACTACACCCTTGAGGACCAACAGGAAGCGTGGCCACCCTGCCCCATCTGATTCTATGAAAAGACCAGTCTAATCCCATGGGGCTCTGGCCTTGGAGGAAGGGAACTGACAAAGTCTAATTTTCTCCAGCTATGAGTCCAATTGGGGACGCCTTCCGGAACCGCCTGCGGATGTTCCCTTCACTGACCAATTGCTGTACAATTGATTGGTTCCAGTCCTGGCCTACAGATGCCCTGGAGTTGGTGGCCAACAAATTTCTACAAGATGTTGAGCTTGATGACAATATTCGGATAGAGTAAGTGTTGGCAGCATTTTATTTATATTTGCAATATGAAAATCCTGATATTGGTGTTTTAAAATTTTCTCAATTACATATGGAACATGTCCAATACTTCTATTTTTTTTTCATCTTTTCACATTATGTTAATTGAGGTTCTGTTGGTTTACAACACTGTGTATGCTAGGAGTAGTATAGGTTCACACTTCTTCAAAAGTATGTTATCACAACATGCCACTACCAAAGTGCTAATACTTTAAAATCCAGTTACATTTAATTGGCTATTTTATAGAATACCTGAAAAAAGAAAAATTTCCATTGCTCATGATTCTGCAGGGGGTGCATTATTATCATAGTTATGAAAAGTTGGATATGATAATATAGCTGTCTTAATAGTTTTAGAATATGCATTCTCAACTGAGATGATATCTTTGCCAATGGGTTAAAAATCATGATACTAAAAAAAATGTGTAGAAAACTCAGATATATACATTTTTTAAAAGCCACTTAAGTTTTTTTACAGTAAGGGAAGAGATGAGAGTGTTGACCACCCTGAGTGACCCATGAAATCGGGGGCGTGTTACCTGCCTTATCTGCCTCTATATTCTTCATGCCTAACAAGTGCCTGGTACATAGTACCAGGTTTAGTTGCTGCTTAATAAATGAATTAATGAAAAATGAAGAAGTAGGTAGGGTTAAGAATCTTGATGGCCTTAAGTTAAGAAATTTGAATTTTGTTCTTTAGGCCAGAGGTCCTTAACCTGAGTTCATGGCTCGTGGGTAGAACTCAGAAGGTCAGTGAATATCAATGGGGAAAATCGTATTTTCATTTTCACCGATACCCAACTGTTATTTTGCAATTCCTTCAATTATCAGCATAGACAATAAGCCCACAAGGATTAACAGGACCTGCGACTTTGTTGCCAATGAGAATCGCAGTTACCTTTATAATTTATTCAACCATTACAGATATCTCACTTTATAATTTCCTTCAAAATGATGGTAGTTTTTAGACCTGTTTCCCAATCTTATTTAATAGAATAGTTAGCAAACTATATTACATAGGCCAAACTCAGTTCACAGTCTATTTTTGTAAATGAAATTATAAAATGTCCTTGTTATTAGAGCATGCCTCTGTTCTCTCTTTCATCCTAGAGCAGCAGAGTTGAGTAGGTTCCACTGAAACTTCATGGCCCACAATGACTAAAATATTTACTATTTAACTCTTTCCAGAGAAAGTTTGCTGGCCCAGACTTAATATGTTGATTAAAATCATATGTATTATATATCACAAAATTGTCATCTAAAATATTCTGAACATTCTAGTTCAATGTAATTGACTTCCTTTATTATACTGAGTATTTTATTTCACTTTAAACAATTTTCTGCATAAATAAGTCTTCACCAAACTCCCAAAGGCTGAGAGTTCCTGCATAAGCCCTGTTGAATCACCAAAGCGACCAGAGGTAGAAGAAGCTTGATCAATAACAATTCCAGTGAGAAGATGAACCACCCCGATCTTGTCTCTCTGTTCACCTGTCTTCAGAGAATTTGGTTTCTCCCAGGACACCGTCAGTGTGCAGCTTCTCATGTCCTCACACTGTTGTCACCAAAGCCGTGTTAGACCTCACTGGTGCAAGCTGGGCCTGTGTGACCTCTTTTGCATTCTTGGCAGGGTCATCTCCATGTGCAAATATTTCCAGGAGAGTGTGAAGGAACTTTCGGTCGATTATTACAACACGCTTCGCAGACACAACTACGTAACCCCCACCTCCTACCTGGAGTTGATCCTGACCTTCAAGACGCTCCTGAACAGCAAGAGGCAAGAGGTGGATATGATGAGGAGCCGCTACCTGACCGGCCTGCAGAAACTCGAATTTGCGGCTTCTCAGGTGACTACAGTCACAGGGAATGGGGGCGGGGAGGGGCAGGACAAGCCAGGGGCACTGAGGCACAGGCTCAGGTGCAGAATTAAGAGAGGCCACGTCAGTCTCTGACCCTGCATTTGCAGAGCTCACGTCCCTGCCTCTGCCCAAACCCAGCCCTCTGGGATTCTGTCTTTAACATTTTGACATTTTGCTCATAGTGGGGTTTTTTTTAACCTTCACTTTGACTTCTTAAACTATTACAACAAAGTGCTATCTTGAATAGGGAGGTGTTTGGTGCCCCGTGAGCTGTACCCAGGTAGGGCCTCCCTCTTCCCCTGGCACTAGATCCTCTCAGGGGAACAGGAAGCAGAGCAGAGTGGAGAAAGGGCTTTATGTGGTCAGACCTTCAGGACCCAGCTCTACAATGTACCTGCGGTAGGACTTTGACACGTTATTTCACTGCTGGGTCTGAGTTCCCTCTTTCATAACAAGGCCATAATAAGTTTTGCTTCACAGGGCTACTGTGAATATTAAATGAGTCTGCATAAGCATAGCCCTTAATAAAATGCTTGGCATATAAGTTACTAATTGATTTGTACTTGGAGCCACTTTGCAAACCCTCTAAAATGTGGGCATCATTAAGACATGGGTTTTTCAGCACCAACAAAGAACCGAGGTGACTGAGTCATGTGGTGTGGGCAGACTGCCTGCTGCAGACTGCGAACCTGCCACTTGCAGCACGGGTGTGGGCAGGACATCTGAGGCGACCTCCATTGCTCTGCTCCTACGAGTGCTGGGTCCAGCTTGGGGGTCTTGGCTTTTAGAGATGTTGGAAACTGGAGTGTATCCAGGCAAGGGTGAGCAAGCCACTGTCTGAGAAGCTGTCAAAGAACCTGAAACACTCTAGACCAGAAAAGAGAATGATGGTGCCGACTAGCACTCTCGGGCCCTGTGTGCAAGGCAGCTACTGAGCATCTCCACATTCCACCCAAGAAGCTGTGGTGCATGGTGACCCGGCCCTGTGCCCATCGCCACGTGGCTGTGTGAGGAACAGCGTTAAGTGGTTAGGCCAAAACTGAAACCCAGATTTTCAGGCTTTAGTGCCTGTGCCTCTAACCCACAGCTCACTGTGCTTCTCTCACCTGCTTGCAGCGGGCAGTGGGCCCAAGGTCATAGAACCCGCCTCAAATATGTCTAAGCTTCTGTACAAGGCAGTCAGGACCAGCAGGCAAAAACTGCATGGTGGTAAATTCCAGATCTTCATCAGGAAAATCGAATACATTTAGTTGTCTAAAAAACAGCACAACTCCTCTGAGAGGTGGTGAGCTAACCATCATTAGAGGTGTTCAGATCACTTGGCAGGAATGTTTGCAAAAATGGCCTTGAAAGTTTCTTCTGCTAAAAAAAAAGTTTCTTCTGCTTCAAAGAGCCCAGCTATGTATGTTGTCCTTATAGCCTTAACAAATACAGTGCTTCCCCCCCCCCTTAAATTGCTTTTATTGGCCCTCCCTGGTGGTGCAGCGGGTTAAAGTACTGCACTAAGAAGCTAAAACCACTTCCACATGAGTTAGATTCCCGCCTGCCCCGGAGGTGACCACGTGGCGCGGCAGACCTCTCCTGACCCGCCCACTGCTCCTCTTAGCAGTGTACTTCGTCGATCTGCCTGTTCTGCTCCCCACTCTGTCTCTGGTGAAGCCTCTCACTGCCCCTGAGCCTCTGGCCTGTTCCCAGTTCTGTATGTACAAATAAATAAATCTTTAAAAAAATTGCTTTTATTATATTTCTCCCTGCCCCCAATACTAGCTTGTAGGCTTGATGCAAGGGGAAACTGATTTCTCTTAGTATTAAATTTACCATGATGTGCTTCAGTGCTTAGCACACACTTGATAACACCACACATGGTCTGAACTCAGTAAGTCTCAAAAAATCAAAGCCATCAACACCAGTCCACAAATATTGATATCACCAGTGGCAGGTTAAAATCATTAGTATCTTCTGCATCTATCAGAGGTTGGAGCATTGCTTCAACCCTTGCTAACTGCACCATCGCAGACTTGATGAGTCTGACCCAGGCTCCTTCCACCCTTCTCTCCTGTCCAGGTGGCTGTCATGCAAGTGGAACTGACTGCCCTCCAGCCTCAGCTCATCCTCACCTCCGAGGAGACTGCTAAGATGATGGTGAAAATTGAAGCAGAGACTAGAGAAGCTGATGGCAAGAAACTTCTAGTGCAGGCGGATGAAAAAGAAGCCAATGCTGCTGCTGCCGTTTCCCAAGCAATCAAGGTATAAGATAGTGGAGAGAAGGGGGGGTGGGCAACCAGCATTGTCTGGGCTCATCTATTATCTGACTAGAGAGCCTATCTTAAGTGTGGTAGCCTTGAAGAAAAATGAAGTCTGAAGAGGTTAGGCCATTTGCCCAGCATGACACAGCGAGTGACTGATGAAGCAGGTCTTCCAGAACCTCTCTCTAGGAAGCACTACATAGCTTTTTTACAAATATTCTCCATCTCACTCACAGCAAGAGCCCACATGATCTCACCCTTGTCTCTTTATTACTTTGCATTTCACTCTATGCTGGCCACAGCGGCCCCCCAAAATCCCCCAGAAAGACACAAGACACATTCCCTGCCTCAGGGCCCTCGCACTGGCTGTTTTCCTCTAAGAATTCTCATCCTCTGGCCATCCACATGACTGTCTCCATCCCATTCTTTGTTCACCAGTTTTTGCTCATGTATGTGTGCACCATATTGGAGGAGTGGAATAAATGAGGTCCTCATTTGAAGATGGAAGAACAGGGAAGGGCTTCATTTGCAGATATTTGAAGAAAACGTGACTAGCGTCCCCATAACCTTGTGTATTTCTCCAAGCACTTTCAGGTTCGTTGTTCCTTTTGAGTGTCTCCACTACTGCAGGTTTGGGAATGACAGGGGTCAATATCTGAGTGAGTGACATTGAACTTCAGTCATAAGATGACTTTCCAGAGCTTTGTAGCTAATTGGTGAAATTAAAATCCAGGGCTCCTGGCACTTAGCCTAAGAGTCTTGTCCTGCTCTCCCTTAGGAATTAAACATTATTCGACACTGTCATCAAACAAGACCTTGAACAAGAAGTACCTTGTGTCCAGCGTCTAGGTTATGGGGATGACATGGGTCATTAGCAACTTTTTCAAAAAGGACAAGCTTTCCAGACTGACTTCTCTTCAACTCTTCTCCATGATAGTCATTCTTTACCCTCTACCGGGGGTCTTGCTTTTTTTATAAAAAGGCCAGCCTCTTGCCACATGAAGTAACCATCATGCCCAGTATTCCGCCACCATGTTAGAGGGAAGCAGTGACTTGTAGGAGTAGGAGGGAGCTGAGAGGTGGCAAGAGGTGTCTTTTACAAAGACCTGACCTGCCACACTCAGCCCTGAGCAATAAAGTGCCACCTCGGGTTTCGGTGTGGAGGGTGAGGTCCCCTGCACTGCCATCCCTGCCCTGAGCACTGGGAATGACCTCTGGAGTGAGTCAGGAGGTGGAGGACACTCTCCAGGGAGGAGCAAGGCCTGTGAAGGCTTTGAGCTCCCCAGCTCCCGTGGGGAGCAAAATCCTTCCTCTCGGGCCTGTCGTTTCCACACCCGCACTGCTCGTTCTCTCTAGTCTCGCAACCCCAGAAAGGCGAGGGGAGAGCACCCATTGTAGTGCCTAATGCAGTGTAGACATTCCGAAATGAATCCTTGCTGGGAAGACTGGAGGCTGGAAGAGCCTGGCCCCAGACAGCTGCTCACGAGCACAATGGCTTGCTGAAATTGGTCAAGTCTTCTTAAGCTAATGAATCATTTCTTTCTCCCCTAATGAGGATAATAAATGATGCCAGAATTTCTGTAGAGTAATTAGGACTTGTCAGCATACATTGTGCCTCATACCTCTCAAACATCCCTGCTAAGCCACAGGGATCATTTTTAATCATAATGCTTTTTAGCATAGAAACAAATGATGTAACCAGAATATCACACATGAAAGATTTCTAAGAACGCAGCTTTAACACTGTCTCAGCTTTTCGTTCCCTTCTAGTTCCTGTCTACATATACACATGGGTGGTTTTATGTAACTGAAATCATAATTGCAACTTGCATCGTGCATTTTTACTTCCTGAACGTCTTATCACGAATACTTCTCCAAAATGTCATATAGTCCTTTTAATGAGCATATAAAATAGGTGTGTCACCCACCAAGTCGCAGCCAGGAAGTCTGCTTTCCTCCCCTGTTCTTGGTGTTCCCAGAGTATAAGCCTGAGTTTCTCCATAGAGAAACTCAGAATCCCCTTTGAGGTTTTAAAATGCAGGTACCCAGACCCCACCAAGACAGAATGAATTAGAACCTTTGGGCTTAGGGCCTGGACATGAGGATGCCATCAATGCTCTCTTGTGACTTTGGGCTGTCAGGTATGAGAGTCGCTGTTACAGTACTGTGACAGAGCCTTTTTGTCACTAGACAAGGAAGCTTACTGGACCTTTGGAAAGAGAGAGGGAACACAGCTTCCAGACACATGGGGAGGCAAAAAGTCTGTGTGGCCAATAGCTGTCTGGAACATTACAAGACAGCAATGCAGGACTCTGAATAAATAGAAGCCATCATAGGTGATTGGGCCCATTAAAATTCACCAAGAACCCAAAGCTGCACCTGAGTTGGCACCTTTGGTATCCTCTGCCACAAAGCTCTGTCTGAGACTGACTATGAGAGGCCACAGGGGCTGGTTTCAATTTTTCTTTGAGCATGCTCCCTAGTGCATACCCCAGGGCTAAAGAGCAGGACACTGAGGCATCCCAAGGCTGAGTCACTATTGCCACCCAACAGAGCACACTCACTGTGATACTGGAGACAGCTGACATTGCTTATTTGGGGGAAGAGAAGGTTGTTCTAATATAATGGAACCAAATAAACCACTGCTAGAGATTTTTAAGAAAGCAGAAAATGAAGACGTCCATGACTACATGCATCTGGTCTATGCTGTGTACATGTTTATGTAGGTGAGAATGCGGAACCTTCTTTATTGTGTTTGTCTGTCACAATAAGCCTGCAGGCCAAAGACTCTGCACCATGCTGCTTAAGAACTGACCTTCTTCTGTGAAGTTTCCATCTACCATGGCTGTGTAATCTTTCCTTGGGCTCGGTAACCACTAGGGAATTCACTGAAGGAGACCCAGAGTCCCAGCCTTGGACCTTGGTTCTGACTACCAGCTTTGTGGCCTTAACTAACTCATTTTGCCTCCTGAGATCTTTTTGGTTGTTGGTTGGTTTGTGGATTTGGTAGGTGGACTACCTAAGTAGTCTGTAAGGTTCCTTACCATGTTAAGCTTTTTTTAAAACAAGATTTAATTCATAGATGCATAGATGATTAGCATTCATCTTTTTTTTAATTTTATAACAGTTTATTTTTACATCATTTTGTACATTTTTTTTCCATCTCAATTGTAATCCCCGCGCGTTTTCCATCACCAAGTCACCCATGTGCCATCACCATAATAGCATTCATCTTTTTAAATAATGCAACTCAGAGGTTTTTAGTATCTTTACAAAGTTGTACAACCATCACCACCATCTAATTCTAGAACATTTTCATCACCCCAGAAAGCAAAAATGAGCCTACTTTGTGGCTGTATGGATGCTCCTTTTCTGCATATTTTGTGTAAAGGTGGCATTCTGTACCCAACTTTGTTCATGTAGCATGATATTTTGAAGGTTTGCATAATCATTCTTTTTTATGACTAGCTAGTATTCTATTACACTGATTTTGTTTTTAAATGAAGAAATAATAAAAATGCACTGTCTCCTTTCCTCAGAGCTCACTTCCCGTATCGAATTCCTACCCACTCCTTACCCCTGAACTCTTGCCTTCAACTCTACTCCACCTCCTTCCTACAACATATCCCTGACTCTACCTGTACCCCAACTCTGAGCAACAATTTATTACAGACCCTCATTCCATTGCTGACCTTCTCTTACCCCTTCTTTCTTCCCAGAACTTGTCCTAACCCTTTCCTACCATTACTCACCCCTCAGCACCATCCTTCACTCCACCTTCCAACTCACTCTTGATTAATGGGTTCGAGGTCACCCACTGCATGTATCTCTGGGGAGTTTGTTAAAAACAAATGCTTGATTTTCTAAGATTGCAAACCAGGTGACCTCTCAAATACCTGAGGCATCCAAACCCAGCCCCAAAGGCCTTCCACACTGCTAAGCAATAGTTAGAGCTGCCCTCAGCTCAGAGCTCCAGGAGGAGACACCATGGGGATACAGGTGGGGAGTGCCTTCAGCCCACTCCCCCCTGCTCTCTTTGGTAGCACAAGCTTGGATTCCCTGCAGTGTGCCAGGCACTGAATTCTCACCCGTCCTGTCTCTGTGCCACCTGCAGAATGAATGTGAGGGCGACCTGGCAGAGGCGATGCCGGCACTGGAAGCTGCACTGGCTGCACTGGACACCCTGAACCCCTCTGACATCTCACTGGTGAAGGCGATGCAGAATCCACCAGGCCCTGTCAAGCTGGTCATGGAGAGTATCTGTGTCATGAAAGGGCTGAGACCAGAGCGGAAACCAGACCCCAGTGGCACCGGTAACCCCCTCTAGCACCCCACTCCACCCTCCACTGCTGCCCTTCCTGGACTTGCCCCCTGCTCACCCTGACCCCAGCCCACGGGGTGGTGTCATGGAGTCTGGAAGAAAGAAGGCAGTGGGTGCATGTGTAGCCAAAGGTTCTTGTGTTTCTCACCTGCCTCCTCCTCTCAGGAAAGCACAGGTGAAACTCACCTTAGTCGGGGGCCCTGCCTGCAAGTTAGTGCAAAAATAAAGTTCATGGGTACAAGAAGGCTGATGTAGGAGAAGAGAGTGAGAGAGAAAAGTAGAAGAGCTAGAGAGTGTCAGAAAAACCAAGCGATAATGTGGGAGAGAACCCAGGCATTTAGCCGAGCTCTGTGTACACACACTCACAGGGAGATGGTGACCAGGGATAGAAATCAAGGGAGAAAGAAACTGGAAGACAAAAAGGGGGCTCAGGAGAGGGAGAAACTCAGATAAGGAAAGACAGGAGAATAGACACAGACACACACACACACACACACACACACAACAACTAGATGGAGACAGAAAGACTGAGCCAGAGGGAAATAGAGACGAGACAGAGACAGAGCAGGGAAGAAAAAACCAGATCACAGAGAGAGAGAAGGACCAAGAATGGGAAAGGGCAGAGCATGGCAATGGCGAGTTAGAGGGAGAGGAGAGGAGAGCTGAGAGAAGCAGAGACAGTAAAGGGGGTGGGGGGAGAAGTTACAGTCTTAGAAGTGGGGAGAAAGGAGGGGCGAGGGCGAGGGAAACTCCTTACGTCATGGAGCCTAGAAGCATTAATAGGTGGATATCTATGGTCTTAAAAATTAGATGTGGAGTTTGACATTAATTCCAGTGCCTTAGCCCTGACCTGCCGCAGTGGTGTTTTCTGCCTCTTGAATCCTGTCCTGGAACAACGTGCTGTGCTCCCTCCCTCGGAAATGTTAGAAAGCCACCTCCCTTGGGAGTCTCAGGCTTCTGTGTCCTATTGATTGGCAATCTCCCTCCCGTGGTGGGCTTGAAGCCAAAACCACACGAAGAAGATAGGTGATCAGGAGTGGACAGGCATGGAGTAGACTTTACAGGAGAATCCTTTAGGACCAGCTGACGTGTAAAAGGTTGGCATTAAGCAAGAGTGAGCAAACAGAGAGCTCATCTCCACCCTGGTTGTACCCTAAAATCACCAGGGAGCTTTAAAAATGCTGTAGTCCATGCTTCTTTTCTAGGAATTCTTATCCCATTGTTTGGGGGCCAACCTGAGTGTGAATAGTTTTGAAAGCCCCTGGGTCCCAAAGTGTAGTCAGGGCTGAGAGCCAGCTCAGGGAGAGTCCCAACTCGTGACCAGGTCACAAAAGTCAACTCTTATCTCAGGTCATTGAGGATAAGCCCCAAGTTCACTTTTCTGATTTTCAAGTTGTGTGCATATATTCCTAACCACCAGCATTTAACCAGCACATCGAAATGAAGCAAAAGAGCCATTGAATTAGTTTTGAGTACCTTGAATTTAAACAAAGCAGATCATTGTGAATCAAACCTTGGGAACTACTTCTTTGCTTGCTATGTTTGCATTTTCCACGGCACTCATTTGTCCTGTTGTCCTTAAAGTGCTGTCTCAAGTATAATTTTCTTTGATGAGCTCATGCTTAGCAATTGTTTACAGTGCCGTGAGCTAAAACGACAGACTTTTCTTAACCCATTAACAGGAGCACTACCTCATGATGGGATCACTGCCATTCACTTAGTCTTCAGCACGATGAGTGCTAAGGAGAATGGGACCGCAGACTGGTCCTCTGTTCAGTCGCAGGCCTGCGGCTGCTTCCCCACCAGAGAGGCTCTCACTTGCTCACTCACTTAGCCTCAAGGTGGATTCATCATCAGAAGAGCTCACTGGGCTTTGTCAACCCACTCCCGGGCTTCAGAAAGAATATTCAGAACACACGCCCCTGGCTCCTTTGCCTTCTCCATCTATGACTGGGACAGGGACAATGTTTATTCAACACATATTTATTGATAACTGAGTAGCAGGCACCATGCCAAACTGTAGTAAACACAGCCGGCGCTTACAGTTTTGTAGGAAAGGCAGACAATAAAATAAACAAAAAGTCACAGATTGTGATAAGTGCTATAAGGAGAATGGACGTTCTAACAGCTGAGATGAAAGAAAATGCCGGGGAGGGACAGACAAGCCCAATTAGTGAGAGCAGCTCAGCCAGACTCTCTGCCGGAGGCTGCGAAATGAGCCTGGATTCCTCGCAAGAACCAGCAGGTGCCGTTTCAAGCACAGGAGAGGGACTCGTGGCAGGGAGCACTTGGGGTTGTCAAGGAATGGAAGGAAGGAAGGCCCTTCGTGACTAAAGCCTAGGGGGCAAGAAAGAGGCAAAGGTGGGTGAGGACAGTGGGGTTTTTAGACCGTGGTGAGGAGCTAAGGCATTTTTTACCAAAGATAGTTTTTCAGAGCAGTTTTAAGTGCACAGCAAAATTGAATGGTTGATGATGGGGGGGGTTCCCACATCACTCTGGCCCCCGCATATGCACAGCTTGCCCCACTACTGATGTCCCGACCAGAATGGGACATTGTCACAACCGATGGACCTACATTATTGCTTCACAGTAACCCAAGGTCTGTAGTTTACATTAATGTTCACTCAGCCTGTTCATCCTGTGAGTTTGATCAAATAAATAATGGAATGTGCCCATCATTATCGTATCATGCACAGTATTTTCTCTGCCCTAAAAATCTTCTGTGGGAACTTGGATTTCCCAACCCCAACCCCAACCCCAAACCCCTGCTGAGTCTTAAGTCTCATAATGTCTTGCTAATACAGCCTTCTCTGTTTCTTGTCCCAAACAGGTAAAATGATTGAAGATTATTGGGGGGTGTCAAGAAAGATTCTTGGGGACCTGAAATTCCTGGAGAGTCTTAAGACATATGACAAAGACAACATCTCCCCTTTGATCATGAAGAGAATCCGGGAAAGGTTTATCGATCACCCTGATTTCCAGCCAGCCGTCATTAAAAATGTGTCATCTGCCTGTGAGGGTCTGTGCAAGTGGGTGAGGGCCATGGAGGTGTATGACCGTGTGGCCAAAGTGGTAGCTCCCAAACGGGAGCGCCTGAAGGAGGCAGAGGAGAAGCTGTTTAAACAGATGCAGAAGCTGAACCAGAAGCGAGCAGAGTTGAAGCTGGTGGAAGACCGCCTGCAGGCCCTGAATGACGAGTTTGAAGAGATGAACATCAAGAAAAAGATCTTGGAGGAAAACATTGATCTCTGCTCCCAAAAGCTCATCAGGGCAGAAAAGTTGATCAGTGGTCTTGGGGGAGAGAAGGATAGATGGACAGAAGCTGCCCATCAGCTAGGGATCCGCTATACCAACTTGACAGGGGATGTATTGTTGTCCTCGGGGACGGTGGCTTACCTAGGGGCCTTTACCGTGGATTACCGTGCTGACTGCCAGCAGCAGTGGTTGGCCCGATGTAAGGACAGAGTTATCCCCGGCTCCAGTGACTTCAATCTCAGCAACATACTAGGGGATCCTGTAAAAATTCGTGCTTGGCAGATTGCTGGGCTCCCTATTGACTCCTTCTCCATTGACAATGGCATCATTGTGTCTAATTCCAGACGCTGGGCCTTGATGATTGACCCCCAGGGACAGGCCAATAAGTGGATCAAAAACATGGAGAAAGTGAACAAACTGTCAGTTATCAAGTTCTCAGATACCAACTACGTGAGGACTCTGGAAAATGCTCTACAGTTTGGCACCCCAGTCTTACTGGAAAATGTGGGGGAAGAGCTAGACGCCTTTATTGAACCCATCTTGCTCAAGTCCACATTCAAGCAGCAAGGGGTTGAGTACATGCGTTTGGGTGAGAACATTATCGAATACTCTCAGGATTTTAAGCTGTATATCACAACCCGTTTGAGGAACCCGCATTACCTCCCCGAAGTCGCCGTGAAAGTCTGCCTCCTCAACTTTATGATCACCCCCTTGGGTCTCCAAGATCAGCTCCTAGGCATGGTAGCCGCCAAGGAGAAGCCAGACCTGGAAGAGAAGAAGAATAAATTGATTGTGGAGAGTGCCAAGAACAAGAAGCAGCTGAAGGAAATTGAAGATAAGATCTTGGAGGTTCTATCTCTGTCCGAGGGCAACATCCTGGAGGACGAGACTGCCATCAAAATTCTCTCCTCCTCCAAACTACTGTCTGAAGAAATCTCTGAGAAGCAGAAAATTGCCTCCATAACAGAAACACAGATTGACGAGACTCGGATGGGTTATAAGCCAGTGGCTGTTCACTCTGCCACCATATTCTTTTGCATCTCTGACCTGGCCAACATTGAGCCAATGTACCAGTACTCGCTGACGTGGTTTATCAACCTGTACATGCTCTCGCTGGCCAACAGCCAGAAGAGCGAGGACCTGATCTTGCGCATTGAGTACATCCTCGAGCACTTCACCCTCAGCATCTACAACAACGTGTGCCGTTCGCTGTTTGAGAAGGACAAGCTGCTCTTCTCTCTCCTCCTGACCATTGGCATTATGAAAGAGAAGAAAGAAATCAACGAGCAGATTTGGTATTTCCTCCTCACTGGAGGCATTGCGCTGGACAATCCCCACCCCAACCCAGCCCCACAATGGCTATCGGAGAAGTCATGGGGGGAGATTGTCCGTGCATCTGCTTTGCCCAAGCTGAAAGACCTGATGGCACACATGCAAGAAAACCCCGATGAATGGAGGCACATCTATGACTCAGCCTTGCCCCATGAAGAGGACTTCCCTGGACCTTGGAAGTTCCTTGAAGGATTGGAGAGGATGGTGGTCCTCCGGTGTCTGCGGCCTGACAAGATCATCCCAGCCATTAGGGAGTTCATTGCTGAACACATGGGCAACACCTACATCGAAGCCCCCACCTTTGATCTCCCAGGATCCTACAACGATTCCAGTTGTTGTGTACCCTTGATTTTCGTGTTGTCTCCAGGTGCAGACCCAATGGCAGGTAAGGGCATGTGGAGAGCCGTGACAACAGTGTGTCCACTCTAGGAGACTTTCAAACCCGGATGACTGAGAAGCCCAAGCAGTTAACAGGCAAACTGGGCAGGGGCAAAGCAAAACTTCTTTCTTCACCACAGTTTCCCCACTGACATGTGCCATCTGGTCAAGTGAGCCTGGAATGGCCAGATCATCTGGATTCTTATGAGAAACTAGAAATGCAGAAATCACCCACTGGTCCATCTTGATAAATGCCTTTAGACAGTCTTAAAGACTTTGGGAGGACTAAGCCACAACTAGAGTTAGTCTGTTGACAGCTAGAACATCTCCTTTGTCCCCATTTTATTAGACCATTACTTCTGTTGGTCAGACTTTTAAAATTTAAATTTAATTGGGGAGGAGGGACAATAGCTGGCACTCTGCACAGTAAGAAAAGAAATCAAACAAAAGGAAGAAGACTTTGGTTCACCCGTGGCCATGTTGCCCCTTCAAGGGACATTTGGCCAAATGGGAGATGTTTTCCTTATCACAGTGGGAGTGGTGCTGCTGCCATTGAGTAGATTGGGGCCAAGGGTGCTGCCTGGCTCACAATGTCCGTAGTGCTGAAGTTGAAAAGGCTCATCATCTTCCTCCCGACCCCCCAGAGGTAGGCACTATGATCACTCTCTGTAACCATTTGTTCACATGAGGGTATGTGTTGTTACAAAAATAGATTTGTGTTCTGTTCTTCTTTGTTTATGTTTGCTTTCTTTTAAGGGAATAAGCCGAAGAGAATAAATACCTTATACTTGGGAGAGACCCATCATGGCTGAGTAACCTGGCCATGTGGCTTCAGCTGCCACCTTAAATGACTTAGCTAATCAGGGGCTATGGGAAGAGAAAGGGAAGGTCAGTAGGGGGATTACAGGAGAGGCACACAGACTTCAGGTCTTCCCTTCCTTTGAAAAGAAATAAGGAGATTAGATCTTCCCACTATTCACTCTGACAGAAGTTTACATGTCTCTCCCACGAAATCAAACTTCTGTCAAAAAAGACACATTTGGGGGTGCAGCTTTTCTCCTCCTGCACGTCTGTTCATGCTTATGTTCAAATAAACACCATTCTTTAGCGCTAATGACCTGCCTCTCCTCTTTCCTGCACAGCCTGACTTCTTAGAAGGACGTCTGTCAGAATCAATGCCCCCTTTCCCGGCATCCTCATTTGTCTGTACTGACTAAGGACACTGTGATCTCTAATTGCCAACTGAATGGATTTTTTTTTCTTTTAGTAAATTAATGAATGTAAGACATGTCATTTTTTTTATTTCACTGTTTTTGAAACAAGCTCTAAAAATCTTTTTTTTTATATAAATAAAGCAAACTTTTATTTATTTTTAAGATTTTATCTGTTTATTTGGGGGGAGAACTGAGGTGTAGGCCAGAGGGGTGGGAAGTGAGAGGATTCACCAGAGACAGAATGGGGAGCAAAGCAGGCAGATTACTGAAATATACTGCTAAGGGGAGCAAAGGGTGAGACAGGAGAAGTCTGCCACACCATATGTGAGTCAGCTTCCTGGGCGGTAGTGCTGAGACTTAAGCCCTAAACTACTGGGGAGGCACAAGAAAGCAACCTTTTAAATTAATGGTTCACAATCCTTTATCATGGCCCACTGAACCCCCACCTCCTGTTCTCCCACCCCCATTCTCCCCTCTCATAGCCTCAATTTTGCAGTCATATTTCTACCTTTGATTTAGCTTTGCCAGTTCTTTTGTTTGGTTTCCTCATATTCCACATATGAGTGAAACCATCTGGTATTTATCTTTCTTTCCTCCTCTGGCTCATTTCACTTAGCATCATCCCCTCTTGTTCCATCCATGTTGCAAATGGCAAGATGTCATTTTTTATCATTGAGTAGTATTCCATCATGTATATGTACCATATCGACTTCAGCTGATGCTCTGTCGTTAGGTACTCAGGTTGTTTCTATAACTTGGTTATTAAAAATAGTGCTTCAGTGAACATAGGAGTCTTACCTTTGTACAAAAGTCTCAGGTCCCTGCATCCTGTGAGTGTAAAATTTAGACTGGTTAAAAACAAACAAAAGTGTTTTCAAATGATGGGAGTTTATGTTATCATGGAAAGGAATAAGGCTCTAATGTATGTGTTGATGTGGAAAAGATAGCCATAAATAGATTGTTCTATAATTTGTGTAAGTGTACTATGCATATGTACTTATTAAATGCATAAAATATCTCAGAAAAAGTCACAAAAAAACTGGTAGCATTGACTGCCTTGGAGGAAGAGGTAAAAAAAGCCTACTTGAGGCCCTCCCTGGTGGCGCAGCGGGTTAAAGCACAGCACTGAGAATCTAAGACGGCTTCCGCATGAGTTCGACTCCCGCCTGCCCCGGAGGTGACCACATGGCGTGGCAGACCTCTCCTGACCCGCCCGCTGCTCCCCTCAGCAGTGTACTTCGTCGATCTGCCTGTTCTGCTCCCCACTCTGTCTCTAGTGAAGCCTCTCACCCTCCACATCTCTGGCCTGTACCCCAGTTCTGTATGCATAAATAAATCTTTAAAAAAAAAAAAGCCTACTTGAAACTTCACTGAACAGATGTCTGTATTTCCTAGTAAAATAAATGTGGAAATACCTTGTTCTTAGCTCTTCGGTTATGTGCTCACCTCTGGTTTTGAGTTCCCTCTTCATTCTTGAATTTTGGGAATTTCAAGATTTTTTGTTTGTGTAATTTTTTAAAATCAAGAATATCTGTGTTTAAAGCAAAAGAGGAATTATTATTAGCTTGGTTTATCATCTTACGGGGAGTCTAAAGATTCTTCAGATATGTGTTTATTTTATAACTCGTAGAAGTCAAGGAGGTTCTAGAATTTTATGTTACCCCTCCTTATGCATTGTTATTGTTGGCTGGCCTATCCTCTTTCAAAGCTTCTTCTCTTCCTGGTCTCAGGCCTGCTGAAATTTGCTGATGATGTGGGAATGGGAGGTACCAGAATACAGACCATCTCCTTGGGTCAAGGTCAAGGCCCTATTGCTGCCAAAATGATCAACAATGCCATCAGAGATGGCACCTGGGTGGTCTTACAGAACTGCCACCTGGCCACCAGCTGGATGCCTGCCCTGGAGAAGATCTGTGAGGAGGTGATTGTTCCTGAGAGCACCAACTTCAAATTCAGGTGAGACACTGTTCTTCACCGCTGATCTCCAGACCCAACTTCAAACTCTAACTACCAGTACTGGTAGTGGGGGAGGAATACAAAGATGAAAAAGTACAGTTCTGTCTTGAAGAACCTCTACAGAAGTCAGCCTATGGATGAATAATGTCAGTACTCTGAACTACCTGCTACCTGTAAGCCTGTAATAGTTTTTATATTTTTAAAGCATTGGAAAAAGTCAAAAGAAGAATAATATTTCACAAACACTAAAATTGATTGAAATTCAAATTTAGGTGCCCATAAAGTTTTATTGAAACACAGCATGTTCATTCATATGTTGTCTATGGCTGCTTTCATGCTACAGGGGCCATGTAGCCTACAAAGCCCAAAACATTTATTAGACTTTATAGGAAATGTGTGATGACCCCTCCTCTGGGCAGTACAGCTTATTGTTTGTTTGCATTTTATCAATTCTGCCTGAAAATAGGTGTGTGTGTGGTACTTATTGCAAAGCTAGGCTAGGTCATAGTTGATTTGTACTCACATAAGACTTGTGTCAGATTCATGAGAGAGTGTAAGAGTGATCCCTTAATTAGTTTCAAGAACCCTATTTGGTTGAAGATAGTGAGCTGATTCACTGACTTTCAATGACCTAGTCAATAAAGAAAAAGTTATTCGTGTTGACATGTTGGTCTTCTGTAGTATGATCCTAACCCCTAAGTCATGAACTCAAGTGCTTTCAGGAGTGAAGCATGTGACATAAATGAAGGGAGGATTGAGAAATAGTCCTCTTTCCACAGTATAACAGCAATCACTGTGGACCCTTCAGCCACAGCACTGGACATAACAGGGAGTGATGGGCACTGATGACCTGCAAGTACTTGCCCTGTGGAAAAGGCTTAATGCCCACTAGTCATGGCTTAATGCCCACTAAATGTTGCCATGCAGAAATGCAGATCTCTCTGGTCAGATTTCCTGACTATACTTTAAAAAAGATTCATTTGTGTGTGCATACAAGACCTGGGATACAGGCTAGAAGTGCTGGGGGCTGAGAGGGAACAGAACAGGCAGATTGACTGAAATACACTGCTGAGGGGAGCAGCAGACAACACAGGAGAGGTCTGCAGCACCATGTGGGTCAGCTCCCTGGGTGCAGTGGCTGAGGATAGCTTCATAGTATTGAGACTTAACCCCTTGTGCCACGAGGGAGGTCCCATATTCCCCGACTATTTTAGAGGGAAGATGAAGATGTAGAATTGAAAAAGAAAAGCCTAGATTTTTTAAAGTTGGCAGCTACTTCAAAATATGTTACAGCATTACATGGGTTTCCATGATGTGAGCCAAACACAAGTTCTGCAGGCAGAAGTCAGGCCCTTTTCCCACTTTGATCTCCTCCAATCACTGCAGACTACCTCCAAGCCCATCCTTCCCTCCTCTGTGCAGTTGTTTTGTTTTTTGATTTTTTTTAAATTGCATTGAAGTGCCATTGGCTTACAGTTGTTCCCTTGTGACTCTAGGCTTTCCCTACTCCAGGAGCAGTCACCCACCATATTGTAACCCCTATCAAAGCACCAAAGCCACTGTGCTCTCACCCCCCTTTGTCTTTGCCCCCCCCCCTTTCCTTTGGTTACCTTTCTTTTTAAGTTTGACTTTATCTGACCCTTTGTTTTGCTTCTTTATATCCCACATATGAGTGACACCACCAGTATTTTTCTTTCTCCTTCTAACTTTGCTTTGTATAATCCCTTCCAACTCTAGCTTTGTTGCCACAAATGGCATGAGTTGATCTTCTTTGATCCATGTAGTTGTTTAATGACCTTCCATTCCAGAATCCATCTGTTAGAATCTCTCTAATTTTGAGCAAAAGCAAAAAACCAAACCAAAACCATGACACAAAATAGGGTGGTGTGGTGGTATGTCTGTAACTTGAGCTCAGGTAGGAGAAAACAAAGGAATAAAAGACAATACGCCATAATGTTAACTTGTGTGTTGTATTTCCTTTTTAATACTTACATAAGTTCCCATTTTTTTGTTTGGGCATAAGAGAAACTTTTACGTTTTAAAGAAAGAAATCTCCATATTCTCCTGCCCATCTCAAAGGCCATAAGGCCATTTTATGACACAAAATGTTTATGGGTTGGCCATCTTTTTCTATAAGACAGTAAATATTTTGGGTTTTGCTGGCTACATCATCTCTGCTTCAAGCATTCAATTCTGTTCTAGCATGAAAGCAGCCAAGTAATAAGTAAATGAAGGGGCATAGCCATTAAACTCCCAATTAAACTTTATTTCCAAACAGAGGCTGTGACTGGGCTCAGCTCTGTGGTCATCATTTTGCTCTCCCCAGTCTGTGGAAATCTCTGATCCAAGGAAATCCATAGCCTACTGTTCCTTCCCTTCCCAGTCTTGAATTTATAAGCCTTGTGGTGTAACATTCTGTTTGCTTGTCTTTCCTTCCTTGTCTGTTCCTCATATCTTCCCTTAACAGCAAGGTGGTGAATATCTGGAAGATGAAAGACAATGTTTTGCTCGCTTTACCCCTCCTCGGGGGGGTGGGGTGGGTGTTTGCTTGACCACAGTAGATGCTCAGGAGTTCAGCAGGAAAGATTATGGCGTAGGTTGTAACAGGAGGCCCTATGGAATCAGGGCATCCTGAGTTCAGCTGGTTCAACTGCTTCCAGGTGATGTGTGCTTGGAAAATCCACTTGACCTCTCCATGACTCTCCTTTCTCCCCTTTCTAGTGAAAGGGGATCGTAGATCCTTCCACAAAGAGTTAAAATAAATTTTGTATGCTTCAGCATTTAGTAGTGCATAATGAATGTGTTCAATATATATAACATAGAATAAATTGTTTTTCAGTATAATGTATTGCATTGCTCTAAATAGTTGGGTCTGTTGTTCTTCCAGGCTCTGGTTAACCAGCTATCCATCAGAGAAGTTTCCAGTCAGCATCCTCCAGAATGGGATCAAAATGACCAATGAGCCCCCCAAAGGGCTCCGGGCCAATCTTTTGCGCTCCTATCTCAACGACCCCATCTCAGATCCCACGTTCTTCCAAAGCTGTACAAAGCCAGTGATGTGGCAAAAGCTATTGTTCGGACTTTGCTTCTTCCACGCCATTGTTCAAGAGCGGAGAAATTTTGGGCCCCTAGGTAAGAGATGTCAGTGCACCTGGGTTGTCTGGGAGAAAGACTGTGGACAGAGGCAGGTGTATGTGCAAGTTTGTACTCAGATAGGGTTGCAGGTAAGATAAAGTAAGAATATGTTCCATATGATATTTGAAACATACTTATATTAAAGATTTGTCATTTATTTGGTAAATCTGGTGACCCTAAAGCAGGTCATTGGCAGGGAAAGAGGTGATGCTCCAAAATCAAAGGTCCCTAATTACTGAAGTGATTCCACAATGAGGAAAGAACTGCCCTTTCCCTGGGTGTGCTTTGGCCAGCTGGGATACAGTGGCGATTCTCCAGGGAGTTGTCACCAGGTGATTTACATTCTAGATAGCTCCCTGTACCTGTGCCTAACAACTGGAGAAATACAAGCGGGGACATTTGTCTAGGCCTCCGTTGGAAAGACTAAAAATAAGTTTATTAGTGTGACCTATCCATGGCCTAGCTTATGAGTAACTCGGTACTCTTTATCAGAACAGATCTTCAGACTGCTCCCACATCATTCAGGTTTTAAGGTTGGGTTACCTTTCTTTCAACCATGGGCTGCCTCTGATTCTGTTCAACAGTCTTGAAATGACCTACCTCACAGTCTCCCTGCTGTTCCTCTGGGTTAGATAAGGAATCTTTGTGATTATCTGGGAACATCCTACCCCCTTCCTTTGACCCCCTCACACCCCAGCTCTCCACAGATCACCTGACCCTTCCACTGAGGGGTGAAGGCAAGACAGCCATGGGGACACTCCCCCTGCATCTGCATTTCAGGCACATTCTTCCAACCATGCCCAACCTCTAAGATCTACCCAGTGGATTAGATTACAACCAATCACCCAATTGTGTTTTATTTGCCAGAAATGGGTTTTATTATTTTATTATATTTTTCATCAGAATGTGAATGATTGGATATAAATTAAACATTCCCTTTGATCACATATCCCACCCTACTTGCTGTCTAACCCCAGATCTGGCCCCCCTAGCACCCTTGGAGATATGAGCAATGGCTTCCTCAAGGCTGGCCGACCAGTTCTCTCAGGAAGATGGGGAGGAGAAGTATCAAAGCAAACTTAGTTCTGTTGCCCAGAAACACTGCTCTCAAGCTGTGCTTTCCAGCTAGGCTTTAGTGTTATGTTTGGAGCCCCTCCATGAATTACCGCTGTAGTCTGGCCAGGGTGAATAATTCTCATTCCACAAATCCCAGGATGTCAACATCATCTTTAACAAACGGGAGATCCACGAGGAAGTTGATTTTAGAATGGCTGTTTTCTCGGGCAGAATGGCTCCCCCGTTGGCAGTAAATGTCAAGGCTAATTGTTGGCTCATGTTTGATATTCATGGGGCTGAAAGAGGCTCTTGATCTGTAATGATGCTTAATTCCCCCAGCTAGATGGCTGAGTGGAAATTAAGAGCTCCCAGTACCAAAACCTGTAATTCTTCTCTGCCTCATACAGGTTGGAATATTCCCTATGAATTCAATGAATCTGACCTCAGGATTAGTATGCGGCAGATCCAGATGTTTCTGAATGACTACCAAGAGGTGCCATTTGAAGCTCTGACCTACCTGACAGGTATTTATGGGAGAGACTTTGCAGCTGCAAACCTCCAGTACCATCTTCCACCCACCTGCTGTCTGCAGTGTTCATTCATTTATTCTTTATTTCTTTCGATGAACCCTTACTAAATTTGGTCACTGTGATGGATATTGTTAAAAAAAAAAAAAGAAGAAGAAGCCTCCATCAAGAAAATTAACATCCCTACCCTCAAGTGATTCAGAGTCTACAAAAGGCAAATAATATAAAGGATAATGTAGTGGTCAATTCAACAGGAGAAACATTTCTGAAGTAGGATGGTATACTCTAATCCAATCTTAAGGATGGAACAGGGGATGACCATGGAAAAGTTCCTGAGGGCATAGAGTTGGTTTTTGAGGCTTATATAATAACAGTTTTACAAGTGAAAGAAGGAAGAGTGGACAGAGGGAGTTGGTTTTTGAGGCTTATACAATAACATTTTTACAAGTGAAAGAAGGAAGAGTGGACAGAGGGAGGGAGAACATCCCAAAGAGGGACCCTGAGATGGAAAGTGAAGGAATCCAGAAGGTATTGCTTCAGGCTATACAGCTTCAGTGGGCTCAAATTGCTCGATGGGTAGGAACACCTATAAGTCCCTTCCATCTTCCTTTAGACATTTAGACCCATCCTGCTATGTCAGAACCAAGAGAAGCAGTGGGCTCCTGTCCACAACTTGGGTCACACTTTCTGTTCCTTGTCTGTGGATCTGCCTCTTACTCTTCCTGGATGGCTGAGGTTGGTAATGAGCCCATCCATCAGGACAGGGCTCACACACACACACACACACACACATACACACACACACATACACATACACACACACACTACCCCTGTCTAGTAGTTTGTCCCCAACTACCAACTACCAGGTGGTACCTCCATGCTATAACCCTGTGGATCTGGACCAACTAGAAAATACACCATAGGGTTGGTGAGATGAATTTGATATCCCCTCCAAAGAATTACTTAATGTTTTTTTTAGGCCTCTGCATGTAGAAACCTGAGCCTCTGAGAACAATGTTAGTGATGGAGGTGGGAGTAAAGGAGGAAGCCACATCTCTGTATATGTAGGGTAACCTTAGTTTTCTGAAATATATCTATTTATGATTAATTTAAGATTTCTTATGAACTAAGCATTGAGCTAAGTGCTCATGTAAGCATTATTAGTAACTACTTAATAATTATTAATCAAAATCTTTAATACCAATACTGCAGTTTTTGCCACTTCTTGACAGATGAAAGAAAACACTAACAAGTAACAGAAATTGGCACTCAGAAATTGACTAGAGAGTAGACAGAGCAAGGATTAGCATTTAAGACTGCCTCACAGAAAAGGTTTTGCCTTGAATCACACTTCTGGAATACCTCTCCCATTTATGTGTGTGTATGCCTTTTATACATTGGAAAGATGCCTAAACATTAATAGCTAACTTTGGTGGAATTCGTGGTGATTGTATTGTTGTTCTTCCATTTTACCCTATTTTCTAATTCCTATTATGGTAAGTGTGTATTATTTTGTAGCAATCTGATACCCAAAAGACCTGCTCTCATTCCCAGCTGAGTGCTTTCAGCAACTGTGTCTCGGAATGACCAAGTTCATTCTGACCTTCCCTGGTCTCAACCATCTTCCTGGTTTTCCCAAGGGGAGTGTAATTACGGAGGCAGAGTGACTGATGACAAAGACAGGCGTCTCCTGCTGTCCCTTCTGTCCACCTTCTACTGTAAGGAAATCAAGCAGGACCATTACTATCTTGCTCCTGGAGACACTTACTACATTCCTCCTCATGGCTCCTACCAGGTGAGGGTCCTACCAGGTGAAGGGTTACGAAAGAGGCCTCTGTGCCCCCAGACTCCATGTGGCTGGAGATTGCATTGTAGCCAAGGAGGGCCTTGGGCTTCCTGATGTCCATCAGCTATTTCCAACATTCCAAAAGGCCTGTGAGAGAGACAGTACTACTGTGTAATGAGTGCTGGTATTTGGTAGACAGGGTCTTCAATATATGGGGTCTACCTAGGAGGGAAGAGGGGGACATGGCTAAGATGAAAAAATCACTGTGACTAGGCTGGAAATTTCTGCTTGAAAACAAAGGTTCAGGGAGGACAACAGAGGGGAAAAGGGAGGGGGGCCCTGAGAAAGGAGGAGAAAAAGAAAGAAAATGAAGGTCAAGAAGTGGGCAGTAGAGATGAGACAGAAAAACTGCATGGGAGAATGAAAAAGGGAAGAAAGTAAACACATCTGAAAGAAGGATGAAAAGGACAAGCTCGGTTATCTTCACATTTACAGGTAAGGGTAAGCTGGGGACTCAGGTGACTAGCTCAAGGTTACACAGTTAGCTTGTAATGGGGCAAGGAGCCAGGCCACGTCTGTCTGATTCCACAGCCAGGACACTAGGGAACAAAGAGGAAGTCAGCGGTCAGAGGGGCGATCCTCAGTCCATCTGCCTTCACTCTAACGCCCCTGAAAACTGTGTAAGAACGTGAAATGTGTGCACGCATGTGCATGAGTGCACGTGCGCCTGGGTGTGTGTGTCTGGGTGTGTGTGCCTGGGTGTGCATACTCATGGGTGTGCATGCAAGACCTGTGCTAAAGAGACAGTGAAGGTCAGCTAGGCCCTGAGAAGTCTGTGGGATCCCAGGGATGCTGCATTTATGTCAACTGGAGATTTTCTTTCCAGTCCTATATTGACTATCTCAGGAACCTCCCCATCACGGCACACCCAGAAGTGTTTGGGCTCCACGAGAATGCTGACATCACCAGAGACAACCAGGAAACCAACCAGCTGTTTCAGGGGGTGTTGCTGACTCTCCCACGACAGTCGGGAGGGAGTGACAAGTCCCCTCAGGTAACGGGGCTTGCAGCAGGACACACAATTCCGTTTCCTAGGACATTTTACACCTAGTGGGTGCCGGATTTAAGGGCTCAGGGCTTAACTTCTGAGAGTCTTTTGTCACAGCTACAAGAGTACCAGCGCTTCCAGTTGTCAGCTCTGCCTATACAACCTCCATGATTCATTGTTATACCAACATATTATCTACTTCCCATTTAAAACTAAGTTTGATTTGCTTAAAGCCAAGTTGCCCATCCTACCATAAATAGAAACCCAATATCATTTCTATAGAGCCACAACAGCTACAAAAAGAAAATGAAAGCAAAACAGTTACTAGGTTCTCCCCAGATGTTACTGGCTTCTTATGAGAAGGAAGGGGGTGGGGGTGGAATCTGCTAATGTGACAGAGCATTTAATTAGCACTGACCTGAGACTTTCCCCTGAGAGGAAGGGGGAGAGAACAGAAGGCAACACTTGAAAGGAGAGTGTCTTTCTTATCCTGTGATTCTATGTAGTGTTCTCCATGTCCTGAAGACTTCTGGGTCATTCTGGGTAACTCTCGTCAGTCCAGGCTATGTGAAGCCCTGATCCAGTCCACCACCCTTGACAAAACAAGCCATAGGAGGAAGTGACCACTTCCTAAACTCAGCAACACAGTCAGACTCCGAACTGCTTCCTCTGGCTCCTCTGCCCCTTGCTCTTTCCCTATCTCTTGCTCTCCACCTTCCCAGCTACCATGTCCTACCCCACCTCTCCTGTGCGGCAACAGATCGCATTTGGTTTCCTGATTCCTAAAGCCAGACAAAGTTGTGTGTGTGTGACAAAGCAGCCTGATGGGCATGTCCAGTGGATGGGTAAAAATTCCCTGGCACTGGGAAGAGGGAAAGCAGCGGTGGCTCCTGCCCTGCAGGAGGCAGCTAGCTCTCCCACGCAGGTGCAGGTCCATGCTCCGTGGCTAAGCGTAGGGCTCTGGCTTCCCCCAGGCTACCTAGCTGAGCAGGCCTTCGCTCCACATGTGAGCATCAGGCGCTCTGCTCAGCTTTTAACTTTCTGGGTTAAGGAGTGATGTCCTCTCCAAGGCTGGGAGGGAGGGGGATGGGTGTCCTCTTTCCCTGGAGGCAGAATTGACTTCTGTTGAAGAATTCCCAGAAAGGTCCAGAAGACCGTGTCTAAGAAGACAAATGCTCCATGCTTCACTCTTGCCCAAAGCCACAGCCCTGTTTCTCTTTCCCCACTGCTGCTACATTTTAAGGAAGTGGTTGAGGACCTCGCCCATGATGTGCTCTCCAAGCTTCCCAAAGACTTTGACCTGGAAAAGATTATGACGAAGTACCCTGTGATCTATGAGGAGTCCATGAACACCGTCCTAAGGCAGGAGCTCATCAGGTTCAACAGGTGGGCCAGGAATTCTCACTGGGTGCTGGCAGTGGGGGTGCGAGGGCTGGGAGCTCAAGGGCAGCACCTGAGACACACACGGAGGGGTTGCTCTGCCGGGGAAGGGCTTTGCCCCACTCACAGCTTGGCCACAAATAGAGCCTTCCTAGCTTCCCCTGGCCCAGTGATAAAATATTTCTTCTATTCACTCTCTTCCATTCATTCAGGTGACATCTGTAGGGTCAGGTGAAAGCCAATATCAAGCAGAGGCTAATAGTAAGAGTAATAATTAGAGTCACGTCTGCTGAGCCCATCCTGACTGCTAGATATGATTCTACACTACGCATGTCTTTGAATACAAGCCACATGTTGTGAAATGTGCATGTTAGTAACTCCTCTATTCCAGCTTTACAGATGAGAACAGTGAGACCCAGAAGAATTAAGTAACTTGTATAAGGTCACAGTCATTCAATAGCAGAACTGAGTTGAGCTCAGGTTATCTGATTCCAGGGCACAGGCACTTAGCCAATGTGTGAAATCGGAGTAAACAAAGAAAGGGGTGAGGAGAAGTTCATCCTATTACCTCTACCACAGAGGAAGGGAAGGGATGGCCACCGTGTACCCTCTATTCTAGTCCCTCCTCACTTCTCTAGCTATTCCAGCATAGACTTTAGCGGGACCACTTTGAAAGGACTTCTCAATAATCAAAATGGAAAGAAATCCCAAAGACCATATAGGGCAGATGAGAAAACTCATCACTTTTCCCTCCAAGTTCAAGGTTCTTGCTGCTCTAGAGACACAAGGTGTTCCTGTCTCCATTTTGCTTTATTTGCCATTGCTCAGTTTTAGGGATAGCCCTAACTCTGTAGGACTAGGGAGCTGGAAAGATGTAGTTTAAGAATCCCTTAGTTTCCCCATTCTCTGGAGTCAGCAGACACTTGGCCATGGGAGGGACAAAGTAAAGGTTGTATGGGGGAGCATATAGCCAATTACAGGTTATGAACCTAGGAAGGGGCACCGCTGCCGAGAGTCAGTCACCCTGGCATGATGGGGTGTGGTCCTCACTCATCTACACCAGGCCTCGTGGCTTTCCTCTTCCTGCTACTCATTCTCCCCTAAGGTCACCGGATCTTCCTCAACCATTGCAGGGGAGTTCTCTAGCCATTACCACTGACCATTGCAATGCATGGGAAATGGCTGTCAGTCTTATTTGCCAGTGATGGTCAGGATTATTGGAGAAAACTGTTCTATCTGTCCCCAGGCTCCTGACCTTTTTTCTTTTTTTGCCGGTGTTCCCAGGACTATAAGCAGTCCAAAATATGTAGGTGGCAGTTCAGCTTCCAATCCAGGAGAACCATTACTATGTCTTTTGGGAGAAATGTTCTTTCCTTAAGTACTAAAAACCTTGACACTAGCAAAGTTCATAGCTGCAAGAATAGAAACAAATGTTTGTGAGTAGGTCTTCAGGTTACTAGTAGTCTGTGGTCCAATCACTTGCATGGGAGCTTTGGCCCTGACTCGTCAGCCAAGCATATGCAGCAGGTGTCTCAGCCCAAAGTTCCTCTTTGCAGGAAGGTTTAGTGCTTATACAACTAGGAATCCCTTTCTTGCATTTGATCATTCTCACATCTACTTGGCTGAAATTCCATACATCTTTGGAGATGACAAGGCCTCATTGGTGGCAGATGTTTTAATATTCCCAGGGAAATTCCTGCAGACCTTGGCTAGACCTCATAACACAGAGGCCAGGGAGGGAGGCAGGCCATCTTGGCATCTCCAGGTGGCTCTCTTCTCAGGTGTGCGCCTCATCATGCATCTTTAAAAAGAATAACGTTGGAAATATAGGTCAAAAGCTCTAAAACTGCATATAACTCTCTGCAGAGACCCAGAAATGTGACTTTTAGTAAGAAAATCATTGTACATTTTCACAAAGATTGCTATGTTCCTAGTGATGTCATTTATAGTAGTAGCAATCTAGAAACATGTTTCAGCAATAGTTAATAAAACAGGATACCTTGTAGTCATTTAAAAAAAATGATATAGATCTCTATTGAGTTGGAAAGATATTCCCAAGGTGCTAAAGGAGATAAAAAAAGATTTATATAGTGAGCACATGTATAGATATACATATGTGTGTATACAATGCCATTAAAAGGGATTTGTGTTTACCTGGAGAAAAGTCTGGAAAGATGTACATCAAAGTTATCTTTAGGTGGTGAGATAATGGATGATTAAATTTTTTCTCATCTTTCCAGTTTTTCTCTGAATGTACATTTATCTTCTGGCCTTTTAGAGCAGGGGTGGGGGACAATGTGAAAGGGGATTTGGAGTCAGTCTATTGGGGTGAATGAGCTTGCTGCAGGGCCAGGCCGAGCTGCTTCCTTTGTTCTTACAGGCTGACCAAAGTCGTTCGGAAAAGCCTCATTGATCTTGGCCGTGCCATCAAAGGGCAGGTCCTAATGTCCTCGGAGCTGGAAGATGTCTTCAGTAACATGCTTGTGGGCAAAGTGCCAGGCATGTGGATGGCCAAGTCCTACCCATCGCTGAAGCCCCTTGGGGGCTATGTGGCTGACCTGCTGGCCCGCTTGGCCTTCTTCCAGGTACCAGAAATAGAGTAACGCAGTCCCATTCAGGTGGAGGGGATGTTAGGAATGAAGGTTAGAGGCAAAGGAAGCAAGACAGGCAGAATCCTGGACTCAGCCTCTCAGAATCAGTCTCCTCAGAGTTGAGGGCAGCAGGGAGACTTTCTAGGTCCTTGAAAAGACTAACGTTTATGGAGGCAGAATTAGGAGCAGGGTAAATGTCACAAGCTGCTGGCTCATGGGACAGGTTTGACTGCCTGGTAATTTCTAAGTTTTTTTGCTTGCATGTAGACATTGGATTGTTACACATAAAATGTAGAT